CACTATCTGGGCTAACCGTTCATACGGTTGCTTCATATCCATAGCAACAAGGACTCCACCAGCTTTTACGACAGCCAGAGCTGCCACAGGCATCCAGAGAGACTTCTCAAACAATAGAGGTACTATAGTTCCCGTTACCCCCATCTGCATCAGTTGCAGTGCGAATTTGGTGGATATCTCCAGTAGATGTTGATATTCCAGGCTGCCATCCCATGCATGAATAGCCAGGGAGTTAGGGCATTCTAAAGCCTTTTTTTCAACCATCATATGGACACACTCAGGGACAGGATCGGGTACATGTGAGTTCCATCGTAACACGTCGGCTAATCTCCTGGAAGTAAATGAGGACATTGATGCAACTATGTCTGCTAGCCTTCCCTGTCCATTGACATTATCTGCTAAAAATCGTAGAATCTTCTCAAAGTCTTCAACAACGCATGTCATTTCCGACTTGGGGAAGATGCGTGTATCAAACTCCATCCTTGCGTAAACACCATCGTGGGCCAGTCTGCAGTCAATATCTATGGCATACCTGCCATCACATGGTCGAGGTCCTACTGACGAATGGGGAAGTTCCTTGATAAAGGGCCGCCCTGAGAACTGGGTATCATCTGGCGTGTTATTATGAATGACAAGAAGCGAGCGAAATTGACAAGCGATAGCAGCATCCTCACTGGAATGACGGATGTTCTGCAAGCCAGTTTGCTCGAAAGGGATCATATCGGCCATCTGACGATGTACTGCTTGCAATAGTTGGTGAACATTACCTTTCCAGTCAACCTTTACCCTGATGGGAACTGTGGCAATAGCAGGGCCCGCCATATGTTCAATTCCCACAACCGCTGCCTGACGACCCGTTACTGTTACGCCGAATAATGCCTCATTAGAGTCAGCGCGAATGGCCAGTACTAACGCCCAAGCAGCACGAACAATTGTGGCAGCCGTGAAGTCACTCCGTCCCCAATCCAGTCCAGACACATAGCGTGTCATGATAGTTGTCAGGATATCCGGATTTAGATCCACATAAGCCGGCAAGCCTATCCATGGGAATCCAGTGCCTTGAATGCCCGCAAATTGATCAGTCCAGAAGCGATGGGCGGCAATTTCATCGATATTTTGAATGTATTTGATGTATGGACTCATGTCTAGGAGTTCAGGCCCTGGTTCTTGGTAGTATGCATGTTCAACGTCACTTAGTATTAAGGGGATAGACCATCCGTCATATAATGCATGGTGCATTTCCCAAGTGAAGTAGTTAGTGTCCCCTGGCATTCCACTGATTATACCAAAGCGAATCAAAGGGTCGCCAAGCCCCATGGGAAGTTCTTTGGGCGTTGCCCTTTTTCGGAATTGGTCAAGGGTCGATTCGAACACCCATTGCACTTCCTCGTCCAGAACAACTTGGACAATGCCGTAGTTGGGTAAACTAACGATCCGCGTACGTAAGATGGGATTCGATGCAACAACTTGATCCCAAGCACACTTGAGACGCCCGATATCGATATCCCGATCTATTCTGTAGATTGACTGCTGTACGTACTCCTTGAAATTGCTGCGTGTTAAGGCGAGCATACCCTCTTGTAAAGGCGTACATGGAAGTACATCTAATACTTGGGATTCCTTAACATGGCAAAGGTGTGACGCTTGAGTGCGAGCTTTTTGTGCATCCAATGACGATTTAAGTAACGTGAAAGGTGGAACAAAATCACGGTTGGATGAATTAACAAGCGAGCAAGCGCGAGCAACAAGGTCTATTAGTCGGGGCCATTGAAAAATATCCCTCACTGTTACTAACAGTCCATGTTCATATATCATCTGGCTCAGGAGTATGGCGCTAGAGGCCGAGCCGCCGCATTGAAAAAAGTCATCATGCTCTCCAATAGAATCGGGCGGGACTCCGAGCACTCGAGACCACAACAGTCGTATCTGGTTCTCAAAGCGAGACTCTAAGGGATCGGCAGATGCAGACGTGAACTTAGCACCTGCAGCTATTAGAAGGTCGTGGTTGACAAAAGAGTGTAACTCCTGATGGGATGGCAAATCGTCTTGGAATTGCAGAACCGAAAGAGGTAGCATGGTATCTACCCTGTATTATGGGTTGTAAATGTAAGGTTGCCAAACGGAGCCAGGATAGTCAATGAAGGCTTCATATGCCATTTCTCTCAATTGAACTGCCCAAATTCGGCCGATCAACTCCATTATATAGACCGGGCCGGCGGCGTGGAGTGGCGTCGGGAACTTTTTCAAGAGAAATAAGTAGATTGACCCCTCATGGATTCCATGTCACAGAACCAGAAGAAATGCATTTCGATCGATCTTCTGTGGTTCTTTTCAGCTCATTGCCAGGGTATCAACTTGATTTTTGCAGTCGTTGATGTTGTCCAGCCATCTCAAACGAATAAAACAAAAGGGTTGCACCGCTCCTGAGCATGCATCCATCGGTTTTCTGAGCCCGACGTTCCACTTACAGTCGCAATTATGCGAGCATATATTGACAATCCTTTCTGTGTTTTTCGTTGTCTGGCCATGCTTGTGTCTCTGCGTAACCGAGTGATGGTAGCAATTTAACGGGCCTCTCCGCCCATAGTGAGCTTCCCAAATAATAGAATGTCAATTTTGCAAGCTGATGGCAACAGGGGAGCTACCCATGCCCTCCTGTCTTTGCTTCGAAAAACGTATGACTTGGTATCTGGGCCGACGCGCATGGCTGGTAAGGCAGTCGCAAGTAACCTAACTCGAAGATGATGATCATTTTCGGGTGGTATCACACGAAGGATTCCAAAGCACGATCACGCAGTTCTAATATCAATTCTGCCAAACAGTGTACCTCGGGCGTTGGATGTTGGCCAAAACAATCGGAAATAGGCGATGTTACAGAGGTGGCTGAGCGGTCAGGCGACCTGTCGTCTGGGCCCGCCAAGGCGGCTGACCGACGCGGTCCCACCGCACACTGGCCAATGATCCTTCGAGGAACCTTACCTTCAATACCTCACGAACTAGCTTTCCTCCATCGTTAGACAACCGTCTAGATCTCAAAGTCAGGGCCAATTGACTACATAAGTAGGATGCAGCTGAAGGATTTCAGCTGAGATATTAGCTAACTAACCGTTTTTTCTCCTACCAGCCAAAAGTTCATGCTTCAATTAACGACACGGACAACGACTTCCATTTTGCTTGTGGTCAACTCACCGCTGGTGTGAGGATCTGGAGGTTGGCTAATACCAGTAGAGTATTTTGCTACCGAAGATCTATCTCGGAGTGTTCGGCTTAGAATTATGTAAAAACCAGTCAAGTTTAAACGGGTGCAAAACCTTTTGATATATGGGCTGAACCCAAATCTTATCACCCAAGCTATTACACCGTAGCAGGATTTTTGTCAAAGGATTACCTGCATATCTGACCAAAGTTTACTTATAGCCTACGGCTTTTTTTCTATATTTAGCGTTTTGCTAGAAAATGCTACCGAATTCAATACAGAAAAGTAGCCGATATGCCGGCTTGGTGAAAAGAGTGGTAGCCGGTTCAGCACAATAATTCTGTACTTGGCTCTCCTAGCTCAATCCCATCTTAGACGTATTACAGACCCATACTATAATGACTGCAGTTTGATAACTTCAGCCCCTTACGGCACTTGTGATACTACCATCTCACAATCCCAGATAGTGTACAGCGTATACAGTCTCTCTTTACAAAAGGTTTGGAACCGATTAACTGTTTTATCGTCAATACGTACGGTGAAGACTCATATAACCTAACTTGTTACTGACAGGCGGGTCGGAACCAGATGTGTACTTCCAGGACTTCAAGGAATCGTAAACTATCAAATATAGCTAGATAGGCAAGGGTAAACCGCAGTAAACCTCCGATTGGTATAGAACTCGTCTGTTCCTAAAGCCTGTCATCGATTAGCAGACAGTTCGCTAGTGACTGACCAGCCTACCCGTTCACTCTCTTGACCGATAAATAGCGCGTGAAGGGGCCACTCACCATTTCGGTGTATGCATGATATAATCATCATTCGTCCTCAGCGATGTAACTTGAGACAACGCTATTTCTTCGAGCGTCAAATACCCTCAGATATTAGGAGCTATAAGTCAGGATTTCAAGCACATGATTCTTACTCTACAACTTAAAAAGTGTCCACATCTACGGAGTACAAGAGATGATATATACTTTGTCTCATTTATTAAACAATTGGCCCTTACATCTACTGTCAAACCTCCGGTATTAAGTTGCACAAAGCGGCCAAAAAAGTTCTGATGCATGCTAGCTTAATTTTGGTCCTTGATCGAGTCCTAAATATAAAAAAGTATAAACATAAATACCGTACGGATATGAGGCACTCATTTCTAGAACACAGAGCTTTATAAAACATTTGCAAATACACAAGATGTTGCCCATACTTGGGGACACATTGGGTAGCGCATGTTGGTTCTCATCAATAACGCCTACTCCGTATATAACGAGCAAATGGCCTGAGAAGGAAACCATGGATTTGAAATCCACCAGAATCAGTAGTCATAATCAGTTTATCTTGCCTCCATTGCAGGTACAGAATATGATGTGCCCAATAAGTAAAGAGAGAAAAACCAAGGAACGTCGAATTCCAGGAGAAAAACCACAATCCACTAACTATACCGAACCCCTGAAATTGTGGAAAGGTGTGTTGACCAACGCCCAACATCTAAACAAGCATGGATAGGTCCGAGCGGGCCAGGGTGCGGAACCTTAAATTGACGTTCAAAATAAACTTTCACTAGTAAGTAAGGAAACGCGCGCGTGTATTGACCAGGGTGAAATAATACCGTATTCAGCGCGGCATAAATACCAAACACCGGATCCCACGATCGCCGGTGAAGCATACGCGCACCGCCGAACCATGTCAATGCCGCACTGTAAATGAGTCATAAATATTCTTGGGAGAATACTTATGGAAAGACCTTTCTCGAGTGAAAGGGAGAGATGAATGCCCAGCACAAATTAGGCGGAACTGGATAACCATGCCAGGTATCACGGAGCCTCACATGTCTAGAAGTCACTCTTCTATAGTTGATCAAGATGAATCCGCCAAAAGTATTCTCCAGCGCCAGCTGAATGGGCTTCCGACGCGTTCGACGAAGGATTCTACTGTGCTCGCCTACGCTCAGCCCTTGGATATAGCTTTGATTGCTCTAAGCACCCTGTCTGCCATCATCGCTGGTGCATTGAACCCGCTTCTTACGGTCATCTACGGCCTTCTAGTTGGCTCATTTCAAAGGCATGCATATGAAATGGAAGATAGCTCTCGATTGTCTTCCAGTGTTTCCAAGTTCACTCTCTACTATGTCTATCTTGGCATCGCAGAATTCATCCTCATATATATCGCAACCGTGGGATTCTACTATTCAGGGGAACGAATTACGCGGAACCTACGACAGGCGTATCTCAAAGCCATTATCCGGCAGAACATCGGATTTTTTGATACCCTTGGTCCAGGAGAGGTCACGACAAGAATATGCGGAGATATGAATGTCGTCCAGGAAGGTATCTCGAGTAGAATCTCAATATTTCTCACGGCTATTGCGACATTCTTATCTGCTATTATTATCTCCTTTTTGAAGAACTGGAAACTCGCCTTAATTCTCCTTTCAACTTCTATTCTTCTAGGGGGAGCAGAGTTTGTGGGGGCAGCATTTGCGTTAAAGTACAGCAGAGAGAATTCTGCGTCCCTGGCTAAGGGAGCATCAGCTGCTGAGGAAACATTTAGCTCTATCCAGCATGTTTCTGCTTTTGGGATCCAGGCAGCTATGGCCAGACGCTATCAGGTCTATCTAAATACTGCTGAGAAGTGGGGACTGAAGATGCGTCTGTCAGTTTCAGTTATGATAGGAGCCGTCAACGCATTGCCGTACCTTACATATGCATTGGCATTCTGGCAAGGGTCTCGCTATATTGTCAGTGGTGAGTCAACCGCTTCTGCAGTCGTTACAATCGTCCTAGCGACAATAATTGGGGCCTTTGCGGTTGGGAGAGTTGCCCCAAGTGGAGAAGCCTTTATTAGTAGCATCTCGCATGCGGGAACTATTCTCAAGGCAATCACTCGCAAGTCGCCATTGGATCCATTTTCTACTGAAGGACATCAGCTACCAAAAGTCCAGGGCAATATTGAGTTGCACAATATCAATTTAACATACCCATCTAGGCAGCACGTACAGGTGCTGAACACGGTAAGCATGAAATTTCCTGCGAATAAAACCACCGCCTTAGTGGGTGCTTCCGGATGTGGAAAGAGTAGCATTATTGGGCTGATTGAACGTTTTTACGAGCCTACGGGAGGCTATATCAGTAAGACTGTTCTGAAGTGAGCCTGAGCTGACCGTTGATACTAATATTACCTGCTCAACTGGTAGCATTGGACGGGCATAAGATATCGGACTTGAATCTGAACTGGCTTAGACAGCAAATTTCGTATGTTGTCCAGGAGCCTGTCTTGTTTAACCGGAGTATTTTTGAAAATATTCTGCTCGGCTTCCCTGACCCTGGGTTGTCGCGACCAGACCATGAAACGCAGGAGCTCGTATATTCTGCTGCCAGAATGGCAAATGCCCATGACTTCATCATGGCTCTGCCCCAGGGGTATCAAACTGAGGTTGGGACCAAGGGGCTGCAGCTCTCAGGTGGCCAACGCCAGCGGATTTGTATTGCCAGGGCCATTATCACTAACCCAAAGATTCTACTCCTTGACGAAGCGACATCAGCCTTGGATGTCAAGTCAGAACGAGCAGTTCAACAAGCGTTGGAATCAGCAGCGCAAAACCGCACGACAATTGTGGTTGCTCATCGTCTATCGACTATTCGCAATGCTGATAACATCATAGTCATGTCGAATGGCTCTGTGGTTGAACAGGGGCGACATGATGAACTCATGAGAAAAAGCGGGATGTATTCCGCCTTGGTAGAAGCACAGCAGATGGACATTCCCGCACAGCATCCCGTAGAAGAAGTAGAAGAGAAGCACGTTCTAGAAAAAGAGCGCACGAGAGAGGTTGTTACGACAGCCAGTATCGAAGTGAATCCATGTCCGGATGGCAGCCTCCACGACAGGCATCAGCAAGATACCCAAGAAGGACGGCGTCCGACCTTTAAGACCTACTTCCAGACTGTAGCACAACTTAACCGAGAGGAGGCACATGTAATTTTTACTGGTGTTTTTCTCTGCTTCATTGCAGGCTGTGTGATCCCAGTGTAAGTCTTGATAACTATTATCAGCGGTTACCTTGCTACTGGCAATGATGATAACAGGGATATTCACCAACAGACAATCCGTTTTCTTTGCAAAATCGATCAATGTTGTTTCTCTTCCACCATCTCAATATGCTCAGCTTCGGAACGAGATCAATTTCTGGTGTCTCATGTTCCTGATGATTGCTATTGTCAACTGCATTGCATGGGTTGGCCAGGGAACATGTTTCTCCTATTCTACGGAACGACTATCTCATAAAGGCAGATACCAGATGTTCAGGTCTATTCTTCGACAGGACCAGGAATTCTTTGACCAAAAGGAGCATTCACCTGGAGGATTATCCTCATTCCTCTCCACGGCACCCACGGAGCTCGCGGGCCTTAGCGGTGCGGTAATCGGCGCCTGTTTGACGTTCATTGCCACTATTGCAGGAGGAGTCATCCTCTCCTTAGCGGTGGGCTGGAAACTTGCCCTTGTATGTGCAGCAACAATTCCGATAATGACAGGCTCCGGCTACATTCGACTCAGAGTTCTCTCGCTCTTTGACGGCCAGATGCGGGCAACCCATCAAGAAGGTGCCATGTATGCTAGTGAGATAATCACGGTTATCAGATCCGTTGCCTCGTTGACGCTTGAAAGCCATGTCCTAGACGAATACAGCCGGATCCTGGCCCAGCGTGCAGCCAAAACTATGAGATTTATTCTGATAACCTCCACTCTATATGCTGCGTCCCAGTCTTTTACATTCTTCTGCATGGCACTTGCGTTCTGGTACGGCGGAACGCTCCTGGCGGATTACGAATATAGCATGCTTCAATTCTTCACATGTTTTGTTGCTTTGATCTCAGGGGCCCAGATTGCAGGGGCTATCTTCAACTTTGCTCCAGATATGAGTAAAGCGCTACATGCTGGCCAGCGTGTGAAGGAGCTCTTTGAGCTGAAGCCTAGGATCGATACGTGGGATAACTCTGGCCAACGCATTACTGGCAGCACTGGACAGATTGATATTGTGGATGTCACCTTTAGGTATCCAAACCGCCCTGAACGACTAGTTTTAGACAGGCTCAACCTCAGTATCGGCCGTGGTCAATATGTGGCATTGGTAGGGCCTAGCGGCAGCGGTAAGAGCACTGTGATTCGCCTATTAGAGAGATTTTTCGAACCGACTGAGGGTAAAATCCTCGTGGATGGAAAGGATATTTCCCAACTCAATATCAATGACTACCGGAGCTTAATGTCCCTTGTTGGCCAGGAACCTACCCTGTATGAGGGGTCAATCCGGGATAATATCCTTCTAGGCACCGAGAGAGAGGTAAGGGAGGATGAGCTTGTGCAAGTGTGCAAGAAAGCGAACATTTACGCGTTTATCTCTTCTCTACCGTGAGTAGTCTGGGCCAATGTGATTTGTCATTTTATGACCACTGACGAATACTTCTAGTGATGGGTTTGCAACCCTAGTTGGCACTGGGGGAACTATGCTCAGCGGAGGCCAGAGACAGAGACTTTCAATTGCCAGGGCGCTGCTTCGGGATGCTCGGATTCTGCTTCTTGACGAGGCCACGTCAGCGTTGGACTCTGAGTCTGAAAAGGCGGTCCAGGACGCTCTTGATAATGCTAGCAGGGAACGAACTACTATTGCCATTGCGCATCGACTGAGTACAATCCAAAATGCGGACTTTATATGTGTCCTGGATCATGGCAGGGTAGTCGAGAAGGGCACCTATGCCCAGCTGCTGGCCAAAAAGGGGCTGTTCCATAATTTGGTACAGATGCAAAGCTTAGGGGCTGTTGGACCAGTGAACTAAATAACGGTAAACAAATACACAAGAAGCAGATAATCCAACCATGTTTTCTCAGTATGAGTTGCATCTGCTGCCATGTAAGCTCGTAGACTCTTGGAAACCAGGGCAGGTTCTGGTCATACAAGCATCGCTGTTGTGCAATTGTAGACTTCATCTCCAATACACCATTCTCCGCTTTGAGATCTGCGGTATAACGTCGAAACGCATGGTGTATAACTCAGTGTTATAGACTTGACCAGCAAACCTGCCGTGACACTGTTCCCCCCGCCCCTCCTCCTCTGTCACCTCGACCAGGTCTAACGAAAGCAGTCTAGATGATCGACAGGTTGACAGACCAGCCGACCAAAAGGAGAGGGGAGAAAGCTGTCTGCGGTATCACAGAACGGGGAGGCGTAGGTCTGTAAGGAGTCACCGTAACCCCAGGCTTCCTACTATTGGCAAGGGAGATGCAACGCCGGACCAGAGACAACAAACCGACATTCCTCCCCGTCATACCAGCCGTCGATGCAAGGATGCAGCCTGCTTTCAAGAAAACTAAGCAGTACGCAAGCCCCTCGCCGGGCAATGAGACCGGAAGTCGAGACGCCGTCCCTAGCATCCGGGCAGCTTGCTAACCCCCCTTTTTTCCCTGGGAGTAACTAAGCTGCAAGCTGCAAGCTGCAAGACCTAGACACTTTGCAACATGCACAGCCGTCTATAGCCATATTTTACTGGCCATAACGCCTCATAAGATTCGAGCTAGGGGAAGAATTAGGAGTAAGTAGTTTTGCTTGTTTTCTTGCTAGCAAAGGGGACGTCATGATCGTGACGTACGCTGGCGTTAGCCCTCCAGACCAAGGTTTCGGATATCCCAAGTCTCTGCCCTTCCTGTTGACTAGCGAGAAAACTCGATGCTTGTCTGTGAATAAAGGTATGAAGTCTACTGCCGGAACGGCCCCGGGGCCCTTGGATAGCTGCTAACTATAGCTAGGGGGCTCTTAATAAATACCAGGCGGGATGCCTCCTCAGCTTGAGATTCTCTCCCTGGGAGACACACTTTGCATCTAAGCCCTGATTATTCTCTACCACCATCAAGCCATATCGACAGCCATCAGCTCAGCTAGAACGGAACGATGGATGTGCTTAAGAGCCCCGAGTTCGCGGAGTTTGTGAAAAATACCATAGACCGGTACCATGTACCAGGCGTGGCCATCGCCGTCGTACAGGGCGAGCACATCGAGTCCGCAGGCTTTGGAAAAGCATCCCTGGATCCGCCTGAAGACTGCACGCCTGATACCCTCTTCGACATTGCCTCGACCTCCAAGTCGCTGACTGCAGCGTCGGTTGCACTGCTTGTCGACGATAATGAGAAACACCCGCAGGTTCAATACGATGCTCTTATGGCTGATCTCCTACCAGGCGACTTCGTGATGCCGGGAGACGGACATGGGGATGTCACTCTGGAGGATATCCTCTCGCATCGAACTGGGATGGCACCGTAAGATACATATTGTCTCTCCTGCACCTAGTTCTTGACCGACAGGCTCTAACGTCTCGAACAGAAATGAGTATTCGCTTATGGGACCACACGCAGCTCAGCCCGACGATGCACAGTCCGTGACTAGGAGCCTCCGGCACCTGGTGACCATAGCCCCCAATAAATCGGAGTATCTCTACTGCAATCTCATGTATACCGCCGCCTCGTACCTGGTCGAGCAGAAAAGTGGGCTCAGCTTCGCTGATTTCCTGCATGCAAACTTCTTCCAGCCACTACGTATGCAATCTACCTATCTCCAGCCTTCCGCAGCCAGGTCGAACGGACTCTCTCACCTCCTGGCGACAGGCTACTTGTGGAACAAGAAAGCAAACAAATACACGCCTATGCCATGCCATGATTCCCCCGAGTCACAAGGGGCGGGAAGGATTATTTCCAGCGCAAACGATTACATTCGCTGGGTTCGGGCGTTGATGAACTGCAATGACCCCGTTACGAAGAGCATGTATGAAGGGATGATCAAGAAACGTATCTCGCAATCGCCGCCTGGCGAGAGCGGAGATGACGAAAACGAAAACGAGCATGACCACAACAGGCCTTCGCAGGTCTTCGCTGGTGCTGGAGTCGAAATACTTGAGTACAATGGACATGTCATGGTGACCCACGACGGGCTCGATCTCGGGTTTGGTGCAACGCATTTTTTCCTGCCTGAACAGAAGTTCGGGGCAGTGATATTTGGGAATTCAAATAATGCGTCTAATGTTGCGAGGTTGATCAAGTATAAGCTTGCAGATTGGGTGACGGCTGGGAGCGAGAAGCTGTACTCAAGCTTGCTTGATGGAGTGTCTTCGAGCGAGAGTGACGAAGATGAGGAAGAGGAGGAAGATGAAGATGACTTCACTGATATCGAAAATGAGATGATTGATGAGTTATGTGCTGATGGAGGCGTGAGGAGTGATCAGACACTGGCCCTGTCAGCTTATACAGGCGAGTACTGGCATGACGGGTACAAGGGAATCAAAGTCACGCAGAAACAGGGCCGGTTGTTCGTTGATGCGAGAGATCGATCTGTGAGATTCACTCTGGAGTTCATGCATATCTGTGATCAGAGGAAGTATATCGCTTACATGGTCGAGATGAGTGGGCAGGATGTCCGGGATCCTTTGAAAGCTGAGTTTGTGCTCGAGGGCGAGAAGGCGGTGCAGCTTGGTCTGACGCTGGAGGATGCATGGGATGGGTATATCTGGTTCAAGAGGGTGGATGTGGCGGATGTATAGACGGAGAATGGAAAGGAATTAGAAAAGGGGGAATTGACTTTGATATTATGCACTACTCTTAGTATCTTAACCATTTGCAAGAAAAAAAACAACGCCGTAGAATTAATAGAATTCAAATAGGGTCAGAAAACAGTATTGGCATAAGTCTTGGGATCGTGCAGAGGAGTCTCGAAAAAGAGTAGATAAATGAAAAAAAGGGCGCTGAGGCTAGGGGCGTAAAAGGGGAGGGACAGCTAGATTGCTATTCCTGCCAACCTGCCAGCCTAGCGATGAGATGCTATGTACGCTGAGTGTGCGCCAGGGGGGAAATAAAAATACGTAAAAGAAGATAGATATAAAGGAGAAAGAAAAGGAGACAAAGGGGACAGGACGGACGGATAGGAATTAAGTGAACCTAGACGTATCGAAGCGAATGTGCCGAGTAGTTTGCATGGGGTTGATTTTGGTTGAATTTTGGTGAAATCGAACGGGATTCAAAGCCAGCTTTGTTTTTTTTTGTAAGCGAAGATAAGGAGAAAAGAAGGCAGGTTTAATGAGAGTGAGTGAGTGAGTGTTGTTGCTGGTGGCCAGGTTGATCTGATGCAAGGAAAATACTTCATCGCCGTGCGTCGCTTCGCTGGGGTATAATAATCGAGATAGATGTAAGAAATATGGAAAGAGAAACAACACAAAAGAACCAAGGCAAGAGACAGCCGGATATTCCCCCCAAAAAAGAAAAATATTTGCCCCAAAACCGAGTCCAGAGCCGAACCGAAACCAAGTCATTGGAACCACCAGTAAGTAGAACCGCCTCGTTAAAAAGTGAAAAGAAAACAACACCATGCCCTTAGCAAGTTAGAGAAACTCGTCAATGTTCCGCATTATTATAGGCTCTGTAGACTGCTGCGGCGATCGTGGATCATACATCACTGTTGGTCTGTTGATTGGAGACGTTGGTTGGTTGACCTCGAGAGATTTGCGAACCGAATCCACACCTGCCAGACCCAGACCGCTGGCGACGGGAGGCAGAGCGGGAGCGCCAGGGGAGAAAATACCCGGCGAGAAAGGAGATGCGATGACGAACTGATCTGTGGTTTTTGGGGAAAAGATGGTTGATTCATCTGGAAGCGTGGTTGTAGGCGCAGGGCAATCGGCCATATGTACGTCTGTCTCGCCGTGTGATTTGTTAGGAGGCTGGAAGAACGAGCGGTTTGGGAAGAGGGTTTCTGGACGAGAGGTGGAGTTGGAGCGACGATACGAATGGAACGTCTGATATTTTTCGCGTAAGGGTAACGGACGGGGCAGTACACTGGAGCGTTTGGATGAGGAGCCGTTGCTATTGCTGTTGCTGTTGCTGGTGTTGCTGCTCTTGCTGCTGCTGCTGGTAAGCCGAGAAAGGCTGAACGGGTTGTGCGAGAAGAAACTGAATCCTGTGTTCGAACTTGACTGGCTCTCCAGGGAGGGTTTCTTGAACGCCGGAGAGGACGATGGAAGTGGCAGTTGCGGTGCCTTCTCCTGGACAGCTGGACTGTCGAGCCATTCCGGAGCAGGCTGCTTGCTGGTATTGCTCTTGTCCTGCAGCTTGCTTCGGAAGTCTGTCAATTGATAGATGAGGCTCATGTTCGGCCCTACCCAGCGACTACGGGCTTTGACCATGCTGTAGACGGAGTTGAAATCGAGATGTCGATTTTTGTAGAGTCCATAGGCGATGACGAGTGAGGCAGAACGGCTGACACCGAGCTGGCAGTGGATGAGGACTGATTTGCCCTGAGAGAGACGCTCGTCGATCATTTCGCAGAGGGTGTAGAGGTCATCTAGGATTTCGGAGTTGTGGTCCCAGGGAACGTGTATGTACTCTGGACGTTGGCAGGGGGTATCTTCTGCCTTGGGTGTGGATGGGGACTCTGACTCGCCCTCCTCGGTGGTGGCAGATGGCGGGTACTCGAATGCGGACATGAAGGTGGCATCTGAGGTGGCGGTGGAAGGCTCCGAGTTGTGCCTGCCGACATTGGCTTTCCAGACGGACATGACAGTATCCTGTCTCTCTCTGGCAGCGACTTTGAATGGGTTGCGGACCTCCTTGGCTACGTTGAAGACGACATCGAAGCGAGAGGCCTCTTCATGGCTAGGTTCGAGGTAGAGATACAGGCCGGAGTCGTAGATGAGGACCGGACCGTGGGGGTACCCGCGTTCGGAACCCTTGCGAGACTCGCGAGAGATTGGGTTATCATCTTCTTCGTTTAACCTCTCGAGTAATTCGTGTTGTGTGAAGAGGTGCTGTTGGTGGGTTGACTGGCTGTTGGATTCATCTCGGGAGCCGGAGAGGGGCCGTTTGCCTGGGTTGGTGGTGCGTTGCTGTGATGACATGGACGGTCGTCTGTTGGTGGTGCTGGTGCTGTCCGGGAAAGTCGGGGAAAGAATTGAGTTAAGAGACGGGGAGGATTCAGCGTGACGAAGGAGTGGCTTTAACGTGGGGGTTGGGGGCACCGCATTTGAGCCAAAGGAGCATCGGTTGAAGCCTGGTGTCTGGATGGTAAGGTTCGGCGGTTTCCTCTTGCTGGCATTAGTGGTGGTAGTGTGATGGTGCATTGGCGAGGGCGGCGCGGAGAGGTTCCTGGCGCTACTTTCAGTGATGGGCGCGGTGCTGAGGGGAGGCTGTCGACAGGAGCCCGGCTGTGGCAGTCTGAGGGATAAGTTTTTCAGGTTTCTTGCCTTCCGCGAAGGGGAGGACTCTGGTAGGTTGCAGGACTCCTTTTCCCCGACTGTAGAGCTGTTTTGTTGTTGGTGTTGGTGTTGTGGCGGTTTTAGAAGTGGTTCCGGGACTGGAGAATTGACTACTCGTCCCTCTGGTTTGCGCAGTGGACCCAGCGGGGTGATTGAGGTTGGCGACTCCGGAGACGAGCTCGGAGACGTCTCCATGATGATTGGTGAGTCGAAGGTCGAGCTGCTGGTGGTAGGAGACGAATCGGTTGACTCTGAGGTTGCTGAGATGCTCTCACGCGGTAAGTAGGAGAGTGGCAGCGGAGATGCAAGTGAAGGGTATCGCGCTGTTGTTGTGGTCGTTGTTGTTGTCGTCGTCGACGTCGTTGTTGACGATGTCGATGTCGAGGAAGAAGTACCAGTGCTAGGAGCAGCAGCCCTGGTAGAGATCAACCTGGGTTTCCTGTCGTGTTCTGCTGTCGAGTCTAGGCCAGACTTGCTGTACGCATCCTGCAGGTTCGAGTGAACGGTCTCAGGTATCAAGAAAGGCGCCGAAGACGAAGGGGGCGGCGGATTCAGTGAGGAGTGACGAGTCGACCAGCTGAGCCTTGATCGAGAGAGCGAGCGAGACCTGCGTTTCGCCTCTGAAGCTGTCGTTGGCAGGGACGATGAGGTCGGGTGAGGCATTATCGGCGGTTGCGCAAGCATCAGACCTCTCTTCAAGTATTATCTGTATATAAGTATAGTTTATATATATGTATATATATATATATATAGACAGAGAGGCAGTAGGAGCAGGAGTGGTTGTGATGGTGATGGCGAATGTCTGTGGTTTATCAGGTTAGCATGACCAGACAGACAGTTCCCATGAGAAGGTCATGGTCATGAACTGCTTCAGGAAGAAAACGAAGGAACCAGAAGAAGAAAAACACGCTGAAACAGCACGCAGCCAGGCAGGGCGCGGCAAAGCCATCCAGCAGCGCTTAGCTGGCGTTGAGGATGATGTAGTAGTGAGGAGGAAGAAGCAAAAGAACCCACCTTTCTCCGTACACACAGCCTTCCCTCTGGCTTATCCCCCAGCTTCGAACTACTTTTCCACCACTAATCGCATGGGAAGCCGCCGACGATCGGGAGGAGGAACAGGAGGAATGTCCAGCAAGAGAGAAAGGTCCGGTTATTGCCAGTGGTGACGGCGGGTCGAAGGGATCATGGGTGATGGCTGTTTGTTTCGCCTTTTGGTGCGTGTGTCCTCCGCTGTCCACCTTGGTCGAACTGTCTGTTTCACCACCGGCCGGAGCTACCACCAGGAGAAGCAGCTGGCGAGGACAGAGCTGGAGACGATGGTAATGTATTGGGAATATGGGAATGTCGAACGAGGGGCGTCTTTCCACCTGGGAAGAGACGGGGAGAGAGCAGGCGATGTAGTAAAGGAAAGACGGCGGCTAAAAAAAAAGAGCGTGGAGTCGAGACGGGAGCAGCCCTCGTCAGGCTGTCTGTCGGTGGAGGGAGGACGAGGCCGGCGAGAGGAAGAAGGAGGACGAGGAGGAGGAGGGAGAAGAAGAAGAAGAAGAAGACGAAGCGACGGCGATGAAGAGATGAAGATGAAGAAGAAGAAGAGAAGAAGAAGAAGTCGAAGTCGAAGTCGAAGTTTGGAGTCGAAGTAAGAGACGAAGCGGGAGCGAAGGAGGTTTTGGGTAAGGTTGGTAATACACGATACGAGAGATACCATCGATACCAACTCTTGACGCTCTTCTGTTGGTGGTTTCTGCGTGGGTTTGGGGCGGGTGGGGGCAGGGGGGGGCGCTAGGGGAGGCCCGTGACTTGGTATGGTCAGGTACGGTACAAGACGGTAAGTTACCGCTCCTTACAGTGCTTCTACTTCGCTGTCAACGTCTCTTTCTCTTCTATATCTTCTTCTTCCTCCTCTTCACTATTCTCTACTCTTAACTACTAATACATCTTCTTCTTCTTCTTCTTCTTCTTATTATTATTATTATTTCTGCTTCATCTCTTCCTCTTCTTCTTCTACTTACTCGCATGTCATTCTTCTTTGCTTCTTATTGGAGGCTGGCTTGGCCGTCTAAATATAGCATCAAACAGCCAGAGTTGGCCTCCTCGTCTGCTTCTTCTCCTTCTTCTCCTTCTTCTCCTTCTTCTTCTCCGTCTTCTCTGCTGTTCCTGTTTCATCTTTTAGCTCAAGTCGACTAGTGTTGGCCCTCAAGTTCCTCTGCCTCCTCCTTTCTCCCAGCCAACCATGGCCAGCAGAAGAGCAAGCTCAGAGTTGATGGATGGGGGGGGGATCTCTCCGCCGCCCGTCTGTCTCTATATATAAACTAGTACTGGCTTTCCTGGAGACATGGGTTTTGCTCGTAAGTAACGCCAGGACAGGCAAAAAAGCAAGTGGAAGAGACAGGAGAAGGAGTGGGAAAAAGCAATGCTTGCCGCAGCGGCAAGGACCAGCCAACCAGGCGTCTCGGGGCCTCACTTTGGCCCCTTCAGCTAACGAGCAGGAGTCGGCAGTTAGTAAGAGGGCAGGCAGGGCAGGCAGGATAGGCAGCGAAAAAGAAGTCGAAGTCAAGGAAGAAACGACTCCACTGGTGGGTGTTATGTATCTCGCCATCGCCAGGAGATGTACGACATTTCTCTTACTTACATACGAACCCGGGCCATAGAGGCGGGCACATATACCGTCGTCTCCTGGCACTGCGTAATATATGAACAACTCGGGCAGGTCGAAATGTCGCAGCGTCGGAAAATCTGTGAGAAGACAGAGGCAGCAGCAGCCACAGAGCAGCAAAAAAAGGGAGTATGTACGAGACGGATGGAGAACCCGAACGCCCTTGACGCCCTCGTCCCTGTGCTTGCCTCGTGTCCGGCCGGAAGACGCAGCCGTGGTCAGCTTGCGCCATCAGAGGTAAGGAAGTCCTTGCTTCGTCTCTCTTCTCTCGAGAAGTACTCCATGTACATAGTAACAGTCATGTACTGACTGTGACGGTACGGCCCTAGGGTTGGTTATACGCTGTTCAGCCTAGTTTTTGTCCCAAGAGGATATAAATAGATAGACGTCGTTTCACTCGAATCGGCCATCAATAAGACGGCTCTCTCGCTCTCCTGGTTTGTGTATCTTACTTACCACGGAGTGCTCCTTGCAGTCTTCTGCCTTGCCCTGATCTTGATCTTGATCTTGAGATTGATTTCCTGATCCTGGTCTTGATTCTCTCTCTTCGACTTCGTCTTCCTGCTTCTCTCCATGGTCTCTTTCCTGCTGTTGCGGACGAGCTGCTGTCAGGCACTCCCCTCTCACAAAGGTGAAACCGCGGAGCCAAGGAGCAAGACCCTCTAATAATAAGATGTGAAACAGCGATACGGATGGACGCTGGAGTCCCTCCACCCGTGCCCATTACTCGCATGACCATCATCGTGGAGATATATATGTTCGTGCCGGTGTTCATCTCCATGGCGATGTGTTATATGTATGGTCTTGACGCCTTCCCTTCTCTTTGCTTGCCACTTGGGCTTGCTCGAGCACCAACACAGACCAGGGGAAGGAGACGTCATAATCTTCTTATGGCTTCTCTCCATTATCCCGTTCGTCTGCATCCATCCGCATCGTCATCCGTCATCAAGGCAGGCAAAGTAAAAAAAAAAAAAAAGGAGAATAGGAGAGAGCGGACACACGACACACTACCAGCCGTCTCGTCTTGTCTCATCGAGTCTTGTCCTGCACTCTCCCCTTTCTTCCCTTCTTCCTGCGTATGGAGTAGTCAAATTAGTTTAGGCCTGCTGGCTAAGTCTGTAGCTAATTCTCCGGTCCGGAAAGATAGGCCGGGACCCCCTGGTGGAGATGTCTTCCTGTCGTCTCTTTGGGCGGTTTTGCTCGATACCTAAGTATATTCTTCCACCAGTTCCCTCGCGCCTAAAGATGGTAAAAGTATCCTGCGTATCGCGTGAAATGCACCAAGAAGTGGTCCCCCCCTCTGCATGCGATGTTAGGTTGTAAGAGCTGTTGGTTGCGCTTCTGCAGGCCACCAACGCTTCCCCATTGATGTGTGTTTCAGAGCCAGATGGTGCGAGTTGCGTGTGGATGTGATCGACAGGCAGGACGACTCGCTCGTTCCTCAGGCTTGTCTCGTCTCTGGCTGCCCATGGCCTACTCGTGGATAACTCGTGGGCAGATTCGTGGGAGAAGCTGATGAATGATGCTGCTGCTGGTGACATCTCTCTGCCCTGCTCTTGATGCACTCTCTGCATCATCGTACCACGCCGTCTCCCTCCTTGCTGTCCCGTCTCTGTCTCTTGTCCTCGTCCTACAGCCCTTCCCTCCGTCCTACTCGGCCGTCGGGGATATTCTGGGGCCCAGCAAACCTGTCCAACGTCGCCTGGGTAAGACGCATGACGCCGGAGAGGGGAGAGTCTGTCGTACGCGGGAGACGCATCTCCAACGACCTCCATCATCCAGCATCGTCGTCTCTTTCTGCGTCTCCTGCGTCTCCTCGTCTCCTCGTCTCCATGTCTCAGGTCCCGTTCCTGTCCCTGGCCGCCGCTGCCTTTGCCCCTGATCCCGTCCCAGCCTCTGGCCTCGTCCTTTTCTCCTGCTCCCTCTCCCGTGGATCCGTGAAAAGTCAATTGTATCAAAGCCCAAACTCTTTGACTCTTGGACAGGTCGGATTTCGCTCTTCTCTGCCTGTAGCTAGTAGTTAGTAAACCTCCAGTCCTGTCTGTATATCGCGAGAAGAAGAGGGACTCAAAGACAAGGGATCCAGGCTAGCTCCTACGTAGCGCGCTGTGATTTGATTATCTGCAGGCGGGAAGGGCTGTAAGTCATCGCCGGCCAGCCGTCTTTATTGGAGGAGCCCGTCCTGGTTGATTCTTCATTCACTTCACTTCCACCACCACCATCATCATCATCATCATCATCATCGCCGTCTCGCTCGCTCGCCTGGCTGCTTGCTTTTTCTTCCTCGTCTTCTGCTTCGTTCCTTTTTTTTTTTTTTTTTTTCCTTGTTTGTTGCCCAAAGGGCCGTCTCTCCGCACTTCCACTCTCGCTCTCTCTACTCTGTACTGTGACTTCATCCATAATCACCATCGACCAGCCACCCACCGCGGCCGTTGGCTCTCTGCACACAGCGATCCTCCTGGCCTGAAACCGCGCCCGTTCGAGTGAGAAGGCAAGGGGGAAAAAAACGCTCCCTCAACGATGGTGTGAAGCTAAGCTGCCGCCTCCGTGTTCGTGTGCCGCCTGCGTTGTTGACCTTGGAGATCCAACTCTGCGCCTCCCGAGACGACGAGCAGCACCAGCACCAGCAGCAGAAGAAAGCAGCAGACCGGACAGACAGACGCGCGACGGAGGGAGAGAGCGCCATGCTGCTCGAAAAGAGCTCGTCGGCCTCCATCACCACGCTCGTCACGCCCACCAAGTCCGCCAGGGAGAAGGGCTGGCTCCGTAACCGCCGGCAGACTGACCCCTTGATCAGGGAGCCCGTCCAGCTGCCGCAGCCTCGACCCAACAGACACTCCATCGACGCTGCAAATGCGAACGCCAGCGCTGGCCGCCAGTCCAGCCAGCAGCCTGGCTCCTCGCCGCTCAGCTCAGAGAGCTTCTCCAACCCGGCGCTGGCCTCCTTCTCGCCCAGGAAGACCAATATCCATACCCCGTCGCGGCCCTCGCATCAATATCAATACCAGCTGCACCACAGCAGCAGCAACAACAGCAACGGCTCCTCGACCGTCAACTCGCCTACCCCTTCGCACCACCCGCACCAGCTCTTCTACACGCCCACGCCGCTCCGGCAGGGCGACCAGGACCAGTACCAGTACCTGCAGACCCCGTCCCGGCTCGCTGAGGAACCGCCGCCGCCCTCGAGCAGCCCAAACATCCGCCATATCACCACCTCCTTCATCAACACAAACACCAGTCTCACCAGTCCTGTGTCCCCCGAGAGCAATACCAACAGTCTCAGTCATCACAGCCATAGCCACAGCCATAGCCATAGCCATAGCTTCCATTTTACGCCCGCAAAGGACTCCAAGTCACCGCACTACAAGCGTGCTCCAGCTTCCCGCAGCAGTCTGGGCATAGAAACCGCTTCGGGACCACCGCCGGCACTGAGCACCCAGCAGCGGAACGTTGCGCAGGATAAACAACAGTGGCAACTCGTCTCGACCGCTGATCCGCCACTGACGCGCAGGCCGACCTCAGACTCGACTTCTGCATCTGCTTCGGCCTCCCTGGATTCAGATCCAAAGTCCAACTACTCGAGTGCCGGCACCAGTACATGTCTGGACACGCTTCCGCGCAAGGAAGATACCAGCAGTAACTGTAACAGTAACAACAACCACACCAACAATAACTCCCCCAACAACAACAATAACAACAACAACAACAACAACAACAACAACAAAAATACTACTACTACCACTACTACTACTACGGCTATTACAAACAATACGGACATGTCAACGAGTAGAGACCGGAGTCTGCGCTCGTCAGTCTCGATGGAGGACAGTAGGGAGAGAGATGCGCATGTTGGTGGCGGCAGCAGTAAGGGGTCTCCCCGGGGATCCAAGGCTGAAGACCTCTTCTTGAATATAGCGCAGACTTCTAGTCGACTCAGCTCTGATTCCAAGGCTAGGCGGAGGGTATGTACATCAATGCTCTCTGTGAACCAAAAAGACATGCGCCAAAGATACTAACATTGTACAACAGTCCAAGTTTGGCCTCTCTTCCCGCGCAAAGACAACTGAAGATACCCCTTCACCAGACAGAGGCCACTATTCCTCCTTTTCTCAAGAAACCTCACCCAGGGGTAACTATGAACTCCCTTCTTCCAGGGCCCCTGCTTCAGCTCACCCACTAGACGAAGCTGGTCGTTCTCGGTTCTTCAGCAGCTCAGGTTCAGCCTCAACCATTGGACGCACAAGACCGTCACGCTTGAATGATGAACTATCCCCTGAGCACTCGCAGCGCTACATGCCAGAGAGACGTGATTCAGTTCCCGACTTTGCGCAGAAAAAACCATACAAATCGAGTCTCGTTAGCTCTCGCAAGACCCGCGCAATGACAAGCTACGAAGCGGGAACGGATCGGAACATAGGAACAGATACAACTACAAAGTCCAAAAATGATGGAACAGAGTCCACCATGTCAACCACTGCTCCATCGACCGTCTGGGATGAACTGGATGATCTAAAGTCACGGATTCGAAAGCTCGAATTGACCGGAAAACTCCCTTCTTCGTCTGCCGCAGCCATGTCTTCAATGGCGGGAGAACGGCCCCGAACGGCCACCACCACGGTAACGACGGTATCCTCATCACCAAAACATAAACAAAAGGCCAGCTCCAACTCGCCCCCCGTTGCTCCGCCGATACCGGTAGATACCGATCCAAGCTTCACGGTTAGCCAGGTTCATCCTCTCCTCCACACTGCCCTGGCCAAGGCAAAACCGGTTCTGAACCAGGAGGTCTACCAAGCTCTCGAGTCTACGGCAACGGATGCAATCAACCTTTCTACTGCCTTGACTTCGAGCATGCCACATACCAGCAGCATGTCTGTCGTTACTTCTGCCAGCACTCCGGACCGCGTCCTGCGTCGAAAGGCTGATGGCGTATGCAGGGGCCTTACAGAGCTGTGCCTTGCTCTCTCCGAAGACAAGCTACGGCCCGTTACCATCTCCCGATCAAGGCCAGGGAGTCGAGATGCTACCACCGTGAAGATCTTTTCCGCCGGTGAAGGCGAGCCAGGGACGCCATACCGCCGAAGCGTAAGCCATGAGCCCGAGGACTTCAACTTCAGCCGCCTTCAATCATCCCTTAACCGCGACTCTCACAGCCGGCGAACCAGCGCCCTCAATCTCTCCCCTAGCATGACGACCCTAAAAGCATCACCCCAAGAGGTACCAGACCAGTCAACGACCCATCTAACGACCCCTTCACAATCACGAGCCAACCGCCGCTCTTCTCTACTACGTGCGAGACGACAGGACCAAGAAGAGTATGATACCAAGCTGCAACCTACCACAAACAGCTCTCTGCGCCCCGTCACCCGCTCCATGACCGTGGCAGACAACATGCATTTGGGCAGAGACCGTTTCCACCGCTCATCCCGCGAATGTACACCCGAATACGCCAACAACCAGCAGGAGAACTCCCCAAGCAACCAACATCACCATCATACTCCTCCATTCCGTACTACGACCACCACTACTCCATCAGCCTCAACACCTCAGTCCGGAATCCCACTCCGTCGCACATTCCTATCGACAACAAGCAATATCCCTACAACCTCGCCTGTGTCCATCCAGCCTGGTTCCCGCTGCTACGGAAGCGGTCAACCAACCATCCGGGCTGTTGTTGACGACTACTCTAGTCCCCGGACCAGTTTCGGCGGTGCTGAGGATGACTCTCCCCAGCACCGAAGTACGGCAAGGACAATCTCACATTTCTCTCAGCGTCCTCGAACAAACAGCCTAGGTACTCGACGGACTCCTGCCATTACACTCAACACTCGACGGACTTTCGAGGGAACTCCTGGCCGCTAATTCAGCCAAACACTGCTCGATCAGCTAAATATTCGGACACAGCAGTACCTGCACACACACGGAGTATTCTTTACGTTTTCGCACTCAGCTTTAATCATCTCTAACCTGTTATTCCTTTTGCTTTTTTTTTTTTTTGGCACTAATGAGATATCAGACCTTTTCTTGTCTTTGGCTCTGTCCCTTTCACTGCTGTCTTTTTTACTCGTTCACCTCCTTTTTTTTCTGCTTCTCTTCTTTCTTTCAGCTGTTGCATATTTAGCCCCATTGCATTGTAATCTTCATTGCTTCCATTGCCAGGCATCTTTATCTGACAGGCGTACATACATATCATTCTCATGCATTCCCCTCGTTATCATATCATACCCTACCAATACCCCCCCTACTCAACCGTCCTCCTACTTCTCTCTTTTACCCATTTACATCCCTTTCTCCTCTTTCATCTCGTTGGAACGACGGCACCCCCCCAGAACCTCGCTATTAATATCCCTTCTCCCTGTCTCCTTATCAGCTCTGACGAATCTGCCTACGACCCGTGAAATGATGTATATACAAGCTATCACTTACCTTACCTTTGCCGCTGCCGAATCCGCCCCTTAATGGACACTCTCCGGGCCTTCTACTTATCCAGCGTTAATCCAGCTCTGCTTTCTACTTGCATGAGAAACAAAATTTGCAATATTTCCGTCCTATACTTTCTTTCTGCATCCTTTATCGCCTTGTTTCAAGCTGGTGTTTTGGAGTTGCGTACGTCTTAAAAAAGTGACTTACTGATGGGTCGTTGATAGTCGTTGATAATTTGATCTGACTTGATTTATATACAGCATGTTCATCATTCGTAGTCCCAAGTAACGTAACTTAGGCAGCTAGCTAAGGATATCTTTATCTCGTCTTCGTCTTGACTTCCTTTCGTCCGTCGAATAACTAACTAGTTACTCGCATTTGTGGCGTCGTTCGTGGGCTTCATGCAACCTCATCCACAACTTCATCTTCAACCTGCATCTCTTCCCCTCGCCTTCACACTCCTATCTGTCTGCTGGTCTTCGTTCATTCCAGCGCCCGAGATGGCAGATGGCTTCCACTCTCGTAGAGGAATCCTCCTTGCTCCACCATCGACTCGTATTGCGTCTGGAAACCGGACTCTGCGGGCTCCTGCGGCTCGTGATGCGATCGGTTCATGCCTAGCGAGAGGGGGGATGAAGTAGCGAATACTTCAACATGATTCCCTCTGCGTTGACTCTCTTCAAATACATCTCCTCTCACAAAGGCCTGGTGAAGACTTTTCAAACTATCCCATCGCCGCTGTGCGAATACCCCCGTGGATAGTTACGTCGCGTACTCGGGAAGTTCGACGGGAGAGGCGGAGTGCAGTTCCAACTGGCGCCCTCTCCATTTCGACTCTTCGCTGGCTCGGGCTCGACTATTATCATCGTGTTGGAGGCGGGGATCGTGCCGTGGCTTCGGCGTCGTCGGGTATCGTTGTGCCTGCTGGAAGGCTCGCTGTTGATCGGTTCTGTTGTGCCGTTTTTCAAGAGCCAGTAGTCGCGCAGTTTATCCAGGGCCGTCTTGAAGTCGTCGAGAATAACGGCATCACAGAAACATTTGCAGACAAAGGATATCTATTTGATTCAGGTGACTGATTAGCCCGTCTGCCTTCGAGAGTCCTCGAAGCTATATGATATATACCATACCTTCCAGAATGGATTGAGACCCGTTGGCAGAGCGCCTCGAAACACACCGAGAACGCTCAGTACATCGACGACGATGAAGATGATAGAAATGCACATCGATACCAACATGACCCCGAACCGAGGGCTATGACGAACGAGCTCGACGAAGCTAAAGTCGTATTGGGACTTGATTACCCAGAAGATGTTGCAGGTCGTGTATATCCACCAGGGGTCACTGTCGTTGCCTTGTCAGCTATACACGAACCTTTCTGCTGCGAGTATATCTACCAGCTCCATCTTACCGGAAGAGAGGCTCCCACGGCCGTGTCTTCAAGAAGAGCATGTTAATATTGTTGAAGAAAGCGAAGTTTGCATAGATCTCGATGACCCAATAGATCTGGGCCAGAATGACAGTGCCGATATAGAACATCGAGACCCGGTAGGTAAGAAACGGTTTATTCTTCATCCAAGCAATCACATTATGCAGACTCCAAGACATGTTCAGCCCGACTGCCGTGATTGAGAGGTACCAGCCATAGACCGGCTCGTGGGCAAACAGAAAGGTACCATGGCCCATCCCGAGAATCAACTGCATCCATCACATCAATATCATGTTCCAGAGGATGCAGGCAGAGGGGGGGAAGCGGTCTTACCTCTAGGAGAATGAGCTTGTGAAGCAACGCTTTTCGTCTCATGTTGGCAATGGTGATTGCGATCATAAACAGCAGACCTCCAACCATGAAGCCCTGCGCCCAAGCTTCCAACACCAGGCCATCTGGGTCAGTCGGGCGATGGATGGAGTTATCCTGATCTCCTTCGACGTGCATCCTGTGCGCCAACCCCTCCTGCTCGATGTCAAACCGGACTCAACCCGGCGATGAAGATGTCAACGTCCCTATGGTTGGACTACAATAAGGCCATGCTCTAGACAAAGTATCAACCGTGGTGACATTTGCATATCGTTATCTGGAGGAAGACATGAAGGCCCCGCCTTTGCTGATAGAGAGATTAAAAGAGAACACGATGGATAACGAGTGAGGAGGAGATACAGAAGTGAAGGAGAAGGAGTGTCAGCTCTGCATGTCTTGCTCAGCGGAGGATTTACTTCAACGTCAGCTCAGGCTGACTGACAGCGGGCTGTACAAGCTCTATGTATAGCCTCCAGACAACCTCACAGGGATCCACATGAAGCGCCCTGGGTGGCGTACCAGACAGCTAAAACTACTTATGCGAAGGGCTCGCAAATAATCTTTCTTCCCTCCCAGAGCGGGACCGTTGAAGGCGCACACCTAAACACTGTTAGCGTTGCCATGTGTTCGCATCCCGGAAGTATCGACGAGAACAGCAGGTCGTGCCACCGTCCTTTCGCACTCTGATCTAACTGCTGGTTTACCTGCCAACATGCCCTGATGGCTGCTTACAGGCCCTGGCCAAAAAAGTACACTCTTCCAAAGACCCCATGTCCTCTTGTGCTGGCCACACAAGTCGTTGTGATACATTCTCGCCATCAAGAAACCGTCCCGAACAATGGGCCTCCTCCCCCCTTTTTTTTCGTTTCTCTCCCCTTACCCACCGAGCCGAACGAACACCAACAGTAGTACCTCCCCTCGACTCCGCCGAGGTTTGGGAAAAGGGACAGATTGTGGATTTCGGCGAACGAGTCAAAGCCAACAACGACTTGTCAGGAAAGTTTAACCACAAACAGCCCAGACATCTGGCCTAAAAAAGCCACTATTTGATGAGCGACTCCTCTTAGTCGCGGATGGAGAGCGCTGAACAGGGGGTCTCTAGCGGTGGATATGATCGAAGCCCGGTAGCGCCCTTGCTCTATTGGACGACTGCCCAGGCGAGTCCAAATGCTATCTCGGTAGCGAAGAGAAAAGCAACGCCCACCCGTCAATCATCTGCATGTCATCGAGAAGCCGTGTCCGAGAAATTATCGAATTAATGTTGCGAAGTGCCATGGCCGAGATAGGTCGCTTGCATGTCTCGGCTGTCATATTATATTACTTATTCACCTCCATTTCCGCTGTCAACTTGACCGGTCATGTAAGGATATATGTTGGTGGTCTGAACAGACGCTCGGGGAAGCAGGGGTACTTCTCTGTCTATGTATAAAAAGCATGCAGAGTCGAGGCCTTCGCTTTTGCCCCTGTCAGTGGAGCTAACTTCATCTCTCTAAATTTTGACAATGAACTCTGCACCTTCTTTTTTCATGTAAGTATGCAGGTCCCAGGAGAATCTTAAAGATTGACAAATCTTAGGAGAGTACAATATTTTCAGGCTGGGCTGGTACAAAACCCGGATAAAATCATCGTTCAACCCAGATCCATAGACACATGGGACGCAGATCTGGCCCGACTGGAGATCCCGCCTGATCCGGGGTCGAATTTTGCCAATCTTATGTATCACATCTGCACGTTGAAAACTGTCTTGTCAATTATTGTGATCTGGCTGCTGTTTGCCGTAACACCAGCTAACTATAGTCGCCTGGCGCGTTTCAGGGGTCCACCTGCGACGATGTTGGAGCCAACTGCTCCATCATGAACAGCGGGAGTGCATACACGAAGTGCTTGATGGTCGATACGGCTAGGGGGCATGAGCCATTGCCGTGCCTGAACGGATAGGCCAACACCTCAGATGGTGCGGATATATAACGGCGAACTCTTCCTCGAAACAATTACGAGCTTCTACGGCTCTAGAAGTCAAGAAACTCCTAAAATACTAAACTAGGGCCATGAGACGCTCACTTCAGCCTGAAAAGAAGACACTAAACGTCCGACGAACGGATCAATATTAAAGCTAGGCAAACCTCTAGTTTTCTACCTACTTACCAACTAGTTTAATGGACAGAACAGCTTCACGGCTATTCCCCAAGGGATAAATAATTAAATGTTAGTAATTTCACTCTCCCTTGCTAACCCCACTTCTATTACTAGTTATGATAACTATCAGCAGAGAAATAGAGCTTTAGTGAATCTATTTCCCCGGGAGCGTATTACTATCTCACAAACTCGATGTTGTGATGCTGCAACGTACCTTGTCTTCTTTGCTGCCCAAAACCTTACCTCCTTTCATTATATTTACATTATTTTATTATGCAAATCGTGGCTGCATTCATACAACACTTCCAACGTGTTGGATCACTCCTCTCGAAATATAGGGTGAATCTCAAGTCAGTCAGTACTAGTCTTTCCTTCGGCTACTAGACTTCAAAAGGACTTGAAAGAGGGGTTTATTTTGCCGTTTAGCCAGAACCAAGAGATCTTGACTCGTATAATTTGGAATCTGGGGGAGCTGGCAGCTTTCCCTACCAGTCTCGTATTTTGTAACAGGCTAACAATTGTCGTTCATTTTTGCCCTTGGTAGTAAGCACATCCGTTCAGGCGTAGTTTTAAACAGAGGGGTAACGAGAAGATGGCCAGATTGTCTAGGCTCAGACCGAGGACGCTGCAAAAGGTCTCAAGCACGCCTGCTGCCTCCTCCTTTAGGGAGCTTGAATACCTAATAAAAACCCAGCCCTGCAACAATGTTCACGAGGATACATACCCATAAAAGACCAAAGTCCCTCCATCTCGTATCATAAGATATCCGGAATCGGTTAAGAAACTCGTTCGTCGAAGCAACAGGCAGTATTCGCAAGTATCTCGACATGCTGGGTTTAGAACAGCACCCCCTGCTGCTTCAATGTAAGGGGGTCAAAAATTCTTTGCAAGTGAGTTTTCCAACCGGGGCCATGTGAAGAATGTTACTCTCAGCACATTTCATGTCAGAGTTAGCAGCAGCGCTAGACATGAGGCCACCAACAAGGTATGTTGCTGGTGAAGGCCGGTAAATGAACGACCAGAATGGAAGGTCAACTGCAGGGACCCCCAAACCCCGACATTGTTTTCTTCCTTAGCATATTGCCTTCCTTACATCAAGGAATGCCATATAAGTTTGACAGTTATGTTGGAGAGTAAGTTTGCTGGAAGAGTAATATGTCAGCGGACCATGACTAGACTGTATGTACAAAAGGAGAACGATTTGTAAACCTTGGAGGGTCGTTCGCGCGCCTCATAAAGGGCACGCCGAGGGACAAACATAGGCATAAGCTGCTCGTTGATATTGATGAAAAGGGCTATGTTAATAATATGGGTAGTTGCCCACCTCCAAAGTAATCTGTTTTGCTTCCGGGGGTTATAAGAAGCAGTCGATCAAATTGATCAGATAAAACGCGGAGGGTTGATGGATAGTATAAAGAACAACCTGGCCATTGCTTGTAAGCTTGTTGATAAGTTCAGAAATGGCTCAAGAAGTCTGGGAATCTAAATATCAATAACCTGCTCATTCAACATATTCAAGCTTCTCAAGAATGGTTGATACCCCGGGTTTGTCTCAGCCATCAACATGTTCCAAAAGGCGGCGTGTTACTCCCTTGATTTTAATGTCTTAACAGAGCTCGTGCCAGTGAAATATGTCTTTCCCAGCCACAATGCTGTTCAACTGGTTTGAAGGTTCCATCTTCTTATCTTCCACCGGATGTCTTTGTACTTGGTTATCTGCGTCTCGAGCCAGTAGTTTTGTCAGCTTAGGAGGGTCTCTTCTGTGGTGAAATAGTAGTACTTCCCCACATGCTTTGAGAAACTTCACAAGCTCAGCAGCAAGCATGTACTCTGAGAGAAAGATGGCCAAATAAGGGAATAGAATGCCTATGTTTCTGTGTGTCCCCATTAGCCTATAGGCCTTCTTAGCTATTAGTGGTGTATACTTACCTCCATTTATGTCATTCCAGTAATCAAAAAATTTGTTGATATAAGTGTCCCAATTAGCTAAAGCCAAAGCAGCCTCTGAGTCAACCACAGAGCAAATCTGGGACACAGATGACAAACTTGTATATCATTGGCCACTAGGTACAATTCTGGCACATGGAAAGTCCCCGATTGTGAAACTTATCTGCCATTAATGACTCAAAGCCGTAGGCTAGTGGGTCGATATACGCCATCCAGCGCGACAATCGGGGTATATAGTCTAATGGCGTCGTGAATCCAGTATATATCATGAGACCAAGGCTCAAAACACGCTGGTTATCATCGCCTGGTCAGAGTTCGGGTCAGACAAGTTAACGTGCGGAAGACAGCCGATTGAACTAATGTTGTTAGAAGTATAGTTAACAGAAGAAGAAAAACCCTCCCGCCTAAGGTTCGCCATGAGGTAAATAAGGATGTTGAAGATGAACATATTGACAATCTTATATGGTAGATCAGCAAGGTAACCTGCAATTTCCGGGGCCGATTGGTGGTAGAAAGCGTAGCGATTCTGCTTCTCAATAACCGGACGTTCAACATAGATAGTTAGGACCCATTTCTTATTTGAGTTAAATAAAGTATTCAAACTGCCGGAAGAATAAAGGTTGAATATGGAGCTGTCCGACCTCAAGTTGACTCGCAAAGGCATTGAAAAGCTGAGAGAAGAAGTCCACCGTGATAGTAGAAGCTCGATGTATCTGCGTTGAGGTTATAGAACAAGCTTCCTAGGATGGGTGCCATTATGATCTTGAACAAGAGGGAAGCAATGGTAAATCCGGAATCAGCTAGTAACCTTAAGTTTTAATCTTGAAATGAATATTAAAGACGAACTTCGGAAGTTCATAATTCTGGAGCCACAAGCAACCCTGATGATTTTCCTGGTAGCAACCTATGAGGGTAGAGCACCCTGAACCAGAGGTCCCAGAACGAGCAACATTTCGCCCTTTCCGAAACCCCTTTCAAAATCAGACAAGATATCCGCGCGCCTACCCTACCGGTCTTCACGAAAACACTTGGACAGATAGGTCATAGCCCCTAAAACAACGTTTCCAGTCGTTTTCCGAAGCTCAGCGGCCGTACCATATGTAAAGACACTGAGCCCCTTAAAGGAAACATCGAGGGACCGAGTAGGTGCGGATGCAGGGTCTGATTCTATCGATTAGACAAGTCCTTTCACCCAAAGGCGAGCATCAAATGCTGGAGACGAGGGATCAAACTTGCCATCAGGTGTAGGATTGAATACCTGTGGCTGTCCCTCAACTGAAGCAGAAGCTGAAGATATGGAAAGCCTGCCTGCCACATTTGTAATGCCATGGTGCAGCTCCTATAGCTGGCTGTTTGTCAAAATGTGCTCGGTAGCACACCCTAGTCGTTCATAGGTTCCAGTTTCGTTGGAGAGGGAGATGTTATCCATGATGGATAATGCCTCTAATGTACTGTGGTCCTATAATCTGGCCTCTTTGAGGCAGGTTGCTATAATCACCACAAAGTTATATACCTCTCAAAGCAGGTGTATGCGATGTACCCCGGGGAAATCGGATAGGGCTGAGGCCCCAAATATGCACCTCTAGAGCCCATAAGGCTGGGCCTAGATACAGGCAGAACAATTGATGTAAGCGTCTGAACTAGGGTTGCCGCGAGCGGGTCAACCCCATTGTGCCAGAATGACTGCATCACCATGATGGGCACAGCATCATGGTTGTATATCTAGGATTGGGGAATGCGTGACATTCCCTTGGATTGATGTCTGGGTGCTAGACAGTGTCCGGGGCCAGCATAATGTGCATTGGTTGGATGAAGGTAGGTACTCATGCATGACCTGGTATCATAACTATATAACATCCATGTATGATTTCCAGCGTGTATTTTGGGAATGTTGGTACTTCTGGGATTTATCTGAACTGTTGGACGTGGGACGTTTCGACTTTTGGGTTCTACGCTTGGCGCAGACACATTGATTACCTAAGTTAACTAACTAAGACACAATAGGTTAGTTCCGCGTGGCTCCATTCTCAACCTTACCAGAGCCGCTGCTTGTGGGTCATATTGGAGATTAACACAACATCTCAGCACCAGCACCAGCACCAGCAACACGAACACTGATACCCTCGCCCTTGCGAATGCCGCTACTCTGCCACCTGTACGGAGTGTGTTTTCATCAGATCAGTTATCTCAGTCGGACCATCAACCATGAGCAAAACGACTTGAGCCAAAGAGCACTAGCGATCAGCAGGTTGAGACAATCTGAGTCTTCAGGCCCCGTTATAACCAAATGCGAAAGCTTGACTCTCCGGTTTTTAAAGCACCCTTCCGGCACCAATAACGAACAAATTATACGAGTGAAAACCATGTAATCATCAAAATAGTTATCAAGGATACCGTCGCTGATCTTGATGGCGTTCGGATACATATGGAAAATTCAGCTGCTGATAACCATAAGTTCCACTTCCGACAAGTCAGATATACCGAACAAGATACGACGAGGCCAGTGTCGTTATTCTTGCTCTTTTGCATTTTTTTGGAGCGCATATTATGTTTTGTACTGTTATCCCATGGTATTCACTTATAGAATTGTTCAACTTCGATGGTATAAATACAGCTCTCTTTGCAGCTCTATCTGCACAGATATTTTTGGGGGTTAAGTGTTTAAAACGACTTGATACATTTTCTGGGTATCTCTTTGCCCCTTAAACGACACCTTTAGTGAAAGACAATTTTCCATCCATCAACACTATCGTTTCTCTCTCTCTTATACTGGGTAACGTACTCTTCCTCGACATTGTCTGTGCTCTCTTCCTCTTCTGTTTCATCGGATAGCCATTCCCGTTCACTTTGAATCTCATATGCAGCCGAATATTCACTGGTGACCATCTCAAACGGTGCATTTGCTGGTACCACATTCTCGAAATTCACAACTACCTGGAAACAATGCAGCTTTTTCATCCCCATCAAAGTAGGGTAGACCTTTTCTTCTAGAAGTGGTCTGAAATAATCCCCTGATCTACTTTCTTTACGTCGAATAATGCTTATATGCAAGTGTCGTAGACCTGGGAGCCGTTCGTTGAGGACCTTGACTGTTTTGCTCCAGGTGGCTTCATCGAAGTAGCCCTCAACTTTTTCGTCACAGCAGTCACAGCCAAGTTCCGAATTGAGTCGTATATCAACCCAGAGAGTACGTATACTGTTATGCGCTGCAGTTGGGAACAAGGTAACATCCGTCAAGGGCGTAAATACTTTGAATGTGATATTTTGGTAGAAAAAGTCGAATGCCTCGAAGTACCTATATTTCACCACTTGTGAGCAGCCATGTATCATTCAAAATAAGCATAGTAAAAGCTCCTAACTTAGGGAAGTTGGTCACGTACATTCGTTGACAAGCTTGCAATAATGTCATTGACTTGTCCACGGCGTGATTTTTTAGTCTGCGTGGGGCCCCTCCGCTTATCCAGTATAAGGGCTTCTCATCCGGTTTTATTCGTGGAAATCCCCCAAATACAAAGAAGTACACACGTTCTCGAAGTTCTGCCGGTAGCCTTGTGAACAGTATTGACTGGGTTTGAGGCAGTTGCGGGCTCTTGAAGCCTAAGGTATCCTGAGATTCATCCAAAATGGATGAATCGGTAGCCATTCTTGCTAGTCCTCACCAAAATGGAAAAGCTGGTACCAGAAGAGCTCAAATTTCTCCAGAATTCTCTTACTCAACCCGAGAATAAGAGAATAAGTATGGTAGCTAGCGATAATATACTGGTCGACAGCTGCATGCCAGCTAGCCACGTCATTCCCCAAGGAGTCCTAGTTTGTACTCCGACCGCGGCGGGCTTGATTCTGGAATCGGCTGATTAACTAGTTAGTAAAATAAGTTATGTTAATATGTCACTAGTTAGTTGGTTATATCCAGTTAGTTCTAGTTAATTAACTAAACTATGATTAGTAATCTAAAGCTAGTTATTTATTCTCACCTTGCCAAATATAGCTATAGCCAGAATACGCATAGAATTTTACGGTTATTCATAAACTGTGCCAATAATATAACGACTCTCTCTGCAACCAGTTGAGGGCTTCCTCTTTTTGACCTAGCGGATTGAGAACTAGATGCTTGGGTAGTTACAAGAACTAAGTTAGAAATTAGAAATTTGTGACATTCCCCTTTCTCCGCTTCTCATTGCAGTGGCTAAGTGAAAGCCGTTCTGAGACCTTAATCCTCATCTTCATTTTGTTTTGCGGCTGCAGCAGCACTTGAAAGCTGGCCCCGCCCTGAGCGAGTCATCTTGTCCGTGAAAGTTCCATCTTCGTGAATATGGGCTGACCCAACTCTCACACCTTTTTCATCGTACATAGCAAGCGTCACAACGCTTTTCGTATCAGACGGGTCTTTGGTAGACTTATGAGCCTGGGAACCTCTATATATCTAATGGTTAGCCTGTAATCATGTAACCAGTCTTTTCCTAAACAGAAATAGCAGATAAACGCACTGAATAATAGCAGATATCGCGGTCGGATACTAGAATTATGTCAGTCATAACTCACTATACTAAAATTTGCAAAGCGATGCGGCTAATCGTACCTTTTCGCGGAGTTGGGGGAGCGCAATACTGAAGCCAGACCCCCAGCCAGAACCATTTTTGAGTTGAACATCCCCTACACTCACTCGTCCCACAATTGAAAAAAATCGTTTCGTAGTGGTTTGCATTTTTCCGAGCCCCAGTTATGAGTGCTTGGTTTTCTGGGTGAATTTAATGATAAATATGTATAATGTTATTATACGAATAACGAGTTATCGAGATCGATCCTTTGGATAGTGTTGACAATTCCACCAGACGGGAACAAGGAGGAAAGAACGACAATTATATACCACATCTTTACGCGCCTTGAGCTGAAATGAGCGTTGCTTGCCTTCTACCTATTTCCCCTAGCTTCTCCCAAATTTGGCCCCCAAATGACAAGCATTGCCTGCTTCGAGTATAGTGAACCATCATGGGCTGCTGTATAGCCGCCGTGTTTTAGGTCGAGGATAAACAGACAAATCGAATGGTCAATGTTGTATCTCACTGGGGCCGGAGTAGTTAGGATGTGTGACCCTCGAACAAGGGCACCGCTTGGAATGCCACTTCTTGAAATATGTGCGGAGTAGATGGATGGACAAGACTCATCTCAGGTACCTATCATCTTAAAGATCAACTACAAACTAACTAGTTACTGCCAAGGCTGAAACTCGTGAGTCCACTGGGCAACTGCAGGTGCCCAGGGGGCGGGAACCGACCCCGGTCCGGATGTAGTTAAGCCCGGCAACCCCAGCTGTTCCAATCCGTTCAAATTTAAAAGGCGCCTCCATAACAACTCTTGCTTGATGCTTCTTTATCTATTCACACCTTCACTAGTTTCCAAATGTTTCGCTACATTTATTCTATCTCCCGTTCCCACCTAAAAAACCTGGCACAGCCGTCTAGGCTGGAATCTCGTTCTCCAAAGGGCAGGATTCCCCAACAATCGAGATTCATGGCTTCTCCTGCTTCTCCTGCTCGAAAGTTTATATCAAGCGGACTCAGAGAATTAGACCCGACTCAAAAGATAGAGGAGGAAAGGTTCGGTGATTATGTTGCTGAACGTTACTATCCTGTAAACATCGGCGAAATGTTTTGTTCTAGGTATCAAATAATCACAAAGCTTGGATTTGGCGCTACATCCACCATTTGGTTGTGTCGAGACCTCCGGTACGTTACTCGGCATTCTGGATCAGTCGATCACCTCATTCAATGACTAACGCTCACAAAGAGAACATCGCTACCTGACCATGAAGGTCAATGTTCGGAGCAAGCGGCCCAACCCTGAGGTTGAGCTGACGAACTATATGAAGAGCATAGAAGATATCCATGGGGGAGAAGTTCATGTGCGCCGAGTGTTAGACTCGTTTAGCATTGATGGACCCCACGGAACACATTGCTGTATTCTCTATGAGCCCACTGGTATCGACTTAAGTGATTTCATACACCGTTTAGAGACCGGAGCTCTCCCTCAGGCCATGCTCAGACCAGCTGTCCGGTATATTCTTATTGCGCTGGATTATATTCACCAACTAGGAATTATCCACACAGGTATTTCTAGTTCCAACTCATATTTGGAGCCTTAACTGACTTGGCTCTAAGATATACAACCAAACAACATCCTACTAGGCATAGATGATCAATCTGTGCTTTCGCAGCTTGAACAGGACGAACTCCAGCACCCCATTCCTAGGAAACAGACACCCTCCCGAACAATATACCTAACTCGAGAGATGCCTATTACCAAAGGGTTCCCAATTCTCTCGGATATGGGAGAGGCTCGACGTGCAGAAACAAAACAAAGGGGCCTTATTCAACCCAGCATATATCGAGCACCTGAAGTGATGCTGGATATGGAATGGGATAACAAAGTTGACATATGGGGACTTGCCCAAACAGTAAGCATTCATATAACATCTAATGCCTAACAAATCTAACTAAGCTACAGATATGGACAATTTTTGAGCAACGCCATCTCTTTGACAACATCAACCCTATGGGAGAGTTAGATCATGGTCGTAGGTTCGCTGAGATGATATCCCTAATGGGGCCCCCGCCGCTTGAATTTCTCAAGAAAAGCAAAGAGAGCCTAAAATACTGGGACGAAAATGGTGATATTAACCTCCAATTACTTAACTTGTGCAGTAACTGTTCTAATCTATGTTATCCTAGGTAACTGGAAACTATCACATATTTATCCCATCCCAAAGCAGTCCCTGGAATCCCGTGAGATTCAACTAAAAGGTGACGAGAAGACACAATTTCTTGAGTTTATGCGGAAAATGCTGCAGTGGATGCCAGAAGACAGAGCCGATGCTCAACACTTGCTCTTCGAAGATCCATGGGTAAGGGGAGGAGACTACTGATTCCTGCGTAAGAATGAAACCTCAAACCTTTCTTATTTATAGTAACTTACCTTTTTATTTAGCAATTTTTCCTTAGATTGACCCTACATGGGCCTTTACTTGACGATTTAACTCGACATCTCTTCTGCTCGCACTTTCTCAAACGTCTCAAGAAAGACGGTTGGATCCTCTGCTCCTCCGATCTGGTATTTCCCCTGGATAGTGAAGTTGGGAACACCCGAGATGTAAGCTCTTTTTGCTTCATCAACCTCTCTATCAACCTCTGGCCCGCCCTGGTCACTTTTCAGCCAGGCCTTAACCTCACTTTCATCTAAGCCCGCTTTCACTCCAGCAGCGATAAGGGTGTCACGAGAAGTAATGTCTCCCTCATTCTCAAAATACGATGCAAACAACTCTTCGACGACCCGTGTCTGGACTGCTTCTCCTTTGGTTTTCCCCAGCTGGATCAGTCTATGCGATTCACGGGTATTTCCTGTTCGTCCACCGGGTTTAAAATTAATACCCTCCGCCTGTCCAACCTGAGCTAGGCGGGCCTGCATCATGGCCACACGGTCGGCGCCAAAACGAGCATTGAGATACTCAGTCTTATCAACGCCGATCTCTGGAGCATGGGGATTCAGATAATACGGAAACCAGGAGATGCTGAAGGTATCCTTTGAGTCGGGATGGGCTGCCTTATACATGCTGATCCCCTTCTCGAGGCGTTTCTTTCCCACATAACACCACTATATATCATTGTCAGACCTGGTGCATAATATATGACGTCGAGCATTGAATGTGACTGACCGGACACACTGTGTCAGAGACTATCTTTATGGTAAAATTCGTCATCGTGCTAGTAATCCGATTATCTGGAGGCGTATTATTTCATTCGAGGATGAGTGAATCAATCTCTCCTTACCTGCAGTGGCGATCTCTGCGGTTTTAAAGCGATGCAGTTAGACTTCGATGCGCTGATGTGCTTATAAATCAAACCGTCATCATCACCATCATGACAGCAACCAAGTATCAAGTTGTGTTCGAATAGCCAGACTGAAGATATTGAATTTCCGCAGTCTATAACTAGTTATATGTAACATCGTATACAGAATTATACGAAGACTCATTCCATGCCGTTACTCTAGATGCCATCTGGATACCCACATAACCTGTGTTCTGTGCTATATCCCATATGCCCAGACATGAGGGCATCTCGGGTGTTTAGTTGACCAAGTTCCCCACCACCAAGTTTCAGGTGGAGATGGACAGAATCCCCGCGATGCGCGGCAAAGAAGGTCGACAAGACGGAGTTTAGATGGCGATATGAGTTAAAGAAGATCTTTTCGAGGATAACAGCTAAACTCCGTCTTCGCCTTTGCCTATATATTTGCCCATCGTCCTGTCATAAAAGCAGACAGCCTCTCTGGAGTTACATAACTCGTTATCGGATATCAAAACTCGGCTACCCCACGATACACGTAGCTAACAAGAGCAGGAAATATTTCAATAGCCATGACTCGCATTCTTCTTACCGGTAAGCTCACTATTCGATAGTGATCCTGTGTATTGAGATAACAACAGGAGTGCTGACTCCAGACAGGCGGAAGCGGCTTCATTGCTGCACATGTTCTTGATACCCTGCTAGAGCGTGGTCATTCTGTGGTGACCACTGTTCGGTCTCAGGAAAAGGGTCAAAGAATCCTCGACGCCCATCCACAAGTCGGCAAGGACAGGCTTGACTTTGTGGTAGTTGAAGACATCGCACAGCCAAACGGTAATTTCCTTCTCCAATTTGTTGGCAGCAGAGAGCTATTAGGCCATTGCTAACGGTTGCTTTTTTAGCATTTGATAAGGCTGTTATTTCTGAGCCTCCGTTCGAGGCCGTCATCCATACTGCTAGCCCCTTCCACTTCAAGATATCAGATGCTAGAAAGGACCTCCTCGCCCCAGGTATGTCGCCTTTATGACACCGATGTCACTCAAAAGTACACCCAAGCTAATCATGGCATGTATAGCCGTCAACGGAACTACTGGTATCCTTCATGCCATTAAGAAAAGTGCCCCCTCAGTGAAGAGAGTTGTCATCACCTCTTCATTCGCTGCGATAATTGACCCCGCAAAGCCGAGTAACTATGTCTACTCTGAGGTAAACGAAAATTCTAGCTTAACCGCCCATAATGTTACCTGCCGAAGCTAATAAATTTAATAGGCAGACTGGAATCCAATCAAAGAGGAGGAGGTTGACAAGAGCCCGATTTTTGGGTACCGTGGCAGCAAGACCTTCGCAGTATGTCAATTATTTTCAACATAATTAATTACTCGATCAGGGCTAACGCGGATATGATAGGAAAAAGCAGCATGGGATTTCATCGAAAACGAAAAGCCTGGATTTACCCTCGCAACGGTATGTATAACTATTTGCCTGTTCTCTTCACCCGAAAAGTGAAGGAAACTGTACGCTCATACCTACCTATTTAGTGCAACCCGCCCCTTGTACTTGGCCCTGTGGTTCATTACCTGGCCTCATTGGATGCCATCAACACCTCTAATGAGCGCATTAGTGATTTGATCACTGGAAAGGGCAAGAACAGCTGTCCACCCACTGGAACGTCTCTCTGGGTGGATGTGCGTGACGTTGCAATGGCTCATGTCCTCGCAGCCGAGAAGGCGGAGGCAGCAAACAAGCGATTCTTCCTTGTTGCCGGCACTTATTGCAACGCGGATATCGTTGAGATCATCTCTGAGAAATTCCCTGAGTTACGAGACAAACTGCCATCTGGTGACGCCCTCGCGCCGGGTCTTGTACCGCTAGAGCAGCGCTTTGGATTTGATACCTCGAGATCGAAAGACGTGCTTGGGCTGACATATCGACCATTGACTGAATCCGTGGTGGATGCGGTGAAGAGCCTTCAAGGGCATTTGTAGTTAGACTTACGGGTTTCTACAATTTACATTGCTCACCTTGGTTGCTCTCGTATCGCTTGTTGCAAATTAACTAGTTGAACAAGAGATATAGTCATGAAGATAGCCTCCTCCACTTTGTTTTCCCGACCTTATTCCTACCACGGCGTGACAATGTAGAAATGTGACGGCAATGGTTGCAATAGGACTCATTTACAAGACCTTTTATATAGGAATCTTTAGGAACGGGAGATGTCGTTATTCAAATCCAGTTGCCGAATCCAAATATTGGATTAGTTTATAACTACGACGTCCCATGTTCTCACGGAACATTTAGAACTTTCACCCTATGGCGCTCAGTGTTCGCATTACCCCGTTCTACACTGTCTTACTTTGTAAAGCTCTGATCTTATAGTATGTATTCATGTCCCTAAGCCAGAGCCACTGGATTTTACGGGTATCCTTTGTGAGTGGCCATGGAAACAAGCACTTTTTACAATCAACATAACACACCGAAGACAGCGTGTTGAAAGTGATAGTTAAAGAGGACACTCAGACTTCCGATATCGTCAAACCTGGTTTATTTTGGTATACTTTTTGTAGTTGCCCATCCAGTATATTTCATACGTTCTCCATAAGTAGAAACAATTTTGAGAGGCATAAAAAAATACCCATGAGGGCACAGGATAGAAGACTAGAGGCCGTGACGAGAAGAAAGCATGCAGTGTAAGGAGGGGGGTTTTTGCGGGGCGGAAACGTGTGATTGTGAAGATGAAGGTAAAAAAGGGCTTCAAGTGAAGGGGTGGTGGAACAAACACCCAGGGAGTATAACTACTAACCGGGACACATTTGGTAGTAATCAGCGCGTAAAGTGTGACAGGGATATAGCAGCGGCAAGGGGCTGTAAAGGAGAGGAGTGGAATGGTTTTATTCGGAGGAAATCATCGAATGAAAACGTCGAAGGTAAGTGAGGGTCCGAGGCCCTTTTTGCAACAGGTAAGAAGGCAGGAAGGGGAGGCATTTGAAGACGAATGATAGAAATAAAGGGAGAACGTTAAGTAATCTGAGGGTGAAAGGGAGTGGGAATAAAGAAGGCGGAGCAGGGGAGTTAAAAATATGAAGGACACCCCCGGATCAAAAAAGCTGCTAGTGGTATCGCAAAGGCTGTAAACTCCAGAGTCAGGCTATGTTGAAACACAGCTAGACGGCCTACAAGAGAGGACCCAGGCGAGATCCGCTTTACTCTGGCTGCTGCTGGCTGCGGCGCATCTTCTCGGCTTCAAGGTTTTCGTAGAGAAGGTAAAGAGCCTTTTCGTTTGCTTGGGCACTGCCCATGATCGTAAACATGCGCTCTCCAGTATCATCATGGGGAGCTTTAGCGATAGAAATTCGTGCCCCAGAGCTTCGTCGGATCTCACTGATCTTGGTACCACCACGACCGATGATGCAGCCGACCATGTCAGAGGGGATGCTGATATTCTGGGTTTGAACCTCCTCGCCATCCTCCGTCACTAGGGGGATGCCGCGGTTCGGGTTGTCATTGTTTCCACGTCGACTGTAGCTGCTTGGGTGGTCGCTGAAGTCAGCACCGTTTCCAGTGCGGTTATATGATCGGCTGCTTCCACCATAGCTAGGGTTAGTTCCAGTAACAGAGCCTTGGCCGGAGCCGGAGCCGACGGAAGCCCGAACAGCGGGATTGTAGAGGACGGTGCCAGTGCCGCGTTGCCAGTCATCAATGAGACACTTTCCAATCTCCCAAATGGCCTTTTCAATTCCTTCTGGGGTTCCTTGGACTTCGACAATTCGCTCGGTGGACTGGGGTAGCATTTCCTTCTGGGCAACCATGCGGACTCCGGAGGCATCTTGGATGTACTTGATCTTCAGCCCTTGTCGCCCGATGATGGTACCCATCTGGTTGTGTGAGATGAGAAGCCGGACAGCTAAGAGTCACAAACACAGTTAGTTCTAGCTACCTCATATTTCCCTCTGCATTCTAAGTGAAACGGTAGGTAAAAGTCAAATAGTAAGACTTACAGTGTGTACCGTTGTTTTGGACTACTCCACCCATGCCCATCTGGGGAGCACCTTCCAGTAGACTCTTTGCCACAATCGAGTATGCCTTCGACGTGCCTTGGAGAGGGCCGGTAACCGTGAGGACACGGTCATGTACACCTTGCACAACCTTGCTAACACCAGCCTTGACACCAGTCTCATCACGCAGGTCAGCAACGTTCTTCCCCGCTTTACCAATGATGACACCGGCTTCCTTGGAGGAAACGATAGCGCGAAGAGTCAGCATCGACTGAGCATACTCTTCTTCGGTCTTTGGAGGAGCCTCAGCTTCGGGTTGGTCGTTTACGCTGACGCGACTGAAGTTCTCGGCGAGGGTCTCCTCGGCTGGGCCAGGGCCGGATTCACGCTGCTCGGTAGTAGACATGATTGCTGGTATGGCGTAGGGAGCTGTGATATCGATCTATCGTGAGGAAAAAGGACCATATCTTAGCAGATGTAAAGAAATAACGAGGGCCACCCATCGGCAGAGGGGAATTCGTCTTTTTGACTTGTGTGAATATGAGTCGAACAAAGAGCGGAAACTCACTCTAGATGTCTCTGGTTTTTTTTTTTTTTTGTCCTTTTTGTATACAACGTTTGCAGAGTGAAAGAGCTCACTTGGGCGCAACAACAAGGAGAGTTCCTGAAGGCGTAAGGGATCAAAACAGGAGCTCTGAAGAAGGCGACCGCGGGGGGAGTTGGAAACGAGTCGTACGGAGAAGGATCTGTGTGCGTTGCGGCGGACGGTGAGCGCGGACCGAGTTTTTGAGGTATTGCGGTGGGAGAGCGGGCGGCGGGAGAAAAAAGAGGCAGCGGAGAAGGGGGAGAGAGAGAGAGAGAGAGGAGAGAAGAGAGAGGAAGAGGTGAGGAAGATAGAAGGGAGATTCGCGATGTCGGTTGAGGGACGGAGGTGGTGAGAGGAAGAGACGGAGGAGGAGGAGAAGAGGAAGACGGTGGAATTGTTTGGTCGTCGCCGTTTTTGGCCAAAATTTCACGCTTTACACGAGGATTATGTAAGCGCAGGCCAGAGGTTCCACGGCCAGAAGGGCGCTCGCTCGCTGCAGCGATCTACAGAGGACTTAAGAGACGGGCTGATATTGGATTAAGCGGCTTAAAAATAGTTATATAGCAGGGCCAGGCGGCTGTGTTGCTCCCTGGCAGATAGACCAGCAGTGTTCTTTACACACTCGTGTTGTGCCTCAGGCTCCAGGACGGGCAGAGGGCCCTAAGGCGTCATGAATACTTCAGATGCAGTACCACCATGCAGTAAAGTCTTATCCCAGGTGCCAATCCCAGCGGTAGAAAAAAGCCTTATAAGGCCTGTATTCTCCCCCTCACTCAGAAGCGAGCCCTGTCGACCATCAACCAAAAAGGGGAGGGGCTTCTTCACAGAATAGTATCCATCACCATCTCTAGAACTCTCATTGAGAATGCTTGAATCAGCTATCCCTCTGCACCTTACCCAGGAGCGGACTCAGCCCGCAAAGACGCCGGTTAACTATGAGCCGCCTACCATAGCATACACATCACGATTCACGGAGAATGTCAAAGACATCGTGATGGCCATTATAGGCGCACAGTATGCGTCTGCAGCAGGAAACGATGGTGCTGCCATCTCCAAGATACTGGAATTTGTGAAAAGCCCGACCGATACAGAGGTACGGCCATCATTTTGGGAGTTAGCATCCGTGACTGATGCAAACGGCTCGTACAATATTGCTATCCTTGCATATTGGCAGAGCCAGGAAACATATGAAAGTTGGAACAAAGTTAGCAACTTCAGAAGCTGGTGGGAGGGTCTAGACACGGAAAACCAGCAACACGGCTGGTTTCTGGAAGTCTTCTCTCCCACCACCGATCGATTCGAGACCGTAGCCTCTGACGAGAAGGTCCTCGAAGGGGCTGCGTGTATGCGAGAAAAAGCGAGTGGACCAATTTTAGAACACGTATATTGGGGAAGCATGAGAGACCGGATGCCCATCTGCCAAACAGATGCCGTTCCCGGAGACACCACCAGCTCAGCTGCTCAACAGATTGGCAGTACGCGTCGACGTCGAGTTCAGGTGCCTGGACGACAAAACCTGGTCGTCATTCGATCTGGCCAGGATTGGTCCAATACCCCACCCGAGGAGCACAAGTTGTACATCGACACGATGCAACCACCCTTGATCGAGGGTATGACTTTCCTCCGCGACCACGGCAGAGAAATCGGATGCCATAGCTGTCGACTCATGGACATCGTGGACAATGACACCTTTGAGGTCGCTAAGGATCGCACCTTTGGACTAGCCTATTGGGATAGTCTCGGCTCGTTGGAGAAATGGAGTAGAGAGCACCCTACTCATCTCAACATATTCGGGACGTTCCTGAAATACGCCAAGAGGCTGGATAACAACGTTTCCCTCCGTTTGTTCCACGAAGTCCTTGTCCTGAAGCCGGAGCAGCAGTTCTTTGAGTATGTGGGATGTCATGAGAAGACCGGAATGCTCGCTTCTCTCATCTCTTGAATCACTGCTTGAATGTTAGTCAGATACGGCCTCATCCTGGTGATCACCGTTGTAAGTTCACGTTTTCGGCTTCAGGTAGGGGATCGGCCACCTATGGACCAAGTAAAGTATCCAGGCCATCTCCAAGGAGTGCAGGGGTTTGTTATTGCTTGTTGATTCTTTCTCGCTGTTTCTGCTGTTTCTGATGTTTATGATTTCGAGAACGCGGAATGGGCGAAATGTTGCTTAGTCATTATCCGCTAAATTATTTCGGGCCTAGTTCAATATAAGCTTCAGTCTAGCTGCTTTAGGACTTCGCAGCTCTTGCTTACTGAAGAATTCAATATCAAGCTGTTCTAGCAAATATGGCATATTATTTAAATGAGAGTGTTTGAGATGGCTATATCTTATCTGAGTAGTAGCAAAACAAGGTGGATGCATCATTCATCGGCCTTGAAAATGACTTTCTGGACCTTCATTTTATCAAAAATATCATATCCCTCAACCGCTTGAGTTAGGGGCATAATCTTATCCGCCATGAACCTATACCAGCATCCAGTTAGCCAACTATATCCCCCGGGAAATCATTGCAGGGTCATCCTTACCCGAGCAGGTGTTGCTTCTTCCCAAGCATGGCGAGAGCTTCAGGGAATATCGACCTCACCGGGCATCGCCCCATCTGGATGGTGAGATTCTTGCCATACGCCTGGTTTCCATTCCATGGGATCTAGGAATATCCAAGTTCGTTAGCAAGGGAGGGGCTCTCACAACGCAATCGAAAAAAAGAAGATTGGACTCACCTCAGCATTGTGAACGCCGACGCTGCTAATAACCCCCCACGGCCGCAGAAGATCAAACGCCATCTTGAGGGCCGGACTCAAGCCAACAACTTCGATCACAATATCAGCTCCACGCCCATCAGTCAGCTCCTTAACACGCTTCTCAAGGCCCTCTCGATCGGTTTGGAAGTTCCATGGCTCTGCTCCAAGGGACTTGGCCAATTCAAGGCGTGAAGGCACCGAATCAACGGCCAGCAAGTTCTTAGGCTTGTATTCCTCGGCGTTGATAAGAGCACAGAGTCCCACGGGGCCACATCCCATCACGACCACGGTCAACTCCGGAATCTGCTCTTTTTTGAAGTGCTTGAAGCCGTTTTGGGCTGCAAAGAATCCGGTTGGGAAGATATCTGCCATTAGAACTAGGCAATGCTCATTGATGCCCTCTGGAGCTTTCATAACGGAACCGTCGGCTAGCGGCATACGTACCTAGGAAAAGTTAGTAGAATTGAGACTCAAGGTGTCATTCACATATATATGTCGTTGACAAACGTATTCAGCCTGACCACCGTCGAGGGCTGGACAGCCCAAGAGAAGACTCTTTACGCATCGAGATGAGAAGCCGGATTTGCAGTAGAAGCAGTCTCCGCTATATACAATCTGTCAGCGCGAGCTGTCTTACGAGTAGAGAAATGTAGACGGCCCATACCATGATGCCGTGAAAGGACTGACAACTTTGTCCCCAACTTTCACAGTCTTAACGTCACTGCCGGCATCTACAACGGTGCCGGTGAATTCATGGCCCATGATGAAGTCAACTCCGGACGGTTGGTGGCCACGGTATACATGAAGCTCGCTATTAGGTCTTAATTAGCATCTCCGATTTTAGAGATAAGATAATAGCAATGCATACCTCCCGCATAATGCAGTATATGTGACTTTAACGATAATATCTTGGGGGTCCTGGATCTTGGGGATAGGTCTCTTCTCGACGATGATCTGCCGCGGGCCTTTAAAGACTACGGCGTTCATAGTATCATTTGTCGCCATTTTGTTAAACAAACAAAGAGAGTCGCCTGTTAATTATTTTCTTAGCGATAGACAGATATTTAGCTGTATCTTTGCGCAATAAGCTGCATATACGGACTTCAGGCCGACCTCTTGGTCCCACCGATAGAGATGAGGTGGGGAGCTGAGTAGAAGGCCGAGGCGTCGTCCCTCGGCTGGGGCAGGATCGCAATATTGGCCGACGAGGGACGGTTGAACGATATCTACGTGTGCATCTACAGGTTTGATGAATAGAGTACTTGGGATAGTATCTACCATATGAGCATTATGTATTTGCTATAGGTGTCGATGTGAATATAAGGGTAAATTGATCAGCCAACCATTACATGTGTGACACTGATACTGTGGAGCCGCTCCATAGATACAGCCATCAAAGCCTGAATTAAGTAGAGGATAAGTTTACTTTGGCAGTCAATTGGATGAACAAGAGTAAAAGGATCGGGGTCGAGGAGCGTTTAGTAACAACCAAGGATAAATTAGTAGAGAGTAATAGTTGGTTGACTCCGATAACTAGTGAGGACGGAGGGGAGAATGCAGTGTCGACAAACCAGTGCCAGGAAAAAAGGGAATGAAAAAGACGAGAGGAAAGCGATAGACGCCGGAATCCCGATGGCGATAGATAAAAAAGGAAGAAACCTCCAGTTCTCCTTTAAAAATAAAATGATTCGGCGCCTAAATCCCCCCAGTTCACCACCCAGAGAACGAACTCAAGTTGCATAAAAGAAGGAAAGAAGAAAGAGAGAGAGAGAGAAAGCACAAACACCACACACCGCACACCGCACACCTTAGTACCCCCCATTAATACCCTGTTTGAAAACGCCATTCGTCGCAGCTGTGTAAGGAGGAATCTTTAAGGTCCTGAGATCCGGTTGTAAAGCATATTTTAAGTAAAATGACCGTTCCAGCAACATGTCGCGTTTTCGTGTCTTGCCGAGTAACTATCTTCTTCTTGTGCCAGTGGAACGACAGCCAGAGTAAAAGAGAGAGTTGCCGGAAATGAGATAAAAAGGAAACAAGGTGTTGGGCGGAAGATATAAAGAAGTCGAGAAGAAAGCTGAGTTAGGACAAGGCCTGCCGCCCAGAGAGGAGAGAAACAAGACTGCTCAGTAGACGACGGAGAGCAGCTCAGCTTCCAGAATGAACTTGCCCTCCTTGTACTTCTCTGACGTCTCGTAGGCCTTGTCGTACTTCCAGCCTACGGTCTCGTTGCACTGTGTGCAGTGGATGTCACGGACAACGTGTTTGCCTGTTGTCATGTTGCGTTCCTCAGACTCCGAGGCGTTGATGTTGACAACATTTTCAAACAGGTAGGCCTTGCCATGCTGTCCACGGAAGTTCTATATTTCCTCTCGTCAGCCAAACAGTTGAACATGTGGGGGGGAAGAGTGAGCGAGACAGCCTACCCGACTGATGATGTCATGATAGTCTGCAAGATGGGTTTTGCAGTGCTTGCAGCCGAATATCTTATTTGAGTTGATGTAGATGTTATAAGAGAGCCCCATGATGATTTCTTTTTTTGGGCGAAGTACTAGTAAATGGTATATCTCAAGAAGGGCGGCAGGTTGTCGTGTCCCAGACAGGCAGACGTTGGTGCTCAGAATAAGTAGCTGGGTGTTTGCCTGGTGGTTTTGAGGGAGGCGCAGTTCGGTATTTAAGCAGCCAAACTCAAAGAAAGTCAGACACACCCAGACAAGACACCAGACGCCTTGGGTAGTGAAGTGCTGTAAGTTAACTAATCAAGATAGTTTCTAGGGATAAGGGTTCGTTGCTTGGAGTCCGGCCTGGATGTCGGCACAAGAGGGTCCCCCTAGAAGACAGGCAGGGCAGGCAGGCTGGCAGCGGAAATGAACAGAGCCCGCCGTTCTCTTTTAGCTCTCTTTTAGCTCTCTTGCTTTCTTTGCTGTTCCTCCTTCTTCCTCCCCCGGCGAGTGACTTGGGGAATATGTCGGGTGGTCGTTGGGTTCGTCCTTTGGCTGGCACGCTCGCTTCAGTTAAGGTTTACTGGGAGGTTCACGCCCGTTGTAACCAGATATCAAACAACCACTTGCTTTCTTAGTGTGCTCTGCTAGAGTTGAGAAATGAAAAAAAAGGGAGCAGCAGACGGAAACCACCCCCCTTTTTATGAATGTTTCCGGGGGATCGTTGAATTTGCAATATCGCCCAAGGGCCGAGAGGTGGAGACGGGTACGACGGGGAGGGAGAGCTGGCGAAGAGAGATATGCCGCCGGGCTAGACTCTCTCAGGGAGGGACAGGGGGCCAGGCGGAGAGGTTCGTGGAGCTCAAGATGCTTCGGTTTGTGATCGTAGCAAGGGGCTGAGGACGATATATTGAGTCTGGATGCGTTATCTGCCTGTTTATAGGGTTTTTGTTCGGCGGAAAGCTGGGTTGGTGAAGAAGAAGAGAAAGGGAGACAGCAGACAAGACGGCTTAAAGGAGAAGGTTTGACGAGGTTGAAGCCGGAGCAGGAGGACGGCCTCGAGCGTGAGGATGTATGTATGTATGTATGCACCCCCGAATGGACGGTGAATTTTGTCCGGACTGGCAGGCAAAAAAGAAAAGAAGACGCAGCAGAACGGCGCAGAGACAGGAGCAGAGAGAGCAGGAGAGAGCAAGAAAGTGAAGCTGGAGAAGACCAACGGGGCAAAGGGAGAGAGAGTGAAGAAGGGAAGCTCGGTGAAACTGCTCGGGGAGGTCACGCCTTTGGATGCTGCCTTAGAGACGGTGACCTGACACGCTGCACCTGATGCTGTGGACGGTCGAAGCTGAGCCTGTCATCGCACGCCGTTCGCTCTCACGCTCGCTGTGTCTGTCTCTCTGCCTTCGGGAGTTCGTATTCGCAGGCGTTGGGAGGGCGGTTTCTTCGGGCGTCCTGCAATGACGACATAGCTGGATTCCACATAACTAACGAGCTAGCTACCTAACTACCAGGTTGACCGGCTCTATATACCAGCTACTGGAGGTACAATACCTACTTTGTATAACTATGTACTCTATCTCCCTACAGCTCCAACAGCTCCAACAGCTCTAGCAGCCAGAGAGCAAGACTCCCCTCTGCCTCCTTCGTATCGCCCCCCCATCCATGTCCCCGGCCGGCATGAACTGTTGTTCTCTGCTCTCTCGCTGCTGCCCGAGGCCAAGGCGGTTGGCCTCTTATCGATAACTAACTAGTCAACTAGAACTAGCCAGGCAGTGAGTAACGCCAGCCAGCAACGCCAGCAAGCAAGTCACGACAGCAAAGCAGGCAAAGCAAAGCATCCAAGCAAGCTAGTCGACTCCCTCCTGCAGCTCAGCCGGCAGATCCTGAAGCCCCCGTCGTTGCGTGTCTCATGGCAGGATTGAAACAAAGCAGAAACGAGATCCTCCTCCGCCCAAGACCGCCGTCGATGGTCGGTTTCACCCCAGTACTCTAACACGTACAACAATCGTCTACTTGGGAGCTACCGAAGATCCAGCGTTGCGATCATACCATTATACATCACTCGCCTGAGCCACTTGCGCCGATGAGCCATTTTGAAACATCCCCCAAGGTCTCTTAGTGGCCTAGAAAAGCCGTGACGGCCCGAAACCCCGCTTCGATCATGCCTCCAGTGATAGGACGGTGGTAAGTAAAGGTGTCATATTATCATACATATACATCAGACGACTGAACGGCACCGACGACGACTAGTCTTCTTCTTCTGACGAACCGGCCGGCCCACGGATCGGTGCTGGTAGGCTCCCTTGGAACCCGGTCCTGACTAGTCTACATGCGGAGGACGGAGCTGACTGCTCATGCCGGCTGGGCGAGGCAAGACGGTTTCGTTCATTCTTCGATTTCCCGAGAAAAAGAAGGGCGAAAAAAGACGTTGCTTTCGTTCGTGGACATCCTTGCCGGCTCCTTCTCCTGAGCAAGGAGGATGCGTTCGACCCCCAGCCGGCCTTGGCCTGCTTCAGTTTGATGCAGGGATTTGCATAGCGCGGTGGCAAGCCGAAAGGTGGTTGAATATCCTATTATTTTTTTTATCTTTATTTTTATTTTTTTTTTTATCAGGAGATAAAATACCACCCATTCGTTATCGTTAGAATAATAAGAGTTTCGGAGAGCTGGAGGAAGAGAGCTCATCTATGATCGAGCTTGGCTGCATTGGATTTCCAGAAGGCCTCGCAGTCCGCGTGTCCCCAGTGATCGAGCCACCACTCTCCAAAGCTATCGCTCACCCCATCGTCGACTCGGGGCACTCTCTCTTCTCTCTTCAGCCCGCAGAGGGCGCAGGCATGCGCGGATTTCAGCGCACCCTCGTCGGCAGTAGCAGTTCGTACTTGCATGCTCAGCGATAGGGTTGGCATCGGGTTCTTTCCCCTTGATGTAACCACCGAGTTGAGCAGGCCACTGGACCTCTTCCAAGCCTCGACCACCTCCACTGCCTCTTTTTCTTCCTTTACATTCTCTGATTTGTTGACACTGCTCAATTTCATGCCCCCGGATCGTCCAGACCTGGCAGGCCCTATTTTAGTGCTTTGGCTGAGTATTTGGTCTCGTTTCCACCGTAGATGGCGCCCGGACACGACGTGGGCCATGGTTCTGATATCAGATACCAGCTGGTTGGCGAACTCACCATCAGGCAGCGGGCTGCTGCCGTCTCCCTTCCGCTTTGCATAACCTGCCGCTTTTCGTCTTGACTCTTCCAATAAAGGCGGGAAGAGCGACAGGAGGATCGAGGGCGGTGGAATATTTGTAGGTCGAACCGACGAGGTGCTGGTTTCTGCCTTGCGTGTCACTGTTTTCCCCATATTCAAGCTGGTCCTAGGTGAGGCTGCTGTTACCTGAGCGCGCCCTGACGACGAGGTAGGGATTGGCTGTTGCTGCTGCTGTTGCTGGGGCTTAGTGCCAGCATCTTCGGCTCCGTCAATAAATTCACCCCAATCATCATCATCATCTTCTTCTTTAATCTCAATTTCTTTGTTTTTGTTCTTCCCAGGAGGGGCAGCAACTAGCATCTCCTCGCCTGATGTCTGACCTATTTGATACCGGACCGGTCGATCACCCGTAGAATAACCTGTTGTAGTTCTTGCAGGATCATCGTCGATAGATAGCAGATCGATGACATTCTCCGGCTGAGGCTGAGATTTAGCAGTCTGATGGAAAGATGGCTTCCGAGATGTGGCAGAGTTCCCAGAGCTGCTGCTGCTGCTGATATCGATGACCTGGTGCTGCAGACCAAGAGACCCCTCCTGCTGAGCTATCGGTAACTGCTCTGCACTCTCAAACTCCCCCCACTCATCGTCGTCTGCATCTTCGTCGTTGCTACCCGGAGGTGGTTCCGTCGTGGCATCAAAAAGCACCTCGGCATCACTGCTCGCCCGCTCCAGCGCAGGTGGCTGCCAGGATTCAAATATCGAGGTCTGTGGCGCAGTAGCATCTCTTGGGTCGACATCCGTGTCTAACAAAGCACCGGGCTGTCCCTTGACCGGTCCGGTTGTCGACAAGTTGGCATTGTTCGAGGCGCTGGTGGGCTGTGATGAGGAACCAGGCTGTCCAAACGCCGCAAAGAGATCTGCTGACATCGTTTGGCGGTGGCCACTCCTTTTTCTCTGTCTTCCACTGTCAACCAGAGTCCAAGGCGCCTAGGTTCCTTCTCCTCGGGACTGCTTCCCCTACATCCCAAGCGTCAGCGTCCTCGCTGCGTCCTTGGATATCCTATCCAGCGTGGGGATGGTTAGTTGTTGCTTAGGAGGCCAAGGGTGGTGTTCTTCAGGTAAAGCTTTAACTAAAAACAACATGCGCTAGTTAAAACTAAGCCCACCACTTGCCAATCAAAGTCTCCCCCCTAACTAACTAACTAGACTGCTCTGGTGAAGTTAACGCCCAACTTCAGTGCCCGTCGAGCCTTGGGACAGACCACCCGTACGGTTCACTCATAGCAGACTCGACGATGGGGGGCTGAGGCTTCTCTCGATACATCTATTATACCCTGCTAGCTAGCTGTGCTGGAAGCTCAGGCTTGGTGACTCGTCCAGTCACTATTTTAAACCTCCAGACGGCGGCGTGACTTGAGACTACAAACACCCGCATCGCCAACTGGCCCGGCCCCAAAAGGATAAACCCAACATATCTGATATAGACAGTGCCAGAGTCCCACGGACTCCTGTTGAATGCAATGAGATCTGTGGAGGAATCTCGGTTAGACCTGTACAACCCGGCACATCCTAGCTACGGCACCTTCTAACCGTCTCTTCACCAGGGCTCTATGGAATACCACCTTCCACCAGCCAGAGATACGCTCTCTCCATGAATTGAAACAGGTTTTAGAGACCGGAGATAAGGGATCTAATCCGTGTGAGGATGGATTGCGGTCAGTGTGCTGGAAGGTGTGTCTTTCTTTACCTCTGTCCCTCCGATATCAACTTGCCACTGAGCCCCCATGCTTACACCCTGTTAGGCATTCCTCCTGCACAAGGAGATAGATAGGACCCGATGGTCAATACAGCTATCGGACTCTAGAGAGGCGTATACCTCGGTAAAGCAGCATTTTCTCAAATACATTGATAACCCAGATGAACTGTCCTCTACAGTTGATCCGTTGGCAGAGGACGCTGAAGTATGTGCACCACAGCGCAAGGCTATACAATTGTATAAGTATTATACTAACAGTTGCCCAAAGTCACCATGGGAATCACTTCGACGGGACGAACAGATCAGAGCCGAGATATCCCAAGATGTTGACAGATGTCTGCAGGAAAACAGCTTCTTTCACGATCCGATAGTCAAGCTTAGGCTTCTCAACATCCTATTCGTATTTGTCAAGCTGAATCCAGATCTGGGTTACAGGCAAGGGATGCATGAGCTGCTCGCTCCTATACTGTGGGTAGTAACGCAAGATGCTATTGATCTGCAGACCCTGAATGAGGACGTAGCCTTCGCTGCTGCTGGTGAACAAGCGCTGATGCTACAGTCCCTCGATCCAACATACATCGAGCATGACTCCTTTATCCTCTTCTGCGCTATCATGCAAACTGCTAAGGAGTTCTATGAACACAATGATAGCAAGAGCGGTGGAGGAGGGAGCTCAGAAGTCTCATCTATCATTGCGCGAAGCCAACATATTCATCTGGGCATACTGCGAAAGATAGACCCTGAACTGGCTGACCATCTTGTTGCTATTGAAGTCTTGCCGCAGATATTCTTGACGTGAGTTCTCATTCCATGTCAGAGCTAGAGTTAGAGCTGACTTTGTGGCGTAGGCGATGGATAAGACTCTTGTTTGGCCGGGAGTTCCCCTTTGACGACGTGCTTGCCGTCTGGGACTTGGTTATTGCCGAGAACGTGAGGGCATCACTAATTGACATGATATGTGTTTCAATGTTACTACGTATTCGATGGCAGTGTAAGTATTGGTTATGGCTACATCAATTACACCAACTGAGATGCTGATGGGCTGTAATAGTGATGGAAGCGGACTACTCGACTGCCTTGTCCCTTCTACTAAGATATCCGTCTCCAGAACCTATCAAACCACGTACTTTTGTTCTCGATGGTCTCTATCTAGAGCACAACACAACGAGTGAAGGTGCCTCTTACCTTGTTCATAAGTACTCTGGCAGAAATATTCCCCAGACGGTCCAAAACTGCGCGTCTCCTCCTCCCAGGTTCGGGATGTCTCTACCCAGTAGACAGAAGAGCAGATCCATCACTCGAGATATTTTCAATAGCCCGAGCAGTTCACCGAACAGGCTAACCGCGAAGCGCCTCGACTCTATATTCCAGGATGTTTCGGAGGGCCTGTATCGTCGGGCAGAAGGTTGGGGCGTCACAAAAGCCGTACGTGGTGCGGTGACTGAAGCTCGCCGCAACATGCAAGGTCTTCAAGCAGGCGGAACGAACTCTGCATTATTTAGCCATGATGGCCCGGTATGGGATTCCCCCAGTCCACCCCGACTATCACTCGCTACAGTTAGAGAGTTGCAGCTGAGGGTGGCCACGATGGAACAAAGGAATAAAGACTTGGCGATGATGTTAGAGGATGCACTGAATGTTTTGCATACCCAGCGGCAGGCCCCATCAGGAGCAGCTGAGGAGAAAGGCGCAGAGACAGAGGGCAGCCTATCGGCAATGGATGATGCCGTTGCTGCCATCCGAAAGGTGAAGACCTGTCTTGAAGATGCCTCGATTCCACTGGACTCTACAGGCACTGGAGGAGAAGCACCTCGTCCATCCAACGTTCGAAGCAGCGAGGATTCTCCGACCAGAGGAAGAGCCCAGACTGCCATAGACCGTAACCCTGCGCGAGTAGAGTCGAGCGAGAAGGGCGAAGAACAGGTTACTATCGCTGCCGAGCACAAGACGAGCATGAAGGAGCCGCAGTCGCCGCAGTCGCCGCCAAGCAGCGTCACTACTGCTACCACCAACAGCAACAACACCCTGCCGGCAAAGATGGGAAATAACATCAAATACAATAATAATACGACAGCATCGATGACAGTGCATCCGAGCCGACCAACACGAACCTCGGTCCGGGATTCATCCTTCGCTTGGATCCTGGGCGACGATCAAGCCCGGCCAAGCTTTGCAACGAGCGCATCCGCGCCTCCCGAGCAGAGACGAGTGCCCCTGAAATCGATCTTTGATGACCCTGAGGCCCAGAGTGACAGCCGGGCAGCTGCTGGAGATTTGCTCCTCTCCGATTTACAACATGCACCGCAGTCGATGCAGCAGCGGCGGCGACAACAGTCCCCGGGTCAGTGAAGTGACGGTAACTAGGTAGCATAAAGATCGACGTACATATAGAAATAGTTATTCGACAGCAACGTTCCCACCCGTGATATTTTCACGCTTTCAACGCCAACTCGTGTGACAGACACAAGTGAACCAATGGATCATTTGATGGACAAGTACTCCGTACTCCGTAACTAACTTACTCACGGGTTGACTGTCTCCTTTCCCCAGGCGAACTGCAACCTGCAGCCTTATCCGAAGGAGCTCCTTGTTGACCTCGGGCCCAACCAGGCTCGTGAACTAGCACCACGAGCCAGACACAGCTCGCTAACCAACAAGCCACTTTCGCGAACTGACAACTACACAGCCTGGCCTCGTTATGCTCTTGAAGGTGCCTTGAGCGTCAAGTAACAGCTTGCTAGGCTCTCGACTTTCGAACAATGCACAGAGTACGGAGTTGATTGAGATAGCATGATGGAGTCCCTGAAGAAAGCTGGGCTTTGGCGTAAGTCATATATCATGATATACGTAATATTTTGTTTATATCTAACTAAGTAACTGAATGATAGAGGGGACTTGATCATATCATACGACACTGACGATGATATTAAATATCAAACCGGCGGGACGTTCACTTAACCTGACCTGCTATGCTTCTGTCTCTGGCGATTGCCTGTTGATACGTTTCCTGTCTACTCTTCCCTGATGCCTAGCCTCATTTTATAACTACCTTACGGCATTAAAATATCTATTAAATGTAACATGGCTAAGGGCGAGAATTTTAGTAATATGTCTAGATTCCCAAGTGTTGATTAACTAGTGGAATACGTTGGTCCAGCGTGCATAAATTTTTTTATTTTCAAGGCAGGCGATAATAAAATAGTCAATATTAATATAACTAACTGTCCTTAAACCCAAGAAGCAGCCTGAAGACATATCGCAGAAGGGAGAACGGAAAGATATCAGACTGCGTCTTGGTCGTTCTTGGGCTGTCTACGGATTCCCTTAGCTCTCCCTCTCTCTCCCTCTCTCTCCCTCTCCCTCTCTCCCTGCTAGGCTGCCGTCCTCCGCCTAGCTGCCTGTTGCTGGGCTGGCCATCGCTCCCTTTCCTCCGCAGGCCTCGAGGGACGCCCAACTGCACGCCGCTCGCCCTTCCGTATAGTTATAAATCAGCAGGACGAGAAGCAGACAGACGGCCGCTGCATCGCATCTGCTTCATCCTCTGCGGCTGCAACTGTTTGCCTGGATTGAGCCAGCCAGCGCCCCCCTTCAGCGGCCAACGGAACTCCGCCATTCCCATTCCTACACTATATATACATGACCAGGGCCCGTCAGTGACGTAAGGGACTAAGCAAGCATCACATCGACCACTCCTTCATCAGCTCCCACACTGGGGCCCTTTTTTTTTGTCCCTTTCGTTTCTTATTTAAGCCTGTCTTTCGTGACCGCCGACCCTTGCTCTGCTATGCGACTCTAGGAACGCGAGGGACAGCGCAGGTTGTTTCATCTGGAGAAGACCGTCTGCCTCCGTAACCACTGAAAAGAAACACCGACAAGGACTCACGCCTGGGATCTCTTCTTGCATTCCCCTTTTTGTGTCATGTCAGAGACTGAGGGGATGGGCTATCAGAATGGTCAGTCAGTCACCTCGGTCACTTCAGTCCGGCGTAGGCGAAAGATATTGGTTGCAAGGGAAACGATCTTGTGGCACCCTCACAGCGACATCTAGCAACCTTCTTCATCTCTTGCGCCGCTTGTTTGTTTTTTTTTATCATATTTATTTATAACTGACCTGGTCTGTATGAGCTAGGCGAGAGAGCAGGCATTCATAACGGCGATGGGCGTTTTGATTCCAGCCAGATGCACTCGCCTCACGATACCAGAACCTCGAACCGCGAAGGAGAGATGAGCGAGGACCCCAAATCCCTTTCCATAGACACTTCGTCTGTTGATTACGACTATCTCGCAAGGTCAGTCCTTCGCCCGTGGATACAGACTCCTGCTTAGTTACCCTTCGCCGATGGAACCGCAGTTTCAAGTTAGCTGACAGACAGCCTTGTGCGGTATCATGCACCCGGTGTAGATCTCCTCTGCTCGAACATGACCATGGGCTCAGCTCGTCTGGCCTGCCTCGCATCCGACAATCTTCGAGAGCTCCTTCTCTCCCCTTTGCCTTGACATCTTCGTCTTCGATACAGCCGCCGTCCCAGTCACAGCAAAATAATAATAATAATCATAATAACAGCAAATCCACCATACCATCCACATACCCGTCTGACGGCACAGTTTCGCCGGGTGTCGAAGACCTCTACCGATTTCCATCAGAGTCACTGCACTCCTTTTCCTTCGCGAAGCAATCGGACGACCTGCTAAATAATCGACAGAATCTCCTGAAGCGGTCCATCGATTTTCTCCGGGACCGAATTGGGCTGGCTGCAAACGACTCGGGTCAGACTGATGGCCCAGCCCAAATGAGCGATGAAAACGAGATACAGTGGATGATGGACATACTCTCCCGTTCAAACCTGCTGGGCAGTTATGATGCAGCTAACTACTCTGTGGGACCGGCTACGGGGCCGTCAGTTCCCGAAGGAGGAGGGAATATCTTCGACCGTGCCTTCGGAGCCTATCAAACATACAGTCCTGCAGACATCAGGTCTCCACAGGATAGGTTCACTGGCAGGGAGCAGCAACATTTGAGTCCAGTGACGTCGGAGCGAGCAACGCCTCGCGCGAGAGGCAGAAAGTCCGCTCCATCGTCAAGACGAGTTAGTCTGAAGAGGACATATACAGATATCGGATCCCTGTCGCAGCACGGTAAGTCCATGGGCGCCATAACAGAGCCATACTCTGCCGTGGAATTCCATTCGAACCGGAGTACCTCGTCCTTTGGCTTTGGGTGCATGACGCCCACCATGCACGTCCACAGCGGCAAATCATCGCTTCCTACGCAGGCTGTGTTTACTACAGAAACCAAGCCTAAGTGGACTATCCTTGCAGCCAACGATCTTGCGTGCCTCATATTTGGAGTTACACAGAGTGAATTCAGGAAGATAAGCATTCTAGATTTGATTCAGAGAGAAAGAAGAGAGTGGCTGGCGTCGAAGCTTCAAGGTACACAGATCCCGACGCCAGAGTCAGAATACCGCCATGAGGAATCACCTCGCAAGGCGGCTCCCGGTAAGCTATTCGGCCTGGGAAGCGGCGTTACTGCACAGTTACTGAGCAAACCACCGTCCCGAGTTACGCGAAAAGCAAACGCTTTGAATAGCTCCCCGTCTTCAAGCGCTACAAGTGATAGCGGCAACGGCAACAACGGAACCAAACAACCCAAGAACCCCAATCATTCATCCAAAAGATCGCGTGGAGTGCTACTTTGCGGCGAGGTCGTTCCTATCCAGAAGAGGAACGGCACAACGGGTTCAGCAAGTCTCTGGGTGATGGAGAAGAGAGGAGGGTTGATTTGGGTTGTTGAAGAAATAACTGAACACGCTGTTACCATGGAATTCGATGATAGAGGCAGAGTGACCAGCGTCAGCGGCGATACTGAACAGATATGGGACCGAATGATTATTCAAAAGGGTTCTTCTATCTTCAAGCTCCTACCTAATGTGCCCGAGCGGTTTCCGACAGGCTGCGGAAAGCCTGACTTCTCTAAGATCAACGAACAAAGACACTTCACTGCATTTGGCGCCCGGGATGACAACAGCATCCCACTGACCTTGACGCCTGTCTCTGGATCTCATGCTTTCCGCATATCTTGCTTCCCGCATATCGCTGGCATGATGGTACTCTGTGCCAAAACTCTAAAGATCATCAGCGCCAACTCGGCGTTCACTGCTACTTTGTTCGGCGACCCCAAAACAGAGGGTTCCCAGGTTATGGACCTGTTACCACATTTTGACGAATTTCTCAACATTCTGACTGAGCAGGACGACACTCCCCTTGTGGACGGTGTGGTTATTTCGGAACACGGATTCCGCAGGGCTCGAGCCTTATTCATGATGCGGCATAGTGAATCAAAATTGTCCATGACAGATCTGCGACCTGTGGGTCTGCCGGCGTGCCATAAAGATGGTTCGAAGCTCACGGTCGACGTGCAGATGCGGGTGGTTAAGAGTAAATGTGCGCTACCTGAGAACAGCAAGCCTACTGCTGGGTCCGACCAGAGCAGTTCGTCCGAGGGAGAGAACAGCAGCAATGCCGTGCGGTCTACGGAGGATGTGTTTGCACTATGGGTATCATATTCTAGGCAGCTTCATTCACCTACGGAGGATGACATGCTCTGTTTACCCAACAAAGCTAGGAAAGTGTCTGAGGTTCCACCCATATCTCCAGGCCAGGTGTCTCCCGTTCTATCGGCTCAGAGAATACCACAGGTTGAGTCGCCGTCTGGGGAACCCTTATCCCAGTCATCTCTCTTGACTCAACAGTTGACAGAGGCTGCATCTGAGCCTCTCGTTCCACAGCCTCTGCAACGGGCAGCAGAAGCCAGGGTGGCTGTTCCTGCGAATGACGACGTCCCAACCAAGAAGAGCATATCCGACTACGTAATCTTGGAAGATATGGGAGAAGGCGCTTACGGACAGGTGAAACTGACCCGGTCCAGACGAGACCCGTCGAAAAAGGTTGTCCTCAAATACGTCACCAAGAACAGAATTCTGGTCGACACATGGACACGAGATAGGGTCTTAGGTACGGTGCCGCTGGAAATCCATGTTCTAAACTTCCTACGCCGCGAAGGCAACCGCCATCCAAACATTGTTGAGATGGAAGGTTTCTTTGAAGATGACGTCAACTACTATATTGAAATGGTGCCGCATGGTCTTCCAGGCATGGATCTGTTTGATTATGTCGAGCTCCGTGCAAACATGGAGCAAGACGAGTGCCGAAATATCTTCTACCAGGTCGCCAGTGCCATCGACCATCTACACAACAAGGCGTCTGTTGTCCACCGAGACATCAAGGATGAAAACGTCATTCTCGATGGCGAAGGCAGGATCAAGCTGATTGACTTTGGAAGTGCAGCGTACATTCGCAGTGGCCCGTTTGATGTGTTTGTTGGCACCATAGGTATGCATGCAGCCACCAGCCATTTTTTTTCAAACTTATTGGTTTACTAACAGTAAGGATTTAGACTATGCTGCACCCGAAGTTCTACAGGGAAAACCGTATCTCGGCAAGGAGCAGGATGTCTGGGCCCTGGGAATCCTCCTCTACACAATAATCTACAAGGAAAATCCATTCTACAACATCAACGAAATCATGGACCACCCACTGCGCGTTCCCTTCTTACCGTTCACTGACGACTGTCTCAATCTGATTCGTCGAATGCTTGATCGGAATGTGCAGACGAGAATATCCATTACCGAAGTAATGAATCATCCCTGGATGAAGCCTGCTGCCAATGGTAACGGGAATAGCAATGGCAGCAGCAACAAGTCCTCCTAGTCGATAACTTCAGGGCCTCAAACTACTTTAACCTACCGATACCCCCTATAGCACTTTTCGGCCTCGTTTCAGCATAAACCCATAAGCCCAGGAAACATGTTATTTCGGTTATCACTCTCTCACGCTTTTTTCTATATAAGTCTGCCTCCATAGGCGACCTCCTCCCCCCCCCCCCCCCCCCCCCTTTTTTTCTTTATCATACAACAGGTTGCCCTAACCCTGTCCTCGATCCACCAGCCCTATTTCATCCTTTACTATATGCATCGCGGCGGACTTTTTCCATATTTTCTTGTCCTTTAGCCCGTTCATTTTTTACGCTCTCACGATTATCCTCCTGTCCATGTTTCTGTTTTTCTTTCTATGATATCCAGCCACCATCTTTGACCTTTTTTTTTTTTTTTTTTTTTTTTTTTTTTTTTTTTTTTTTTTTTTTTTAGAATGTTTTCATCCCATGGTTCGTTTTCTCCTATCCCGACTTCTTTGTTACCCTCTTCTGTTTCTTTCATCTCTTTTTGCATGGAGCGGGCATGGCACTGGATTAAAAAATACCGAAAAGGAAAAAAGATAGAGATGATGTTGTATGCTGTATGTATGGAAGCGAAGCCAGGAGGAGGAAGGACGCAGGTCTATGCAGATTGGACACTTATCATTTTTCTTTGCATATCTCGATAACTACCTAACTATCCTTCTCTTTCTTCCTTATTTCTCTCCTTTTTTTTTTTTTTCCTTTGACTCTCCTCCCCCCCACGTTCCTATTATCTATCCACTCTCGTCTTGCGCTGGCGTCTCGGAAGGACTCGCCATTCTCTCTCTTTCTCTCCGCCTTCATCTCAAGATTAAACTAAACCTGTGAGCTGCTAGTTTGTATAGCCGTTGTATCTATCTGTGCCAGACAGGTGGTCGTTACTCCAAAGACATCCATAATCTTCCTGTATCCCCGTCTCCATCCCATGGTTAAAGAGACCGCTCCCAGCTCCACTTGAACCCAACCAGGTGAAACAAAGCAGGTCAACCGATGAAAAAGAAAGAAGCATGTAACTTAGTAATAATGAACCATGTCTGACTGCCTGACGGACTGGCTGACCGACTCACCCAGCTCGCTAACGAACTAAAAAAAAGACCCGCGTGGTCTTCCTTGCCTGCTGGCTGCCGCAGGTGCAGCGTAAATCATCTCCGAGCGGTCTCTTAGCAGGCAGGCATCAGCTGAGCCTGGGAGGTCGGACAGCAGCAGCAGTCAGCGGGCCTGCCGGTCACTTGTCCCCGTCACTGAGCTGCTGCAGTCAATATCGCGCAGTCTCATCCACTATCATAAAATAATAAAGACCACAAAGAGAGAGAGACGAGAGAGAGAAGAAGAAGAAGAAGAAGAAGAAGAAGTACCCGGTACCTCGGCTCTTCGCCCCGCCCGCTTATCGATAGGCGATAAGCCCGCCTATCCGGGGTAGCGTCGACTTCGCAGCGCTAAACCTCTTGGTTGGCTAGTTAGCGGGACCACCGGGCGGACGACCTCCAGTTTAACGACTCCATCCTCACTCAACTCCGACTTCACGACTCTCGCGGCCTTCTGCTCTCTCCCCACACCACCACCACAGACGCATGACGCCCTAATAGGCCCGTTGACAGCTCGAAGTGGGTTGGCTGCCTCTGTCTCGCTGCGGGTGCCATGCCGATGTGACTCGTCCGCAGGGCTTGGTGGCGGCTCTGGCAGCGAACAGGTACTGCCGTCATCGACTACTACATCGCCAGCTCGCATCAGCCAGACAGGTCTCGAGACCGTTGTAAACGCAGCCTGCCGACGCCTTCCTCGCCGCCATCGACCTTCTCCTGAGAGGATCCCGCGCCTCTCTTTGGCTCGCCTCAGTCAGTCAGCGGTACGCTTTAACTCTATTACTGCCACCCTTCTGTCTTCCTCGCCGGGCCGGAATGGATACTTGACCCTCTCTCTCCTTTTTTTCTCTCTCTCTCTTACCCTTATCCTTCTTTCTCTCTCCGGCTTCCCCTTTTTTCCTCGCCTTCCTCTCATATCCTCTCTTACGTTCCTACCATAGCCCAAGCAGTTCAAGCAGCGCCAGTCAATACGTCTCCCAGGGAGGGTTGCTTCGTGGTTTTGCCTCCTCCTCGCTTATTCCTCCTCAGCCGGGGCTGCTCTGCATTGGCGTGATATGGATACTACAAGGCTTTGAAACGCCAAATATTCATCACCACAACTACAATCAAATTACAAACACCCTACCACTCAATCCTCCAGCAGTTGGCGACGAGCATTAACTGTTTTTTTTCTCTCCTCTCGGCTACTAGACCCGCTCCTCCGCGTCGCTGGACTCGTCACCATGGCTTCAATCTTCCCAGACGAATTCCAAACGCCGCCGGATGGTGAGGCGTCTGGCCAGTCCTCTCCCCCTCTCACTCCTGGAATCGACGAAAATCAGCAAGATGGTCAGCAGAAGCTCAAAGGCCGCAAGAGGATCCTCAAGGGTATACAGCGGATAGCCTCCAGTCCCTCTCTGGCTAGGCTGGGCCGGGGTCGGTCTGCTTCAGAGGGTTCGCGACGCTTTCGAACTGGGGCATCCATGTCCTGCGTCTCTTTGACCTCCAATTGCTGGGATGACCCGAGCGTTTATGGCGATCTTTCAAACAGGCGATTCTCACCCGCTGTTTCTAGCGGTTGCTCCGGTGCGGACGATCACCATCAGCCGAGCCGGGTTGTTGGAACAGACAATACAGCTCACAATCCGACTTCTATTCCACTTCCGGCAGATCTACGGCCGTCATCTCGTGCAGTGATGCTCGATTCTACTGCGGAAGAAGATATTTTTGAGGATGCACTGCCAGTAAGGAAGATGTCCGCAGTGCGTCAGCGTCGGGATACATTTGTTCATCTACCTATGGAAGTCAGGATCAATATTCTCCAATATCTCAGCCCAAAAGAATTGTTTAGATGTTCCGTCGTGTCTAAGAGTTGGAACAAGATGTGCTTCGATGGTCAACTTTGGGCTTGTCTAGATACCTCAACCTACTATCAGGAAATACCTCGATATGCCTTGCTCAAAGTGATTCTGGCTGCAGGGCCATTCTTGAGGAATCTAAGTCTCCGTGGCTGTGCTCAGCTGCTAGATATCTGGCGCACAGAAGGTGACCGCGTGACAAACCTGTGTCGAAACTTGGTGCAATTGAATATCGAAGACTGTTTGATGGACCCAGCTACGACCAACTGCTTCTTTACCCGTAACCCGCGATTGAGACATATTAACATGTGTGGCGTCTCTACCGCCACTAACTCCGCCATGGAAGCTATCGCAGAAAACTGCCCAATGCTAGAGTCTTTGAATATCTCGTGGTGTGCAGGGATAGACACTAGGGGGCTCTCCAGCGTGGTAAAGTCTTGCACTCAACTTAAGGATCTACGAGTCACCCGCATTGTAGGATGGGACGATGAGGGTATTATGTTAGACTTGTTCAAATCGAACTCGTTAGAGCGGCTTGTCCTCGCTGACTGCGCTTCCATGACCGATGCCAGCCTGAAAGCACTCATCCAGGGCATCAACCCGGAAATCGACATCCTGACTGGCCGCCCAATGGTCCCTCCACGAAAACTCAAACATCTGAACATTTCCAACTGTCGTCTTCTCACTGAAAATGGAGTCAAGATCCTTGCTCACAACGTTCCAGAACTCGAGGGCCTGCATCTTTCCTTCCTTAGTACTTTGACAGATGATTGCATTGCATCTATCATCAACACAACCCCAAAACTACGGTTTATCGAATTGGAAGAACTCGGTGAACTGACAAACTTTGTCATCACGGAGCTGGCCAGGGCTGCATGTTCTCAAACCCTTGAACATTTGAACATCAGCTTCTGTGAAAATATTGGAGATACTGGAATCTTGCCCTTACTACGCAAATGCCCCAGTCTTCGTTCTCTTGACTTGGACAATACCCGCATCTCCGACCTCACATTGATGGAAATCTGCTCTCAGATGCGAAAACGTGGTGTCGGACCTGAACTCTCAAAAATTGGTTTTCGTCTGGCGGTATTTGACTGTGGAAATGTAACTTGGGCTGGGGTCCGGGAAGTGCTTTCTAACAACTGCTCTGTTCCCTACATGTCCTACCCATCTTCTGGTGCACCAAAACCAACTCGCTCATCCCCCTCTCCTCGCTATTCTGATGATGGGGAGGAGGAAGATAGTGGAGAAGGAATTGTTGAAGAGGATGATGACAGCTCTTCCACCATCTCCAGCGGCAGTTCTATCACTACCACGACTTCAGATTCTGACTCTGGATCATCAACCCCTTACCTACCGGCGCTCTCTTCTCCCATTCCACAGCCAACTCCCCGCCCAAATCTCTACCCGAAAGAAATTATCAGCCTCAAATGCTACTATGGATGGCAAAAGACCGTCGACGAACATACCAAGAGAGTCCTTCGTGGGAATCTCGCTTCCGCAATGCGTCTAGAGAGGAAATGGGGCGACTTTATGATGGCCAATGAAGAGACGGGCGGCACTACCAGAAGAAGTAGACGCCGAGCAAGAGATTTAGAAGCTCTATATGACATGGACGAAGACCAGGAGTACGGTTATGGGCCAGCTGGATTGGCTCCATTGGGTGGAAGAAGACGACGAGCCAGAAGTGGCGGTTGTCTCGTCATGTGAAGGATTCCAATCTTTCACCCTCCTCTTCTTGATGAAACATTTTCATTGCAGTGCTTACGGAGTATAACGGATATATACTGGAGACATCTTACGAGGAGTTCTTTTCTGATGTTTTTCTTGAGCGATGGGTCGTTTTTATCACTTTCCTTTTTCCCCCATTTCATATGACGAACGACCTATCTATCCACGAGCGAATATACTGCAGCAACATCTACGAAAGGGAGTACGGGGATACATTTTTACTTTTTTTCTTTTTTTTTTTTTTTTCTACCTTCTCTTCACTCTGCAAATTGCAAGGAAAGCTCACTGGGTTTGCACGTTCCTTTGTCCTTTGTTATTCCGTGCTCATATCAAACATGGATCTCTCCTTTATGTTCATTTTATTTTCTTTATTTTAGACTGGGCGGCGGAGTTACTGTCCTTTCAGACCAGGGAAACCGGAATCTTAACAATATAGGATTTCATAGGGTCTTTCTTTGTGCCCAAAATCATATATGCGTCTATCTTTCACTCACAAGAGGGTATTAAACAGTATATCTAATTCAATCATTTCTCGAAGAAACCACCGTCACTTTCATCATCTTCATCATCCCTTGCTTTGTCCATATGCTGATTCTTCCCACGCAACGACACTCCGCCCTGGATTTCCTTAGTTGACATGGTTGAATAGCTTCCCTTTGCCTTGCTCTGACCAGGAGCCATATCACCCTCCTTAATTCCACCATTGACTCCCTTCCTCTCCCCCGTAACTGTGATCCCCAATTTCCCTTCCCGCAGTAATTCCAACGTTCCATCTTTCATGCTTTGCTCCACAGCGTACCAGAGCGGCGGCCTCTCGCTCGACGCATATCGAATTGGAGCTAGTTTCTGTCCAAGCGCGGACTTCTCCTGGTTTTCCTCTTCTCCATCTTCACTCTCTCCCTCTTGTTCCTGACCATCATCACCGTCCTTTCTATTCTTCTTCTGCCCTTCCTTATCCTTAGATTTGTCTCTGGGAAATAATGATATGTACTTCTCCGTTAGCGGGCTGTACTTGGCGTAGTTTATATCTACTTCAGTAGAATATATTTGTTTCTCAAGTTCCGCCAGTCGATCAGCCCTCGACTTTGTTGTGGAATTCTTCTCGTTATCGTCGTTTTCCTCTGAATTTTCCAATTTCTCTTTCATCCGCCGTAATTTCTTCAAGTTCTGGGTGGCTGTTTTTCGCTCTATTATATGCAGATAGTTAGTAAAGACTGTTAGTTATAAGGACCGCATAGATATAGCCAGCAAATTACCTAGAAACCGAACGAAATGATATTTCGATATCATCGCATTTCGAGCTCTGTTCTCCTCCACTTTCTCTAGATCTCTCCGGTATCCTTTCAAAGCCCTCTCTTTCTCAATCCTCACGTCCGCAGGGAGGGTCTTCGAATGCTCTAATAGCCGCTTCGTAGCTCGTATTTTGCTCTTCAGATCATTGACGGAGGGCCCTGAAGAACCAGCGGCATTATTTCTGGTGTTCCTCTTGTGATGTTTTGACCCATGGGCATTTTGCTGGTAGGTGTATCGTGCCTTTTTATATTTTTCATGAGGCTCCTCGCTACGGCTGCGTTTGCTGGAGGTAGAACTCATGGTTTCAGTGGTAGTGATATAGATGTGGTACTCCAATGAGTGCAAGAAGGGTAGATATGAGCAAGTTGACGGCCGCCTACTGAAATCAAAATATTACTTTTTTCTGCAAGGTAGCGATTTTGATAAGGCGGAGTTTCTTTGAGCCAACATTAACAATATTATGTAATATGCATAAATTGTCCTGACCAATAAAATATCAGTAGATCCATAAGGTTTATTTATTTTCCAAAAGACTGCTTATATAAGCATTACCTTCCTAGTCGCATCTGGAGAAAGAAGATCGTTTACTTTCAGACAGGCCAAAGGACGTCAACCCCAGGACGGACTGACTACTTTTGAGCAATAATGGCCTTATAATCGCCATGGCCCTTAATCCCGGGTGAAATACGCCTAAGCCAATTTTCATCATATGCATTAATTTACGATAGAGCCAAGATACCCCACACAGGATGGAGACCGCTGTCCGCTGGTCACCGAGTTCAACATTGGACGACCAGAGGTTTCTCTACGTCGATATACCCGGCAAGTCCTTCAACTTATGCAAGGTCACCTCTCGCGATGATGTCCTGGGGACGTTGAAGTATGATGTTCTATCCTCCCGACACTCAGTCCCTCCATTCCGAGCATTTGACTGGTCATCAGCCGATGAGAACTTAGCCGTTGTTGGACAGTCGTCGGGAGAGGCAGCAGTTCTCCGCTTAGATGATGATACGCAGAGTCCTGTTGTTTTCCCCATACGAAATCAGAGATCTTGCAATGCTGTTGCATTTAATACACAGGGATTGCTAGCTGCTGGGCTCGACAAAGTTAGGAATGATTTCAGCCTGAATATATGGAATGTGAATCAGCGCCTTAGCTTAGGAAGCTCCGCTCGACCATTTGGATCCAGTCGGTATCCTACAGAACCTCTCCGGAAGCTTGCCAGCTCAGAACCAATTACAAGTATCAAGTTCTTCAAGGATCACCCAGAAACGCTAGTTGTTGGGGTTCGAGGTCAGTCAGTTAGGATATATGACTTACGAGGTATGTACATATTTCAACCTCTGCTCTTTTGCCAGAGCTCCATAACTTGATTTTTGAATATAGTATCTAAACATTGTATGTTTCTAGAGTCATCTGGTAGCCCATCACTGCAGTTCATCACACGGTGTGTCCACAACATAGCCATAGACTGGCTAGACGAGAACTATATTGCTGCTTGTTTCCCTTCGAATGATGTCGCCATTAGCATATGGGATCGTCGTTCAGGATTTCGCTACCCCACAGCCGCAGGTGCCGCATCTGCTAGTGCGGATTCTGGCCCTCTCTCTACTGCATTGGACTTAAAACCAGATATAGAATCCAACTCTACAATCTCGAGTCTCCGATTTTGTCGATCAAAGCGAGGATGCTTAGGAATGCTTACCACAACCGGAACATTTCGTTGCTATGATATTGCGAAGGAGTATCTTTCCGAGGAAAATAAATCATCCTTAGAACATGCACTAGGGCAAGACTCGAGCAAACATTACCCTGAGCAAATATATACTAGGAAAGTGCAAGACTTTAGGCCCTCTATTCTCCCTTCTGGCGGTGCTGCAAAGAAAGACTGGCAACGGGTTACTTCCTTCGATTTTCTAAACAAAGGAGTGGTATCTCAGCCGGTTGCAATAACTCTCTTGGCTGACAAGACTGTCAGCCTTTTTACTCCCCCGCCTCCGCCATCCTCCACAGATCTTTCTTCTAAGTGTTCTTTGAGTATAGGAGGTCCAGTTTGCAGTGACTCGAGCCCTATGGTTTTAAGGCCATCATCAGACTTAGGAATCACGGCATCACAAATTAATTTTGGAAAAACTCCTAATGTACTTTCGAGCGAAGAGGAACATAGCCACCAATCCACCTCGGATCACCAAATTGGCGAAACGGCTGAAATAAACCACGAAAAGCGAGATGGCGCATTTTCAACTGACGACACTCCCTCGTTTGATGATGCACTGTCATGGCTAACCATACCCCGCTTGAGATGTAAAGAAGGATATCTGCTGGATAGCGAGAAAAATAAAACTATAGTATCCGATAACCACTCTCTACAAGAGTTATGGGATTGGATTGGGCGTAAGTTGCCTGTCTACATCGAATTTTCTGTTTTACTAATAAAAAACGATCAGGTGCACACTCGCGGTCAAATAACGACTCAATGATCATACACGGAATTGATATGAATTATGTAGGCGTGTATAGTGTTTGGAATGGAAAGCTCGGTTTGTCCATCTAGTATACCTTGGGTTCTTATTTTCGGCGATTATTAACGTCGTAAACAGGACGAAGCTTTGAAAGCAGACGTGACAGTTCAGAACTGGCTGAAGAACGAAGTATAAGCCAGCTTTTCCAAGAATTGGTACACAAGCTTAACTTCGCTCAAAGCAAAACCTGTGAATCTGAGTTTCCCGAAAAACGTCAGCTTTGCCTTCATATATGCGGCGCGCCTGAGTCAAATGACGACCTTGTTAATACGGTGAATAAGCTCGTGGCAGACAGGCAACATTCCAAAGCCGCTGCTTTAGCTATATTCCAAGATGAGGTGAAATTAGCCTACAAGGCGCTAAGGGAGAATAAGCCAACCCAAGCACACAAGTTGTTGGCAATGGCCATCATAGGAGGGTCAAAAGGGGACGCAGGGCCCGATTGGGAAGAGACATGTGCAGAGATTGCAGCTGAACTCACAGACCCTTATGCCAGGGCCATCCTGGCCATGGTTGGCAATAGTGACTGGATGTCTGTATTGCAAGAAGCAACTCTTCCTCTCAAGTACCGTGTGGAAGTGGCATTGCGCTGGCTACCTGACGCCGAGCTCACGAGCTACTTGAGAGATGCCTCTGTGCAGGCTATACACCAGGGAGACGTTGAGGGTGTTCTGCTTACAGGACTTGATCATGCAGCGTTGGACTTGTTTCAATCATACATTAACAAGTTCAATGACGTGCAGACACCCGTCCTAGCGATGTGTCACACGGTTCCACGATTTATCAGAGATGCCCCGAGCAAGGCCCGGTTCGAGGCATGGCGCGAAACCTACCGACACCAAATGAACTCATGGAAACTACATCTGAACAGAGTCAAGTTCGATATCGAGTCGCGGAAACTTGCGATAACATGGGAATCACGCAGGCTCGTGGAACCACCTCTCCAACAAATTAGCCTTGTTTGTAACTACTGCACCCGCCCCCTTACACAACAGGATACTTCAAATTCTGAGATTGCTACCACGCCCACCGAATATTCCCACGCAACCCCAGGGAACCCATTAGGTCACCCCTCCATGAATGGCACTGCATGCCCCAAATGCAACCGGCATATGCCTCGCTGCGGTATATGCTCGTTGTGGCTGGGGACCCCAGACCCGATGTCTAAAGCATCAATCGCAGAAGACTCGAAAAAGGCAGCATCGACTACTCAGAGTCACGATGATATTATGAGACGGTTTGTAGCGTTCTGTGTCAACTGTAACCATGGGTTTCATGCAGATCACGCGAGGGACTGGTTCAATAAGCATAAAATATGTCCTGTTGCGGAGTGTGGATGCATCTGTGATCGTTGATTTTGTCAGATGAAATATACTAGCTTTTGTGTAGTTTCTGTATAGGAGCCACTTTTAGGTTGCAAATCTATAAACAGCTTGTGCTGAACTTCATGTGGATAGTACCATTTCTTGCCCCCAATCATCCACATCCCCTACCATCGGCTCCCCCTGCTCTTCATACTCTCTCCTCCTTTATCTTTCTTCTTCTCCAGTTCCCTTCCTTATCAGCTAAGTGGATTATCCATACTCGTGTCCAAACAATGCTTCATAAGATAGCTGCACATCTATAACTGAATGTTCGACATTTTCCCTTTATCTCCAGATTATGCGGCAGCTTTGCGATTTATTTTCCTGTCTTGCCTCAAAAGCCTCCAAAGGGGCAAGTATCTGGGCTAATATTAACTATACATACTAGTTACCGCTTCACTTAATCTACGATGCAGCAGTCGCGTATCTCCAAGTCGATGAATGTTAATAAGGCACTACTACTCCTGGTTTGTTGAAACATGTCAGTTTTAGCGGTAATTTATTTGATATCACTATGACACCAAACGGCACGTTCTAATAGAAGAATTTATGTATTTTTAGTATTCAATTAGTATTTGTAATATTAGTAATGGAAGCTAGGCTCTATTAGGTAAAGTATAGAGAGCCTCCCAATATCCTCTTTTTATACGGAGTATACATAAGGGATATTACCTACCTTACATCTATAAGATACCTTATGATGTAGTCGTTAGAGCCATATTAGAGATATTCTTATAGAGGAAATAGATATTAATATTAAATACGATATCTTCTATAGATATTAGTAGATGGGTTATGGACGCGCTGATTATATAATTAAGCTAACCTGCTAATAACCAATAAGAGCCTTATGTTTGATTACTAATAACACACGCTAAAACTGACATATTTCAGCAACAGGAGATAACGTTAACATCTTAGCTGACTAATGATAGTCACGTGATGAGAACTTCTTGGTTGGACCAATCACCTTACCTAATATTAGCCGGGGTTGGCAGATTGCGTCTTGGCATCACGTGGTATACACTAGCCCTAGATGGTCTGGAGTAACGTCTCCAGGCCAGGCTTGAGCTTGGGAGATGCGACTCAGTTAGTATATATTTAGGACTTTGTCAAAGTAGCTGCCTCTCTTAACTAGCTCTATTACTGTTTAAAAAGTAACTAATTAAGAGGAAATAGGAAATTACATCTTGACTTAGTCATTGATAAGAGGGTAGCCCGTAGTGAGTCATCTTCAGCCTCGTGTGTGACCAATGAACCACCTAGGCTGACCTGGACTTGCATATCAGCACTATAGATACAAGGGCCCTTTCTATGTTAATGTACTATGCGAGATCACTGAACTCATTAACAGCGTGCTTTTCTGCGAGCTGTCAAGTCTCCAAGCATCATCCCTCTGCCTTCTCTCCGACTCGATATTTCCATCCCACCTCCCCGCGTTGTGTCCGCCTTCGCCGCCAGACACCTCCTTTTATACCTATCAAAATGGCGCCGCCTCGGGGAAGAGGCGGCAGGGATCAACCAAGAGAATATAGAATATCAAGAGAACTTACGTTTATTTTGCGACATGCAGCAGAGAAGGAAGGAATAAATATCGACAGACAGGGCTATGCCAACGTTGGCGAACTGGTTAGCATACAGACGAGCCCCTTTAAGCACCAGATACTGATACGTCCTTCAGCTGCAATATAGAAAACTCAAGGGCCTAAAAGCCACCCTTTCAGACGTCCTAGAAGCAGTTTCTACCTCGGATAAGCAAAGATTTGGTCTTCTATATATCCCAGGCCAACCTACCTCAGCCGAGATAAATGCAAAAGAAGAGGCAACCACAGGTGATGGATCCTCTCTTTCAACTGCTACCAGTCAGGCACTCGCTGCGAATGATCCGGATCCGAATAATTACCTGATCCGTGCGCGACAAGGACATAGCATGAAGTGTATCGACGCGGCTTCGCTACTTACACCACTGACCCTCTCTGAAAATCCTCCTGTCCCCTTGCCTGATACTGTTGTTCATGGAACCTACCACGCTACTTGGCCGAAGATACTTCAAAGCGGCGGGCTGAGGTGTATGGGAAGGAATCACATACATTTCGCCAGTGGGCCATCTATAAGCACAATCCTGCCTAATGGAAGAGATGGAGAAGTCGCAACTCCTTCAACCAAAGGCCGAGGACAGGATGGCGTAATTTCTGGGATGAGAGCGGATGCTCAGATACTAATATATATTGACCTTAAGCGTGCCTTGGCTGCTGGGTGTCCATTCGGCATAAGCGAGAATGGCGTGATTTTAAGTGAGGGTATGTCTACCGATGGGACCGAAGACAAGAAGATTGGACTTGAATTCTTCGACATCGTGGTCGAAAGAAAGAACGGCTTGGGTGTATTGTGGGAGAACGGAGAGCTGGTGAAAGAGTCACCAGACTGGATGTTAAATGCAAAAGCCCCAGCAGGAAAAGGTGGACAGAAGGCGCAGGGCGGGAAAGGTAAAGGCAAAGCCCCACGGTTGAAGGTAGAGAGAGACACAGATCATATAGACGAGGATTGATTGTATACCACTTCATGACTAGTTATGCGACATTTATGTCTTTATAGTGGAACTACTCGGATACATGGTCTCGGCATAAATCCAACTAAAAATAACTACTGTAATATTGAATAATGGGAGGGAGGCTACTTTTATAATGAAAGATGGTTCCTGCGCCGTCTTGGCGCATCGGGAGTGACATGAGCTTAAATAAGGTTAAATGTCGTAGTAAATATAGAACACCAACGAGCAGATTTTATGAAGCCAACAGGCGAGCCCCACAAGCACACAATAGCATCAATGGTGTAAGGGTAGCACGGGTGCCTTCCATTCACAATTGGTCAAGCACCCAATCCGCGTTCGAGTCGCGGTTGATGCACATTAACTCACATGTCCTTTTTTTTGTTGATGTTTTTGACAGAATCATATTAATTTCTAGTTACCTACCTAGAGACTGGAAAATTCATAATATCTGGTCCAACCTCTCTCTTAATCTCTTTAGTTCCTCTTTGGAGTTGTCAAATTGTCGCTTAGCTTCCTCATACTGCTCATGTGAAACCCAGCCGTCATTTCCTAGTATCTGCATCCGGAGGTTCTCATATTCACTAAACGCCTCTCCCCATTCTTCAGCTTCCTGGCGTGCCTGCGATATCTCATATTCAGTAAATGAGATAGGACATGGCGGTGTCTCACCGTTTCTCCAGGCCAATTCGCTCCACTGTTCGTAGACCTGGATAAGAAGCTCTCTGAGTGGTATTGGCCCATCTATAGCGGACTGTTGTACTATGTAGAATATGAACGACGTTGGGTATTCGTCATTTCTCATGGCATCCATAGCTTTGACAAGAAGTGGGTTCATTTTTCTTGACGTAAGCTCATAAAACTTCTTTAATCGGAGTCGATCGAGTGACTCTTCGGCCAGCCTTTTCTCCTCTAGTGGTAGGGTATGGAAATCTCCGGGGAGATCTGGTCGGATTGCGCCCCATGGGTATGGGTCATCACAGTCGAAAATTGACGGAAATCTAGCTTGTAAGAAGATCGGAGAGATATATGTTCCTTGCCAGTCGATTATACCAGAGACTTCTGAGGGGTCTGCCTTATCAACAAATATATTATCAAAGTGCAGATCCTGATGCATCAACGTGGGTTTGAGAACTTCCAGTGGAGGTATAATATAGGGTAGGACGGAGATAAACTGCTCCAGAAGCTGGACATGCAGGGACGATGATAATGACGTATTGACTCTCGGTAAATATGACACGATTCTATCTGTATCAGTATTATCGAATTCCTGTATAGTAGATATCTCGCGCTTTGCAATGGCAGTGAGGTATTCCACAGCAGATTTCCCTTCATAGATTCAGTTCATAAATCAGATGCATTATACCATCCCGGTTATACTTACATGGTCCACGGCTGTTACCGGGTTCTTTGCCTCCATCAATATAAAATCCTTTCTCCGGGGTTGGCCCGATCACGAATTTAGAGATATCATCTTCTTTCCTAGGCATTTGGCCTGGGTTAATAGCTTCAAAAAATAAAGAATCATTATCCGCTAATGTCGCCCGATGGTATAAGCCGCCGTATCCAGAAAGTGGGATATCTACAAGCCTCTTCTCAATCTCAACAACGTTTTTGACTAGATTGAAACGCTGTCTTTCCGACATATCGTTCCAAACTTCGCTCAGTTGAACGCCCTTTACTTTGTCCATTAAGATGAATTCAGCACCAACTGCGTTCGGCCGCAATGCTGGGGAACTCCATGCAAGGACCTTTGGAACAGGGATATCAAGTATGTTGTGCAGCTAGAAATCAAGACCGTCCAAGTCAGCGGGGTCACTCGGGGCCGTCTGGAATATAAGAGAACCACATACAAATTCAAGTGTTGCAACCTCACTAGAAACCACTATTCTTGAATTACCAGCATTTGGGTTAGGGATTCTTGCTATTACTTCTCTGCCAGTTTCCATTTGAAGCGAGAACACCTTGTTATGAAGCCCTTCAGGTAATTTATTCAACTTGACACAGGCGCTACCTGTGGCTTGGGAAGCATAGTGCTTAAGGGCGTCAATGTTGAACTCAACATAGCGTTTCCTCAGCTGGCTTTCTTCATCGTACAGCCAGCGGCCTGACGTGTAGCAGAAGAGTGCGTTGCTCTTTTGGTGGCATCGACTTGCCGTAACGCCGTGAAAAGAATGTTGATGTATTATCGAGATCCCAAACTTTCTTTTCCCTAGAATATGGCAACATAGGATGAGTTGCCTGGTTGCCATGATACAACCAAGGACTGCCTTCTGGATATTGGACTCAAGACTTGAAACATGAAAATAATGGAAAATATCAGCTAGTTAAGTGGTTAACTAAACTAACAATTATCGTCTTGCTTGCCTCCGGATTTTGGTTGCCCTTGGCAACCCTTAACTAGTTGTCTGACTTGATATTTGAAATGCTGCTGATCATATTCTCATTATATTCATAGATACACATGCCTACATAACTACACCACATATTCATTAATTATTGATATCCTAATGCCTTCGAGATACCCTAACATTCATCTCTGTCTGGAAGAATATGCCATAGCAAATGCTAGTCCACGGTTTGGTAGTATTGATAATACTGATATCAAATCGACGCAACAACTAGTGAATGGTGCGGTTAGCATCCAACTTTATTATATACCTGGATGATGATATAGGACATACTTCAGGAAACACTTTGTTCAAGTTCATCATTGCGATGGGGATACCCAGGCACCGTGTTGTACCGTGTCCAAAAATGAGCTCCTGGACTCGAGACATCTCTTGTAGGCGCGCTTCGTCATCAATTAACCAACGTTCAGGCCGGAACACCTGAGGATCGTTACCAAACACTGGATTTAGCTGAACGCCCCAGGTATTCAAGCCGATGAATGTGCCTTCAGGATATGCTGTCCATTGTATGTATCTCCTCCAGCAGGAACCATGCGTTCGCGTAACTGAGCTACAGGTGGGAAACAACGAAGACCTTCCTTTATACAGGCCTGGAGATATGGTAAGCGACGCGCTTCCTGGTCTCGAATCGGCGAGGATATCTTCCCACTGGCTTCTGCTTCGTCGATTTCCTTGGTCAGCCGAGCATATACTCGTGGATTGGACGCTACAGCAAGTAAGGTTGCCCTGATTGCAGTTGCAGTCGTATCGGAACCGGCGACCCTTGGAGTTTGTTAGATCTATATCATAATGTTGAATGGTTGATGGACCAGAGCTCACAAGGATATGATCAACTCTGTTTCTGCCTCACTTGGAGAAAGTCCATGCTTCATAAAAGATGTGAGCATGTCCTTCTTCGGTTCACTCTTGGACTGTTGTCTCTTCTCGACCTCGTTACGAGTGATCTGACTGTTGTCAACGTACCGCCACGAGGGACAGCGCTTTGAACGTTTGGATGGTATTCATAACGTACCCCCATGATTATACCGATTCCACTTTTATCTTGAGATGAAGGTACTATGAGCCTTCTCATGAAAGGAAGTCCCACTAACCAGTGCAACAGGTCGTTAATTTCGATAATGACTGAGAAATGTTGAACGATGGGCAGCTGGGATTCGATTGTTTTCAGGAAGTTGGACACATCGCTATCTGTCTTCACAAATCCCATTGGTTTTCCAAAGCAAATATGTGTGATCATATCGACAGCCAGGAACTGGACCCGTTTGGCAATGTCAAATGTATTTGTCCCATTATCATCAGAGAGCCATTTCTGCTCAATAACCTCGACAAAATCCTGGATACGCTCATCAATCATGTCTTCTAGCCCCTCAACGTCCCGTCCTGCGTATGCCCCAGACATTTGATGCCGTAGGTGGTTATGTCGACCTGGATGTCTTTCAGATACTATATTCGGCACCTCAGGGTCGATCCTAATGGAGTCAAACCATGGTCCACGAGTATAATGCGATCGGGCCGCGAGAATCTTGCGTATAAATTCTGGATCATCGGTAAGGAGGTGGTTCGGCCCAATTCGAGCAACGGGACCATATTGCTGGTTGACATTTATAAATCGACTTGCGGATTCGCCGGAAGCTATTGTTTTGCACAGCCATAGGCGTGTAAATGCCGCCCATGGTGGACCATGGAACGCACTAAGGCGCAAGTAACGTGCTGTACTTGACCAGATGACATATATGACTATCGCCGATATTATGGCAAGGCTCACGGCCGAAGGGTGTGTTGAAATGTGGGATTTTGCAGCTCTGAGTCATTGATCCGTCTCTAGCACTGCCTGTGCATAGTCTAGAACGATCGTGTGCGGAAGGATTGACGTTGTCAAATTCGAAGCCATGTTAATAAGACGTTCAATTTAATAGCAGATAACCGCCATACGCTCGCTTTCCTATCAGTATCTGGAACGGCTAACGAGCGAGAGTGGCAGGCTACTTATATATAGTGGAAATATATGGGCCAGCTTACTCCGTAAAGAGTTTCGCAGCTGCCGACCCCTTGTCGGGCCACCAGCTCAACCTTTACCCTGTCGACGGAGTAATTTACAGGGAGAACACAGGCCGGGGGGCCAAGTTACTCCGGGTATAGTCTCTGATCTCGAGTCACCTAGCTGCAGTCGGGCATGCATAAAAATCCAGGGTACACCATAAGCGGCCCCGTTTTCAAACACGGCAGATAAGTGCTAAAGGAGGATACATGGTTTGATTCTCTAAAAATCACACCTGGTACGTGAAAATACTCTCCTTTCAGGGGTGTGGAATATGGGTATATAAGTGCTATTCTACTCGCACGGTTGGTTAACCAGCCATCCGTACTCCGTACAGATAATTCTTTGTATAGTGGACGTTGAGATTAGAGGTATAAAATTTTCCCTGCAGTTTGTTAGGCTGGGTTGTATTTTCTTTCGCTTCTTACTGGTGTATTTATCAGACCCAAGAAAATCCCTTCTCAAATCCAAAGGCTGTATGGAGTCACTTACTTAAGTAGTATAGTGGTTATGCAGGTGTGCAGGGGGGTTTCGCTACTCCGGCCCTCGGAGATGTGGATCTTATTGGGGCCAGAATCCGGAGTAACGGCATGGTTATCTTTCCTCCGGAATTGAGTATTGAGGCGTAGAGCTATGCAAAGCAAGGAAAGAGATAAAGTGCTCTTCTTATGTTCGCCAACTGTCTTCCAGTGGAGAGAATATTTTCTGTTAGACGTGATTAGCCTGTGCCATTCATTAGTAAACGAAGAACTCACATCCGAACATATAGACAGGCATCATATCAACGGGCTAGGATTACTTTTGGACCTACGGGCCCATATCGAATTATTTAGTTAATATATCGCACCCATGATAGGGTCGCGGAAGTTTCCTGTGGGTCAAGCTCCTCCACATAGTTACGTAAACGCGAGGGAAGCTCGTTGATAGTCAGCGAAGCGGACGAAGAACCAAGAGCATGGGACGTACTGGGCTATTTGAAGCAATGATCCTGTCATTATCTTAAGACCCTATGAATTTGGTAAGCGCTTGACATCCTCGTCGTAATATGTATCCAGCTTACGGAGTACTCGCCAGCCGAGTTAGTTACTCCAGGTAGTTACCACAAAGGCAAACAATCGACCGCCAAACCGAGATGGCGTTAATATTGTGCCAGAAGATTCAAAGGCCCAGCAACTTCAATCAATGTCTTAAAAGTTTTGAAAGCGGATTGAGCCAAACGTTCTTGGGGAGTGGTCTGCGTGATGAACTGTCATCGAGTTATCCTTTTACCTTCGAAAGTTTTTAAGGCTATTCTGCGGGCCGCCGCCCCACCCGGACCGAACCTCTCCTCGAAGCGCAATCGTGGGCATGAGTCTGCAAGTTGACAGTCTGATATCACCTCTTCCAAGGTGAGGAGGCCAATAAAGCCCCAATGTAATGAGGAGCTAATATTGCATGATGTTTAGTGCATTCATTCAATTATTTGGGCGAAAGAGTGAGTGTATCGACCATATTAGTTACCTTCGACAACTACTAATTCGCTGATTCTAGACCAGTATTGGCCGCCCTATCATACCAACCCTGCACTTTCCATTGTATCGATCATCTTGGAAGGATGTATTTTGAGAGCGTCTTAAAAGGGCCCTATGGGGACCATGGATTGATTCCACCGGGATATTGACAGAATTTGTGGTCCAAACAAAGAATATGGGATGGTGTTAATATGGGGCGGCAGGGAACTAGCCATGGGATATCCGCTAATTATTCAACGCCCTATAGCTCGGCTTGATGGGAAAGACAAGGTGCATGCGATTGGTATGAAGTTGTCAAAACGGTTTAGATGGAAGTATAGCTCCATACACAGCTATACTCGTATTTTTTGTGTTGGTATCAATAGATAGAAGCCAGACGTGAGACGGAAGGGTATTTTTCCCGGAAAGGGTATATATCGGGCAATACCCTTCTTTCCTTTCCTTCTTCTCGAAAAATCAGCTAGCCTAATAAAAATTATATGAACAAACCGTTATCCTTTCATAAAACATAAACGGCACCCTTCTATCCAAACAGAAAATAGAAATGTGCCTGTTGGAGGGGTTAATTTGTTCAACCAGAGAGTCAGCAGTGATGTCAATGTCTATGGAATCTGCCGCTAAGTATGCAAGCGTGCTCTTGACTCCCTTGAAGAAAATGCCCCTCTCATTGTCGACAGGTCACCTGCACACGTGCCGGGTTCTACCATATTGTGGGCCATATCCACCAGATTCATGGATTTCGGCTGGTTAACATACAAAACCAACTATAGCTATCGCATAGGATGCAGAGGTGATAAAAGTTCCAATTTAAGGCTTGTATAATTCGTAGAACAAGCGGTAACTCACAATGAAGACGCTGAGAGGGAACTGGAGGGACTATCAATCTATTGACGGGGAACTGATTCGTCTGGGCCTCCCAACGGGTAGGTAGGCTTTGTATATGCGATTCTGCTGGTATGCGAGGCCAATAGACAGGATATGTCTGCACATGGTTCATTGAAAGAACCTAGTTGCCGTAGGGTGCTTGGGTGTGAGACCCTAGGGCTCACTACATGTACATGTACATGGGCAAGTGAATTGGCGTATTTGGCGATAAGACGACGTGATATTCAAGCTATCACTGGCCAAGCTGGAGTGAAGACGCCAAATATCCATGGTGGATTTCATGGCTGGGGTATCGTGATGCACCAGGTCCAAGTAATGGCATCTACTTCGTATATCAAGAGAGGAGACAACAATTCCTGCCTGGATCAAGAATCCTGACATCACACTTCATACTTCTGAGTCGTTTGTTCAACTCTGTGGCACATTGAGAAAGGTAGTGGTTAGCAATTCGCTGTCTAGAAAGATGTATGATTGAAAGGTTTCCCTTTAACTTCTGTCCAAGGTGGAACAACCTCAACAGCTGACTAATAGAGCATGTGACTACATTCATCAGAGATTCAAGTCAGGTGACAATTACATAATGACTAATACAAAATATTTCCCGTTACGGAAATATGTTTATTACTCATCTTATGACTCAGCTGTAACAATAATATTACCAAATTTACATATATCAACCAACAAGAATATAGTATTCTAAAGAATACAGTCTCGAATTGTACCAAAATTACCCGTCCAAACCTAAGATGAAAAAGGGGGGTCCAAGCATCAACGAACCATCTGGTTTCAAGGGACGAACGCGAGATCACAAACGGTAAAAAAGAAAAGAAACGAGAAAGAGAGAAAAAAGAAAAGAAAAGAAAAGGACAACGCAAAACAAGAGTCTGGCCCTCTCGACAAGCCATGATCACCAATTTAAAGAACCAAAAGCAGATAAAAAAAGGGGAACGATCGATCAGACGGCAAGATTGATCTCCACTACTCCATGTTTTTTCAACTAATCTTAAACGCTCTCTCCAGTCGATCTAATATATATGGTAATATCGCTTATCGCTTTTACTATGGGGATATGAGTTTATGGGCAGGTTTATCATCGATCCAATGTATCGAAAGCTAGATCGCCCCCCTTTTTTTTGCCATCCTGCTAGGAACTTGAAAAAGATGGGCTTTCGAGAAAACAAGGCCCGTTGCACCCGCTGTTTCGAAAAAAGCTCAATCCTTGCAAGTTCATAAGTAAAAAGGGGGGAAACAAAACAGGATGGATGAACCGGGTCTCAATTATTTTTTTGACTTGAATTGAGAAACGAGCGGCCAGCCGGGGAATGGAATCCTGGAAAATATGCCATGATGGCTTGCGTTTATGGTACGAATAAGGGGGTATAAAGGTGCAAAAAGAAGTCGTTTTTGATGGTGGTGGCGGCATCTCCTTTTTGGGTGGCGGTCAGAGAAGGCCTGTAACTCGTTAGCTTTTGAGAGCGGTGAAGCAGTTAGTAGTACTCCGTAACAGGAGAGGGAGAGGAAGAGGGAGAGGAAGAGGGAGAGGAAGAGGGAGAGCGTCGACGTGGCGTCTGTGAGACTCTTGGGTGAGGTTATAATATTGTTAGAAGTCGACAGCGAAGGTCGAGATTGCTGTGAATGTAAGTAGTAAGTTCCAAGGTTGGCCGTCGAATCAGAAGGCAGAGAGACGCTGGACGCAGCGAGAAAAAGGCGGCTATAAAGTTCAGCCAATCAGAGGCCGTCCCCTGCCCTGTGATGTGAGGTTGGGCATGCATGAGCCCTTACAGTCAGCACAGCACAGTCAAGACTCGACAAGATGCATGGTTATGCACATTTTGACAGGACCAGCATGAGCCAGCCGTGAGCCATGAGCCGTGAGCCGTGAGCCGTGAGCCCGTGGGGGAAGCACCGGAAGGGCGAGTGAGGAGAGAAGCGAGGGACGCGTGGGCAAAGGAGGAGGAGGAGGAGGAGGAGGAGCGACAGGCAGGTCGGGGTCGGAAAAGAACGGAGGGACCCAACGCTGTTACATCTAGATGTCTGCCCAGGGTTTATGTTATCGAGAACCCTGAGAGCGATCTGTGATGATGCAATGATGCGATGATGCGGACTGTGCGACATGCCGTAGCACTGGCGCTGTCCTGACGCGCAAGGTGTCTGGAGTCTGCGGGCTCAGAGCGGAGGCCATTAGGCGAAAAGAGGGCTGAAGTTGGGTTCTAATACCGACCACTATATGGGCGACCTTGGTAGCTGGAGAGTGATTACTATTATTTGTTTACCTGTTAAAGTGGGATGGATGGATAATTTGGGTACGAGCGCTACGCGAGGGAGGCGAAGTAAGCGAAGGGGAAGATCCCAACCCCTCATCGCGGAAAGAAGCACAGGCAGGACAAGAAGAAAGAACAAGCAGGAAGAAGACGTCAGTTGCATGACTTGCATCATCCCATCGTCACGGCGGGCGACGAGCAGGCAGAGGCAGAGCAGAAGATGGAGGAAAGGCGCGCAGTGGTTGGCTGGTGGACGAGCGGCCAATGGCAGAGGGGGACTCGGGCAGCCGCCGGAGCAGCGCGAAAGGTCTGGCGGGAGGCGCGGGTGGAGAGTCGCAGGCCAGGAAGGAAGAAGCAGGAGGAGGCAGTTGGACAGTGGAAGCCAGCGGAAGGAGATGGAATGTATCTTTGCCTCTATCTTTGTCTTTCAATTTGTCTTTATATCTGTCTTTTGTCTGTCTTTGTCTGGTCTTTGCTGTCTGGCTGCTGCTATCTGCTACTATTGTAATGGCTATCTCTACGATCTCCATCTCTTATCAGCTTATCGCTCTGTGTATCTGTCCGCTGAGTCAGCTCACGTGCCACCCACCAGATCGGGTCAACCCGGCCTAGCGCCCAAAGCGGCTTAGCCTGCGGGAGACCCTAAAAAAGCAAAGAGTTAAAAAGTGGGTCCCACCTGACGCTCCCTGGCTTGGCAAGGCCCTTTCCCCAAAGGGGCCAGGGCTCCACTTTTCCGTCCTTTCTGCACGCTCTTTTCGCCTTTTCTCGTCCTTCCTCGCCCTTCCGGCTTCTTCTCTTCTTCTTCTTCTTTCTCTCCTGCTTTTATATTCTATAGCAACAACCTACAGACAGCAGATCCAGCAGCACCGAACAGCCCCCGAGAAAACGCAAGCAAGCAGGCCGAGAAGACGCAGAAGCCGCAGAAGAAAGTGACCAAGATTTCATCCCTGACCTTCTGGCTCTTTTTACTTACTTGACTGGCCCATTCTCTCTTTTTCCTCTTGTTTTCTCCACTTTCTGTACAGTCTTAATATATCCGCGTCTTTCTTCTTCTTTTCTTACTGCTTTCTACCAACAACAACAGCAACAAACAAGAGGACTCTACGCAGACTCCTGGCCTATTATCTGTGATCGCTCTCAGCTCGAGATATCCGCGCCTGCGTGTCGTATTTGTGGTCTTCACTGACGTTGGTTCCCTTTTCCCCTTTTGGGCGTTGTTTGTTCCTATGACTCCAGAGTGGTCGCGTTTAGTCACATGCTAATCTCACTCACTCTGGAATACTCGCAGTCACAATACAATAACAACAACAGCCCATCATCCACCGCATAACCACCCTCCCTCCAGATACCATCATCAGAGTCATGGCTCCTCGCTCAGCCCCCAAGACGGCCTCCATGGACATCCCCAAGTCGCGCGATGCTCCTCGCCGCCATGGCATGCTGCCTACGCCTCCCTCGTCCATCTCTCCTTGCCTCAACCCCCAGGGCTTCAAGCAGCGTGTCACCCAGGAGGCCCTCCACCAGTATAACCTCCGCTCGCCGCCGGCCTCCTCTTCCCTCGTCCCACATGACACCCGGCACGAGATAGACGCAGTCGACTCAGACATCGACCTCCAAGACACCGAAGACAGGCGTGTTCCTTCATCAGCCGCAGTCGCATCCGCAGCCGCTTCAGCAGCCGCTTCAAAGGGCAAGGCTGATGTCTCGGGAGACATCACCCCTGCCATGTTGGCCAGACACTACCTGCCCGACATCCTGCTCGCACACGGCCCGCTCGCCATCAGACACATCATGGGCTACTTGACGACCTCTGTGCCTGGGTTCGCCATGATACCGCCTGCCAAGGCTAGGAGACTCGTCGTGGCTGGCCTAGAGGGCAAGGCGTCGCTCTCAGCCAACGCTGACTCCATGGATGACGGCGAGGTCGAGTTCGAAAAAGTCGGATGGGGTCGCTGGGACGCCTACCGTCGTGGCCAGCACAAGCGGGAGGGAGAGAATCATCACACTGCCACTGAGCGTGCTGGCCACGTCAACCACCATCACCTTCCCTTGCCTCACTACTACGCCCCCGCAGACTCGCCCATATTCTCCCACTCAGACTTCAACCAGAACCAAGACATCGACGAGGCGGATAAGATGTCCCTCGACGACGACAGTGCCAGCCAGCCACGCATGTACTGCTCTTCCTCTGCTTCCGAGGAGCCAGACATTATGGACGGCGACTGGGACGAGGCTGACATGACTGACGAAGAGGACTGGGCAAACATCGGTGCCGACGCACTCAGAGCGCAATCCCTCGGCCAGGAGCCTTCCATGTCGGCGTCTGTCTACGCTCGAGGATGTGGCTATGGATATGGCCACAGCTACGGCTACGGAGGAGGACCATCTTCCTCTGCTCTGGCTAAGGCTGCTCCCATCGCCATGCCCGGTGGCAACGTCGAGGAACGTGCCGCTGTTGAAGCACTCCTGCAGCTCGGGTCGATGTAGTCTTCCTTGTCCAACCAACATCGGACCTTCGCGCGTCAACTCCACCCAAACAACACATGCATATACCTTACCACTTCACTTCTATACATCTTTTTACCTTTCTTCCCCCCCTTTTTTTTCTCTATTAAACCAGCATACAATATTTTAATCCCCAAGACACGACCCGAAACGAAGCCTTACCCCCTTTCATTCCTTTTTTTCTCACGATAAAAATACGCGTGGCTGGCCCCCGATCGTATACTTATCAACCCACACTCCTTTTTTGGCCTCACGATGTATATTCCTCTCCTTATATTATTCTTTTCTTTTTTTTTCTTTTCTTTTTATCTTTCCAGCGTTTTACTTAATGTGTTATCTTCACTGAACGTGAATTTCCGGTCTGACGGTGGCGGTGTTTTTCATCCTTTCCCTCCCTTTTTACCTCCTTTCTTGGCCGGTTGGCGACTTGCATATCTGGAATATGGCGCAAGCTGAGGAATCCACATCCACACCAAAAACCACCAAACAACCAGCGAACGACCCCTCGACTCTTTTTTCTTTACTTGTTTCAACATAAACGCGCGATCCGAATTGCTTCCGTGCCAGACCCGCCATCTCAACAATGGCAGCGTTATCTGAGACACGATGGGCACCGGAAGTCGAAGATGACGGTCGAAGTTGAATTCGAGCTCGGAAAGTCGAAGTCGATCTGGAACAGAATCTGGGAATTATCAATCAATCAATCAGTTAATGGGAGAAAAAGAAGAAGAAGAAGAAAAGAAAAATAACCTGGCTGGCTGGCGCGTTTGTCTTGTTATGCTCTGCTTTCTATCTTGCCTCTTGTTCTTCGTTTCGTCTTCTTCCCTGTTTGTTCCATGTCCACCAGCAAAAAGCAACAGCTGTTAGAAGATCAGGAACAAGAGAGATGAAGAAAAAAAGAAAACATGCAAGCATCAAACAAACAAACAAACCAAACCAAACCAAACCAAACAGCCATCATTCTTCCTGTTTTTTCCTTTCGCTCATCTTTTATACCCCCTTTTATTCTTTCTTTCCTATGTTCAAGCATCATGATTCCCCATACCTCATGTTTATTGTTCTCCTTCTTCCCTTTGTTCTGTCCTGCCTGCCTGCCTGCCTGCTACGATATGCCATGATACCACACGATTTCCCACCAACTCCATCCGCCGAATATCAAGAAACAACATCCACAAAAAAAGTATGAGAATAACCTTGGAAGAGAAATAAGAAAACAACAGAAAAAAAAAAAAGGCCCCAACCCACATACACACACGCTCGGCGCAGAATCCGTTTCTTAACGTCATTTGCATGTTTTTGGTTCTGGACGATGGCATTCAGCGGCGAGGACGGGCGACAGGAGGAGGAAGGTATGGATGGTCCGGTCATCTTAACTGCATTGTACTGGACATCCAACCACCCTTGCCCTGCTCGTCTGCTTTGCGTGTCTTGTCTGCCTTGCCCCTTTTTCTCCCAGTTTTACGAGCCTTCTCTTCCCCCTCTCCTCTCTACTTCTACACAGCCAGCTAGCCTGCGGGAAATGCACGACATCTTGGTCTTCCGTCCAGCAACTTACTTGGTCATCTTAACTGTATTGTACTGGGGAGTTTGTTCACCCTGGGCGATAGCTCTGCAGTTCCCTGTCTTGCACTGGCTGTGTTGAAGGGTGTTTTATCAGCTATTTCTTTGCGTCTACTAGCTAGGTAGTTTCTTTTTCCTTCCATGGGGGGTTTGATCAGGTATTGAGATAAGATGCGATGTTTGATACATTACTACATATACTTACTACACTACACTCTACACTACAACATTACATTATACATACACTTACTATACGCAAATAACTAATTAATGAAGACACGCTAATTTCATACCTCTCTCCCCTATCTACCTATTTCACAGTGTAAAAAAAAGGAAATGCCGTAAAAATACAATTAAACCAATGATACAATGATTAGTATACCCGAAAAGCCGTCTTTCTACCTGCTGCCTTCTTTACGAGCGGGAATTAACCCACCTCCATATCCCCTCCTCTGCCTCTGCCATTCTCTCTCCAGCACTCTTCATCCACGAAAGCGTGGTCTCCCATGCCCCAGCAGCCGAATTCCACAGCCACTCGCCATCATCTGCTGCTTGGTCATTGCGATCCTCATCGTCGCCAAAGAAGTCATACTGGTACACATATCGTCCTCCCGCTTCTCCGGGCGCTGGATCCCAGACCTGCCGCATACCAAAATGCGGGCCCTCGCCGGTACCAAACCCCGCGCCGTCTGCAGCGAGTGTTGCGGGTGACGGCTGGGCGATGGCGGGATTCTGGCGGTATCCCGGTGGATGCTCAAGATTGGGCAATGTATTGCTGTGGCTTGAGCTTGATGCTGAGCGTTGATGTTGATGCGGTAGCGTTTGGAAGTGATGGTGCTGAGTATGTGCTTGAGTATCTATATGTGCGCTTGGCGGTTTCGTAGTCGTCGTTGACGCCTTGGAGAGAAGCATTTCCGACGCTTTGGGAGGAGGAGGGATGGGCTTGGGCTTGGGGGCGTTGAGGGTCTCTTGGGGTGGCACACTGGCGCCAGTCCATGACGTACTCTGCCCTGTATATGGGGAGGGAAAAGGCTGTGGTTGCGGTGGAGGAGGAACAGGTGAGGGTGAGTCTTCTGAGGTGGCTGCTGGGGCCGTTGGTGTTGGGCCAGGAGCTGGCTCGGCTTCAGGAGCCGTTATTGTAGACCTTGTTGTGGTGGATGTAGTCTCCTCCTGACGCGATGCAGCCCCAGCTGGCGACTTCTCCGACTCGTTCTCCATCCTCGACCGAAGGAACCGATGGCAGCGTGAGAAGCCCACAAGGTTAAACAAACGGGTATGTGTCTTTGAATGCAGCAACTGATGTTTTCCTGCTGGGGATGTTTTTAATGCTCTTGCAGTAGAAAGCGAGTTCTACTGCAATCGAAGCTGGCTGAGCGGAAGCTACGTCATATCATGTGACCCCACTCGAGAGCTCTGATTGGCTCTCGAGTGAAGGACCTGCGTGGAAAGGACGGGGACGAGGGAGACAGTTTGAGAGCAATAAAAAAAAAGGACATTTTTCTATCTGACAAGGTTGTACATAGTGAAAACACAGAAGGAAAAAGGCAGGGGGGACAAGGGAGAGAAATTGATTGAATGCCAAGATGTCACAGGAGGAAATACACAGAAAATCAGCAGGAAAGAGACCTCGCATGTAGTAGTGGTAAAGTACAGATGGGTAGTGAAAGGAAAAACGCGACCCTGTCTCCGATTTCTCTAATGCATCGAGAACGAGGACGATAGGATTCGGCAGTTCTCGACGCACTGTTGTTGTTCCATGATGCTGTTCCGGGGGCGTCAAGACACTCGTCACTTCTCTCCCAAAGGAAGAAGCACCAACGGCCATCATGAATGAACACTCAAGGGACTGTGATCCATTATGGTCCGGGTTTCGGCGGGTGAGCCGTTTACTTGAACTTCTTTCCGAAGAGGAGGAGCTGGACCTGGTCGTAGATGGAGAGGACACCAGCACCGGCAACACCACGGAGGATGTTGGCACCAGCACCCTTGAAGAAGGAGCGGATACCCTCCTTAGCCATGATCTGGCGGGCAGCATCGAAGGAAGAAGAGTACTTGACGGCCTGCACAGCTGGTTAGATATTACATGCCAGTATATAGTCGGCGTTATGAATAATAAGATACGTACCTCACCAGAAGTCATCATCATACGACGACGGACAGTGTCAAGAGGATAAGAAGCAATACCAGCACCAGTGGTGACAGTCCAGCCGAGCAAGAAGGAGGCAAGGAAGTTACCCTCGAGAGGTCCAACGAGAAGAACAGGCTTGATGGAGTCGTACATTCCGAAGTACAGACCACGGTAGACGACAATTCCGAGGACGGAGGGTCCGAATCCACGGTAGAGACCAGCAATACCATCAGAAGCGAGGGTCTTCTTGTAGACGTCAATCAGACCGTTGAACTGACGCTCACCACCACCCTTCTTAGCAGACTTGGCGTCGTTGGCAAGACGGGTACGGGCGTAGTCGAGGGAGTAGACGAAGAGGAGGGAGGTGGCACCAGCCATCTATTATATATACGGTCAGATTTTTCCAAGGTCTTCAAAACCGCCAACGGAACAGGAGGAAGGTAAAAAACTTACACCACCGGAGGCCAAGTTACCGGCCATCCAAGTCCAGTATCCATCACGGTCCTTCTTGAAGGCGAACATGGACTTGTAGGTGTCACGGAAAGCGAAGTTGAGGGCCTGGGTTGGGAAGTAACGGATGACGTTGGCAGTGTTACCTCTCCAGAGGGAGACCATACCCTCAGTACCGGCGGTTCTGCGGAAGCAGTCCATGATGCCGTTGTACTTGCGGTCGAGACGACCAGACTTCAACATCTCGTCCTAATTGGGGAGTTAGCCCGGCCATCCCATGCGTATAAAGAAAGAGTTTGCAGCGAGGGTTTCAAGCTTGCCGCTTGCAGTTTCGATTGAACATACCTGGTTCTGGATAAGAAGCTTGACACGCTCAATGGGAGCGGCAGCAGTCTTGGAGACGGCGGCGGAGACACCACCCACTGTACAGAACTGTTAGCACATCCATCCCCGAGGGTCTTCCAGACTGCGCATCAAAATTTTCTCTGGTTTGAGATTCTAATGAACGCAGTCGTTTGCTCCTAGCTTGATAGCTTAGCAGGAGGGTTTTCACGTACTCATGAAGTCCACGACGAAGCCCTATAGCCATGAGACACGTTAGCCGACGCTGTCCGCGTGAGACTGAAAATTTTTTCACCACTCTCGAGAGCAGCATCGGCAGCATCGAATTCCATCCATTGCGAGCTCGCGGCCATGCCATTGACGACCGCTCTCATCAATTGAACGCTCGAGCTGCCTCTGCCTCCCGTCCTGGGGGGGTTTGATGGCTACTTACGGGGACTCCGAAGATAGACTTGTCCTGTTGGCTAGCCATTGTGCCGGTATGTGATTTCTTCGCTGGACTGAAGAAAGGGAAGAGAGGAGAGGGAGGTAAGGCTGGCAAAGGGATGCGAGGCCTTCAAGAAGGAGGAGAGAGGGATGCAAATGAAGCTGAGAGATGGAAGGGAGAAAGAGGAGAGAAAGAGAAGAAGAAGAGAAAAATCTGAAGAAGAGAAAAAATACTCAATTGGGTTGTCAGGGAGGAAAAGGAAAATTTGTCGCGCTAGGCCTCTTTGGGCGAAGTTGTCACGTTGCCGACTTCTCCCGAGATTTTCCCTCGGCGGGAAAAACTTTTCGTCTTTTTTTTTTTTTTTTTTTTTTTTTTTTCGCCTGGCTAACTGGTTACTGGCTACTGGCTATGAGTTGCTGCTGGGCTTTGCTGCTGGAGAATCCACTCGGGGCAAAACCAGAGACCAGACGTCGGCGGTCTTGCTTCTCTCGCGCTGCCTAGGTAACGGTCGCCGCCGTCTCCAGGGAGGCAAAGGCAAAGCGAGAGAGACAAAGCTGGGGCTGGGGGTGGAGGAGGAGAGGGCGACGCTACCCACAGGCGCAGGCATGAGGTGCAGCAGGGCCTTGGCTCTCCCGTTACGCGGTAACGATACCGTCAGCTGGCCCTCTTTCTCTCCTGCTGGTGCCAAGACGGCGGCAAGGCTGGTACTGCCCGTACGCATGCTGTAATTTATCTTGCCGCAACTACAGGAAGTAATCCGCCAGCCGGAATACGAGGGACCTGGGATGCAGGCTTCTTTTTCGCAGCCACGCTGAGATAGCTGCTTCAGTGTCAGCGTGCTTGCTGCAGAGGCCAGGCTGCCCGTACAGGCCGGAGCAGACGCCGCTGTTGTTGCAGCTTCGTGCATTGGAGCTCAGGCTGTTCCAAGGAGAAGCTTTGGAGATCGTCAGGGCTGGGAGGCTTAGTCATCAAGGTACACCACGCTCAAAGCAGCAGACATTTCATACGCAGTTGGCTATCCGTACACTTCATTCAGATTCTAGTAGTAACAAGTATCTATCAAGGGCATACGCAGAACAGTGCATAGTAATGTAGATATCATCAGTGCTTCCTTGACCGTTTGCGGCGCTTGCTGCTGCCCTCTCGGATGTCTACCTGGGTCTCCCCGTCAGCATTTCCAGTGCTGTTGGCAGGGACAGCCTCAGCAGTCAACTCTGGCGGCTCTTCAGTACCAAACGTCTGCTTGCGCCATTCTCGCAGTCTAGCCTTCTTGCCCAGACGTTTGTGGTCTCGCTTCTTCTTCTCTGCGTCCCGGAAACTGGCCAGCTTCTTCAGGCCGGCGTACTGGTTCAGCTGAGCGTCGTCTGCCATCAGGATGTCACGGGCAGTCAGGCCGAATGAGACAGGTGACGATTCACGGTAGCGGAAAGTGCCTCCAAACTTCTTTGAGGAACCCGGCAGCAGAGATGGCTCGAGCTCGAGGGACTTGTCAGCCAGAGCCTCGATCTTTCGTCGTTCTCGTTTGGCTTCCTTTTGCTTCTCTTTCTTGTCCTGGAGCATCTGCTTCTTGGACTTCTTCCCTCCTCCACTCTGGCTTTCTCCTTCAGCATCCTCGTCTTCATCTTCATCATCCATGTCGATGCCCACGTCTAGCTCCTCGTCAAAGTCAGGCACAAGGTCACCAATGTCGATGTCATCATCCCATTTAGGCTTCTTGAGCCTGCGCTTCTTCGAGGAGCCGCCCTCCTCCTCCTCATCACCACTTTCATCCTCTTCCTCATTCGCAGCATAATACTCATCTCCAAACCGCCGCTTCATCTCCTTCTCCCATTTCTCATCATCCCATCCTTCATCAAGGAACTTGCTCCAGTCTTCATCTGCAAAGTCGCTGCTCTTTACACCGGCTGCCTGCTTTATCTTGGCAAGCTTCTCTTCAAGCTCCTCAATCTTCAGTTTTCGTAGTCTCGCTCGCTCCTCTTCACGTTGCTTCTTCTCCTCCTCTTTTCTCTGCCGTTCCAGTTCTCGTTGGCGCTTGCGGCCGCTGACCTCTTCCCTTCGGACAGAATACTTGTTTGTGGTATCACGAGCGTGTGTGCGTATAACTTCATTGAGCTTATTGGGGTCCTCAAACCGTAGGTTATAAGCTTCCTCGAATTGTTCGGCCTTCTTGTCTTCCTCTTCATCGTCAGACTCCAAGGGTTGGAAGCTGGATTTTGACGTAGGCACCCAGGCACGAGATGCCATAAAGTTTGACAGGAATAGTTCAGGGTCTTGATCCGCCTCAGCAACATCTTTATCTGTTATCGTAGGTCGATCAGCCTTGGGCATGGGTACTTTCTCTTTGCGGACCAGGAATCCATCGTCTTCCTCCTCATCATCATCCTGCTCCCCATTCTCTGCCGTTGAGTGCATCTCCTTAACAATCGACCGTTTCAAGTCTTCCTGTTCCTGAGCGTACGTCTTCGGCGCAGCCTCTTCATCGTCGTCCACCGCGGCCTGGCCACTGAGCAGGTTCCGACGATGGTAGTCTTTCAGGTACATGGGTTTTTCCGCCTTGGAAGTTTCCGATTTACTCCCCTCTGCATTTTCTGTCTCATCTAGGGTAGTGTAAAATTTCGCATTCGGGTCATACACTTTCGGGTCCTTGGATCTTATAGCCTGCAATGTAGCAGCGATTTCCTCATCGAGGGCCTCAGTCACAAGTTCCGCAGCATCGTCCTCCTCCTCCGAATCCTCAGAGTCAGATTCTTCCTCATCTTCCTCTTCGTCTGCGGACGGCTTGCTTTTGGAGAGTGATCGTTTTCCCAGCTTGTTCTCAACTAAAAGTAATAGGTTAAATTTCGCTCCATGTAAAACATTGGGTAAACGAATCGACACTAACGCTGTACCATCTCCTCTCTCTTCTTGTTGTATTCAAAGCGCCTGGCATACTCTTTATTGACATTGAGCTTGAAGTCCTCTGCAACGGCTTCATCTTCTGAGCCGCTCTCTGCAAAGAGGACCTTCTTCTGACGCTTATTCGGAGGCTCCATGGCTGCGCGAGAGAGGGACAACCGACTGAACGTCACAGGAGCAAAGAGAACACAATCAACGGGCGTCTCAATGTGTCTTTCTTCCTACGCCAGACTCGGTCTCCTGCTCTTATCAGAAGTTTTTTTATTTTTATTTTTTTGTATCCTTGTGGTGGGCCAAAAGCCCATGCGGTCTTGACCAATGACGTGGTCAGCCTTAAAGCTCACCGGTTCGCTGACTCATCCAACTTAACCTACTCGAGCTTGATTGACGTTGACATGTTTGAGCAGCCCGAAAAGGTAAAGCCTCGTCGTGTGGTTGCAAAGACATGGCAGCAGGTCTTCCTGATTTACTATATTTCCTTCACATTTATCCTGCCTCCTCTTGCTGATCCCAAGTGCTCTACGGCGGAGGTTTGCTGATCGCTGCTGAATTCCTTGGTGTATCGGGAGTTTAGATCGGAGGGAGGAAGTCGTCCAGATGGCGTCACAGATACAACTCTCGATACCACAGGAAGGGAAACTGGTGAATGTCGTGTGAGTGCGAACCGTTATATCTAGATGTTTGAATATGGAACGAAGTAACTTGCTAGGATGAAGCTAACCCTGTAATCTAGGCCCGTAGTTTTAAAGGAAGCCGCCCTTGATTCACCGAGTTTTCGAGCTACGACGGTACATTTCTCCGAGCAGATAGATTATATGGAAAGATGGCTCGACAATTATATCAAAACTACAGGGCGGCTTACGTCCGAACTGGCGTCGCTGGAGAATATATCGAACGGAATCCTTGCCCATATCACCTCCCCGCCGAATATCTCCGAAGCCATCCTCGATCAAGACTATGCTTTACTCGCAATGAAACGTTACGGGGAGTGCTTTAGAGATAGCTGGTCTGGAATGATAAATGCAACCAAGCGGTTCGAGGTACAGGTCGCAGAACCTATCAGGGCGTTCATGCAGGGAGACATACGAGCATTTAAGGTCGGATACACAACCCCTATATAGATATATTGCTATTCTCCGTTAACACCCGCCCAGGAGCTGCGAAGGGTTCTCGATCAGACTCAGAAGCAGTTTGATCAGCTACAAGCAAGATACTCCTCCCAGGGAAAATCAAAAGAGCCGTCTTCTTTGAGGGAAGATGCATTCCAACTCCATGAGGCCAGGAAAGCATACCTCAAAGCCTCCATGGACTTCTCTGTACAAGCTCCACAGCTCAAGGTTGCACTGGAAAAGCTTCTTGTCAAAGTGTTTTTTGACCAGTGGCGGGAATTCCGGGTTGTCAGGGATGCATCCTCGGCTACCTTCACCAAATATGGGCAGGAGATGGAGCGAACAAAAGGATGGACCCATGAGTTGGAGGCGGGTGAGAAGTCTGCCCGCAGAGATCTACTGATTGCAAGAAAACAAATTGAAGAGTCTGTTGAGTATTCTACGAGACCTTCAAGAGAGCTGGACGATTATTCTATATCCACAGTGCCATACCTTGGCTCACACGGACCTGCGTCCGTCAAACTTGCTGAGAGCCATGTTTTTCTACCGGAAAAGCAAGGCTGGCTTAACCTAAGGGTCCTCACCGGAAAGCCAACAAGGACACTCTGGGTGCGACGTTGGGCTTTTTTGAAGAATGGAATTTTTGGTTGTCTGGTTCAGAACCCTAGGACTGGAGGAGTGGAAGAGAGTGAACGAATAGGTGTATTGCTTTGCAGCATCCGTCCAGCTTTTCAAGAAGAACGCCGTTTCTGTTTCGAGGTTAAGACCAAAAGCAACACAATCCTACTACAGGGAGAGACTCAAAAAGAACTCACAGACTGGATAGGGTCATTTGAAGCTGCTAAACGAAAAGCTCTTGAAAGCCCTAGTTCAGAGATGTCAGCGGCTTCAAAATCGAAATCACCAGACCCAGCGTTTGCAATCTCACAACCCCCTGCCCCTGAATTTGCAGCAGATCCTTCTGACTCTTTGACCCCGAACACCACTGAGGAGCTGCCTGCTGTTGAGCGCGGGGCCACCACGCCTTTACTGGATTTGGATGCACTAGGTGTCAGAAGTAGTGCTGATTTCTCTCACTCTAGACGATCTACCGGTCCAGACAGAGACGCTGATGGTGCTGGTCGGGATCACACTTCAAGGATAATCCAGAAGTTAGATATCCATCGAAAACAAAATCCAAACTCGCCTCTCCTTGTGCCACCTTCACCTGCGCAACCATCGAGTGGCATTGCTAGCTTGATATCTGCGAGCCATAGCATGTTCCCTGTCACGTCTGTTCCATTTGCAAAGGATGGCAATATTGACAGCGGTAAATCAAGAGGTGCCTCTAAAGGAGATCGCAGCCACACCTCCCTTGCGCCATCAACATTAGTTAACCCCCCTGCACCTACAAGCATGAGTAGAGTGGCTATTATGGTCAGCGCCGAGCGAGGCATTGGTATGGGACCAGGCGATACTGCAAGCTCGATACCCACTGGAATGATGGCCAATTTATGGGGAAGTTCGCAATGGGCAATGGTGAATCAACTTCAACGAGACGAACCACCTGGAGCCCCTGAGAGTACTTCTAATCACCCCGTAGTACGCTTTTCCCCTGCCGTTCTTCATCCTCAACCCCAAGTTAACGAAATTCAGGTTGAAATAACTCCAGATACTCCCTCTAGCTCTACAGGTAACCCTCAAGGTCGTACATCTATGACACGTCATAGGGCTACAGTCAGCCTTGGAGACACTGGAGCATTCCATCCAGATACCGTCACAGCGCTTCATGACTATCCACCTTACTATCCACAGCAACTCAGACCACACAACTCTCAATTTCGCCTACTCTTCCCACATATACCCAGAAACGAAAGTCTTGTTCTTGTTTTCAGGGCTACATTTAGCCCAAATGATCAACAAGATTTCCCGGGAAGAGCATTTGCAACTACTCACAACATCTATTTCTACAGCAACCATCTTGGGCTTGTTTTAACCACCTGCGCCAATTTACGCAGTATAACCGAGGTTACTGCTGCACCGGGTAGGGATTGTGACTTTTTATATCTTCATGTTGTTCCGGAAAAAGGAAGCGATATCCCTGGACGTTTGGGGGTGAAGACATTCCTGGAACCCTTGAAACTGCTGCAGAGAAGACTGAATTACCTTGTCACCAACGCTGCTCTCGACAACCCAGCGGGCTTAGAAACAGTAATTAACACTCTGATTAAGCTGGAAACCACTGGTCCGACAAGAACACCTAGTATGGACAGTTGGGAAGATGTATCTTTGAACACCCCAGCTGATGACGGTACCGTGGTACCAAAACCAGAGAAATTGCTGAAAGCCAGCACGTATATTGACCATGACCTGGATATCGATCCCACCAAGCAGAACTCTGCAACACAAGCTTCTCGTATAAGATTGCCTTCACAGCCAGTCATATATGAACCACAAGGGTCCCTTAACCTTGCTGCTGAACAATACGTTAACATGAGCCCCAAAGCTTTGTTCCTCGTGCTTTTCGGAGATAATAGTCCAATCTGGCAGCTCTCTCAGCACCAAAGAAGAGCACAGAGTATGTGACTCCTATCCTACTATATGATGTTTTACAGCTAATGATATGAAGATATCAAGCAAGGACCATGGGTCACTTTACCTTCTTCCCATCTTCGACGTGAGATGGCGTATCAAATCCGCATGGTTGATACATTCGGTAAGATTTTCCAAAAACTCTAAATTTTCCCACTCAACTAATATTGTATATCATCTAGGACGATCCCACCTCGCAGACGTCTGTGATTACCAAATCATAGATGTATTTAACGACCACCTTTGCTATGTTGTCACGGACAAACGCACTCCCTGGCATCTACCATTCAAGCGGCAATTTAGGCTCGTTAGCAAAGCTGTCATCACCCATGTTTCCAAATCTAAATGCAAGCTAGCTATATTCACCAAGGTTGAGTGGATATCGCAGCCATATCTTATAAGCAGTAAGTCTCTTAGTATTCCTTCACGCGCTAGGTTTTGCATAGTTAACATGCATCAAGGTATAATCGAACGGCAGGCAATGAAGGAGCTAGAACAAAGCTCACTAGACTTGATCGACCTAGTCTCAGACCAAGTAAAACGACTTGGGCCGTATCCTACAACGAAAAGTGCAATCTCCATGTTTGGTAACATTGGCCATCAGACAGAAACTTCCAACATCACAGTTTCTGAAAGGGTTCGGTTACAGCTTCAACGCCCATTAAAGCAGAGTGGTTTGCTGCCACTGCTACTAGAAACATCTGGATCGTTATTCCAATCCGCAGCATCTTCCTTGATTATCTGGTTCTGGGCCCTGCTTCGATGGATTTGGAAAGTATCTAATGCCAATAAGACTATTCTATTGCTATTGATCCTCAGTCTTCTCGCTAATGGGTTTCACTCCTGGCGTGATACAATGGATTGGTGGCAAGAACGCAACGCAGGTAAATTCATGGCCCGCCTTGGTGTTCGTCCAAACATAGTGATGGGCAAAGCAGTCTATCTTAAAGATTTACATGACGCTGTTCCGGATTCGGTAGAGATCCAGGGCTTCAATACTAGCATTTGGTTAGCCGTTCCCTAACCCGAATACAGCATTTAGATGTGCTAACATCGAGATCTCCATAGTTTTTCAACGTTCCGTGAAGAGAACGGGTTGACAAGAAATAACTTACTATTACCGCCATCAAGCACACCTGCTCAGAATAAAATATCACGTAACGCAGCATACCGGCTCCAACGCACTCGGGAAAGACTTGGGTCCTATCGCCACAACCTCCTTGTTGGCCTAAAGGTGGTGAATAGCATCGAGAAGGAAGTTCTTCACTTGGAGTGGGAACGATGGCTTCGTCGAGAAACCGGGAGATGCGCCATGCTTGATATAATGCTCAAAGAGCATATACAATATCACGATAATGACGACTATGACGGAGTTTTGGGTATTCGAAAACAGATTTTATCTGGAAACCAGAAGGAAATTGAGAAGTGGTATAAGGAGTATTGTTCGAGCTGCCAACGGGACCAGGAGAGGATTCATATCAATAATTAGCATCAGCGTCCTTGATCCTTTTCACCACTTTTGATTTTCGGCATTCGTTACGCATCTTATATATACCCTGTTGGCGAACGCGGTGGTTTCATGATATTCAGGGCGGCATGGTTGTTTTTTCCGCGTTTTTTTAATATATATAATTCAATCCGTTTCATTGTACAACAACCATGGTAATCGGGCTGATCAGGTCAAATATATCTAGGCAAACTCGGGATCTTCATTGTTCACTCATGATTTGGCGACCATAGTATCCCTCACAAGCAAGACTCTGTAGGGCCATTTGACAGTTTGTCTAGTTTTGCCTTGGCTTAGGTGTTCCCTCCATCGTCACGTAATATACGACAGTGCCATCTCCACCCAAGCCTCGATTCACCATTGCAAGTAAAGCTCTCTTCCCTCCCCAAGGCTTTTCCTTCTTGAGCTTTACATATTCTTGCATGCTCTTGGTCGCTTCTTCCAAGTCAACTGAGCCTGGCAGAAAATCTTCAGCCCGACTAGGCAAAGAGTCATGTAGGCCAGCTAGTCGACTTAATGTCCATTTCTCTCCCTGTGCTGTCGGAATTACCCATTCCCTATCTGCTGGTATGTCTTTCATAGGAATATTGTGCTCCAATAGATACGCCTGTTCATCCGGGTGGATGTAAATGGGTTGGGGAGGGGTGCCAGATATCAAAGGTATGGACTGCTTCTGGGAAAGAGAGAAGGGTTCATGGATTTCTAAATCTTTCCATTGGTGCTGGTGTTCAAGATTATGAAGAATCTCGAGTGAGAGAGCCACGTGCGGTGGGGGGGTTTGTGGTTGCGAGGAAATCAGCGTCGTGACGGCTGACGGCGCTATTGCTGGAGGGTGACTCGACATCTTTGAAATAACGACGCGAGACCCAAGAAATCAACATGTGGAACAGATTGGAAGGTCAACTGCTAAGTTGGCTGAGCCATACACCTTTTAATCTGCCTGTTCGAATAGCGTGAAGGCAGCCGTAAGCTGGTGCTGTCGAATTGCTAATAAAAAGTGGAAGAAGCGGCGAAGATGAAATAGAGTTTTGATATCAATTTAAACTCCATCTGATAAGCTCTTAGCGTCTATTATGTAATCGTTAAGGTACTGGACAGATTTCAAGATCGTCATCGCCCGAACAAGAGAAAGATCAAAGTAACAACTCACTTGAGACTTATTTTGTGCCTCCTGTATTTTATTTATTGCTTCAGTATTCCTTTCTAGTCCTTTCGTTTTTCTCAATTTTTCTAGTCATCTTCCCTGTCAATGGGACGGTTAGACTCTTGAGCCCTTTTTATCGATCCACACATCGTCAATGGCGCGTGAGAAACAAAAGGTTCCCGTTCAACGGGTGCCCTCCGGTGGAATCATGCATGCTCCCAAGGATATTCCAGATATGAATATTAATTCAACAAATGGTGCAATTGAACAGTCAGAGAAAGGAAAGCCGATCCAGGCTGCTTCAGAGCCGTCCCAAGCCGGGCTTTTGCAGTTGGTGATCTGCGTGACTGGCATCTATGCATCATTGTAAGTAGCCCTTAGAGGGTATTGTGCTTTCGAAATATAATTCTCTAACATTGCTTGCTGGTAGTCTTTCATGGGGAGTGCTTCAAGAGGCAATCACCACCACGTACTATCCTGTGCATCCACCTACCTCCGCGGTTCCAAACCCCCAAACCGAACGATTTACTTTCTCACTCGTTTTGAATACTATCCAATCCTTCTTCGCGGTCATCACGGGCTCCATGTACCTCTATTTCTCAACTCCTCGCGGGACAAGCACACCGTCCATATTTCCGACCAGTCGGATTCTCATTCCTTTAGTACTCGTCAGCTTATCGACCTCTCTCGCCTCTCCTTTCGGATATGCCAGCCTCGCTCACATCGACTATGTCACCTTTACATTGGCAAAGTCCTGCAAGTTATTACCTGTCATGTTTCTGCACCTGACTATTTTCCAAAAACGTTACCCTCTATATAAGTATGGTGTTATTCTCCTCCTTACTATTGGAGTGGCGACCTTTACTCTACATCACCCAGGCACGGCGAAGAAGAGTAGTGGATCTAAGGGACCAAATTCATCGTCTCTGTTCGGTCTCTTCCTTCTCTTCATTAACCTTCTTCTGGATGGCCTTACAAACACAACGCAAGATCATATCTTTACGTCCCCAAAGCTTTACGGCAAATTCAGCGGGCCTCAGATGATGGTTGCTCAGAATTTCATATCCACCATTCTCACGAGTGCTTATCTTGTTATCATGCCTCACCTTTCAACGTCTATTCTGCCACTGTTACCTCTACCTATCCCTCCATCTCAAACATCTGAACTCTCATCTGCTATAGCATTTCTCTCTCGCCACCCGCAAGCTACTAAAGATGTAGTTGCCTTCGCTGCCTGTGGTGCAATTGGCCAGCTGTTCATTTTCTATACCTTGGCTCACTTCTCTTCCCTCCTTCTGGTCACGGTAACGCTGACCAGGAAAATGTTAACCATGCTTCTCAGTGTTGTATGGTTTGGTCATCAATTGAGTGGAGGCCAGTGGGTGGGTGTTGGTTTGGTATTTGGCGGAATTGGAGCCGAGGCCTGGGTTCAGAGGAAGGAAAAGGAGAAGAAGCTCCGTGCGAAGGCTAAAGAGGGAAAATCCCTTTAGATACATATCCACCCGGATTGCTGCCCACTGGAGAACTTCCGACGTTATTCCCATGTTTGACTCCAGCGACCCCGTGGACCTTTTTCAATTTATATACCTTCTTCTGCCCCCACCTTCTTTAGACAAGACGTTTCATTTACAATAGACTAGCCTTCACATTCATGTATATAGTTGATTTATAGGCTTCAATACCCTAAATTATATATCTGTTCAGACTAATACAGCTGATGCTGGAGAATCATTTTTGTATCATTGGCTTATTTCCTTCCCTCTACCATGATAATATGGTAACCAAATCCTGTCTTCACTTCGACATATTTGGGATTTCCTGTTGTGCTTGGTTCTAACTCGTATGCTGCTTTCTCAAACGCAGCATCCAAGCTACCCCTAACTTTCCACCCGAGTGATCCACCTATATATAAGAAGTCGTGTCAGAAGTTACTCATTATGCAATATGCAATATCCAGACAAGCAAGCTGGAGCATTGAACTTGTCAATCAAATTGTACCTTGTCTTGCCTTATCCTCCGAAAACTCTCGAGCAACGTCATCAAACTTGGCTCCTGCTCGTAATTTTTCCAGGGCCTCTTCCTTCTTCGAGTGTTTCTCGCACTGTCCACAGTATATAGTAAGTAAATAGTCAAGACTCGAGCCAGCTTTCCCCGCCTGGCTAGATGTATAACCCATTGGGGACATGTCTCCCCACAACAAGTGTAGAGACTTGGGTAAATCGGATATATTCACGACGTACAAGAATATGTCGAACGTTGATAGAATTAGCTGCCTTCAGTCCTTTCCCTTTGCCACTGTCTGAACTTTCTGATTCTTTTCCTTTCCCCTTGCCTTTCCCTCCTGCACCCTTGCTATCACCTCCCTTGTTCTTTGGCGCCATTGGCAGAGTGTGGAAATAAGGGTTACTGGTAGCAATAAAAGGGTCCTATGTGGTATATTTGGCAAAATCAGGTATAAGTATAGTAGTTTGATAATAGCTTCGGTAGTAGCAGGTGGCCAGTGGAAGAATCCCGCGTGCCTTGACTTTGATACGATTGTTGACGAGGAGGTGGAGTTGAAGCCCACCAGCAGCTGACTAAATAGTTAACGAGTTAAAACTGTGAGCCTAGCAATTATTTACTTGGGCATTCCGGGGTTTCCTATATACCTAGGTGGTTGAGCAATCGGTTAACTGCCCAACTAGCTATCATATCCTCTAGAGTATTCCATGTACAGCGTAGATGGAGAGTGTCTCTGCTTCAGAAGGAGCTAAGAAACCAAAAGGCCCCAAGTACAGTGAGAGATCTACTGTGATAATTATGGAACTGTTAAGGACTTCAAAATTTTTTTCGTCTTTACGCAATATTCAGCCTTCTTTCTATATATATCGAACGAATAGAGCGTTATGATGTCGGAAGGAGTTGATATTAGGTATCTTTTCTAGGAATTAAACATCCCGGTGATGGCTCACACGCCAAAGCAAACGAGAACATAATATATACATCGAAATTGATAAGCCACGTAGAAACAGCTCCTTAAAATAAAACCAAACTATGGCACCCATTATAATTTATGGCAATTCATGATGTACTATATCATCACCAACTCTGCCGGTCGGCTTTCCCACCGGTATTGATCCGAGCATCTCGCTGGCAGGCCGCTTCTGGGGATCGTTTGTCTCACTAATGACAGGGAGTGAGCCCGGTACATCGTCGTGCATCTCCGGTGGTCCAGGGGGTGAGTACTTATTCGAGTCCTTTCCGCTGACCATTGGGATGACTTTATCCGAATTCCGCCGCCGTCGAAGCAGTATAAAAATATATACCGCGGCCGCGATAGCAATTGAACCAAGAGCCACGCCTGTCCCAATGCCTGCTTTTGCACCGGTACTGAGGCCCGCCTTCTCATGGCTAATGGGTACCGGGCCTGTTGCAGTAGGTTCCAGTGTTCGCGTTACTACAACAGTCGCAATCGTTGGTACGGAGCTTTCTGATGCCGATGTTGACGTGGCAGTTGTTAATGTAGTATAGCTCGAGGTTGACGTGCTGGTGATGGTGGTATATAGTGTGGTTGCCTCGTCACCGTCACCATGGATAAAAAACGCTTGAGATCTTGCAAACAATTTCTCATCCACATACCACTCGTTGGTTTGTTGTCTGAGATCGAAATGGAATGGCGACCATTTAAGGTCCTCCTTCGGTAAGAAGGTATCTACATGGGTGTTGTAGGACGATTTTATATCTTTTATTCCCTCTGAATGAATTTGTCAATATTTCCCAAACTTGTAATAACCGACTGCATCTGACATACCAAATACTGGCCATACGACCGGGCAATCTGGATCTTCCGACACTAGCCATATATTGTATGCATCTGCTTTCCCAATACAGGTTTTGATCTCTTCATCCGACCATCCTCCAAACTGTATCGGAAGCCCTTCTTCCCAGGTATAATTAGAGCGCTGACCCACTGATGGCCCATCGATGCGCACTGGACGGCAGTCCAAGGCCAAACTGTGTATGGCGTTATGCGATAGCAAGAATAGTATATGAAGGAGAATGCCCATTTTCGCTATGGACGACGAAATGAAAAAAACTTACTGTCCACAACAAGGCCATCTTGGGGTCCAAATATAAAAACAACAAAAAGGGGCTGAGCTACTTGCTGGGTATCATGGGTATTTCATGTGCAGGGGATTGCAGGAAATAACATAAAACATCCATGTCGCGTCATATTGGGATGCCCAACTAGATGTTGCGCTGTGCATGATAAATGTTGGTTTGATGGTCGGTCACCACTAGGTTGCCAACATTTCCCGTTCCAACCTCCAGCGAAGTCCAAAGGATCGAAAGAGATGGATTTGATGCTATGGGTCTCATATAGAGAAAAAAAATAAAGCCCCGCTAGAGCGTTTCCATTCTGATACCGTTGCATCGTTGTATAATATTTCACTGGAAGCGCAAGTTGGATATTGCTATGTATAGCAGGCAACTGAAACCACTGCGGCATCCCTTATCCCATTCTTGGAACTAGTGAACAATTGTCGTGCTTATTGGTGAATGGCCCCCGGCACCCCAGCATCCCGGAACTGATCGGCCACAGGGCATGTAGTAATAATACCCAGATGCTATGCCAAAGCGAGGAGATTGCCACGTCATTCTAGCAATCTCCCGTTGCATGATCGTGGTTTTCTTGCTGGGACAAACAGCCACACTGGATGGCTTAGTAGTGAAACTGGTCAAAACAGCCGTTGAGACCCAAGTTAGGTACACTCCTTTCCCAGATCCCTTTCCTTAGGCGCGTGGTATTTTTGACAAGGTAACTACTTTACTTACTCCGTGCAGTCCGAGATATCGAGGGAGCCACCGATGTGATCTCGTATTTGTTATGCCTGTGGTTAAGAAAAGAACTGGCAGGGTTGCTCACGAGAACAGACCAACCGCTCCCAGGCTCGATAATAGCAGCGACTATCACTGCTACCCTCAGAAAGCATCCAAAGGCCTTCCGTAGACACCAAAAACGGGGGAGTGAAATCCAAGAGAGGCCTTCGAGAAGTGTGTAGTGTCAGGCTTCTCTTCCAACCGTCGCATTGATGTACGCTGGCACAGAGGCTACCTAAGTGTGATGAAATTGCATGGCCCACTATAAATCAAACGAGATCCAGGAGAGATAATGCTCGCCTTTAACATCGTATAAGAGCATTCGCTGACGGTGCCTGCGCGCTGGTAATAATTCACTCTTGGGTCGTGCTCGACGATAATTTCTGCGTGGCAGACATTGTTAACATCCCACCCAAGTTTCCCATGATGGACCGAGCCATTTCTCGCTCATCCTTTTAGACTATTTTCATCAAGTTAACAGAGTCGAGAGCATCGAGAAAATATCAGCGACTCAAGGAAGTTGAGCAAAACAGAAAATATTCAATGCGATGGATGTCAACAAACCCGATTGGACATGTGACCACCCAAAAAAAATGCCTAAATACTAACGACCAACTTCACAGCAAACAAAACTTTCATGAGAATAACACGCCTGCAGCAGTAAACGGTCGTTTACTGTGCAACTTGTTGTATAAACTATCAAGACAATCTAGCTAAGTTGCGTAACTACCGCAATCACATCCAGGGAACCCGCAGAGTCTGATATTATGAGGAATACGGCGGAGGGGCTACTAGATGGCCCAGGAGGCCTGGAGAGGTACAAAATCAACCAGCTCCCAGACACAGCATATTATATTCCCAATTTCATTTCCGAGGACGAGGAGGAGATGCTATTAAGCAAAGTAGGTAGCTTGTCTGTCTTGACACATGAAGATTGTGGGTGGTGAAAAAGTCGAGTTAATGTTTACCAGAGTTACTAATACTTATACAGATAACGTCTGTTCCAGCCCCTAGATGGACACAGTTATCCCGGCGGCGGCTACAGACATGGCCGTCTGCGCTCAGTAAATCCAATGCCCTGCTAGCTTCACCGCTACCAGCCTGGCTGGATAGTCCTATTGCTTCTCGATTTCAAGATTTATGCATCTTTGCCGAGTCTCCTCACAAATCGCCCAATCATGTTCTTATCAACGAGTACCAACCAGGGCAAGGAATAATGCCTCATGAAGATGGTTCAGCGTACTATCCTATCGTGGCAACAGTGAGTCTTGCGGCACCGATTATCTTAGATATCTATGATAAGAGGCCAAACGATCTACCTGCTCCAGAACTCCCCCCAGTGGAGAAAGAGGCGGTGAGAAACCAGATTGCTCCACGGTTTCGAATCTTGCAGGAAAGGCGAAGTCTGCTGGTTACCACGGGGACGTTATACTCTGATTTTTTGCATGGGATTGCAGAAAGGACGTCCGACGAAGACCTTGGGCCGGACACGATATGTAATTGGGGTAACTTGGGTGACAGCCAGCTCTTTGGAACGGGGAAATACGAAAGACAGACACGAATTAGTCTGACATATAGGGATGTGCTAAAGGTATCAAAGCTGGGAAATAGTCTAAGGTTTCTAAGTAAGTGACGGCGATAGGAGGCATCTGTTAGTCTACCATATAAAGGGTAGCATGATCCATCTGTCCTTAACCTTTTCCCTCCCAAACTTCTCGCTATACCACTTCTTCGTAGCTGCTGCTGAGGTACCCAGCTGCACTGCAGTGAGAATCACGGCGGAGAAGATGGTATTGTTGATAATCGATCCTGGGGGTGCAGCAAGGAAGCTTAACGAAAGGTATATCATGCATTCCGCGGTGTAGTGTGGAGATATTATGTTGACGAACGCGGGATGCACCGGGAGGGTATATTTAACAAGGGATGCCAGATACTCGTGGCAGTCATACTGTATCCCAGAAGCAAATATGAACACTGGGATAAAGATCAACGACCTCAGGGAAGGCGCCGTCAGAGCAGCATTGCCCAATGGACTATTAGTTGAGAGTAGAGTTGCTTAAGTTTCAAGTTAGATCCGTGTTCAATCAAGTATAAAAAGGTAGAAAAAATCCTACTGGTTCCTTCAATCCAGATAGCAACTCCCATGACGATGTAATAGGCAAACCCGTAGAGCCAATGCCCGACGTGCATCCTTGCCTGAGAGGGCTTAACAAACGAGAGGCACTCGTAGAGTCGACGGCAGGCCTGGATGGTAAAAAGTGTCCAGCAAAGGAATATCTGGTTAAATGACATTGAACTCTTTCGGGTTTCATGATCTACTATGCTGGCAATGAGCTTAAAGGCCCATCCCCTGGCCAGAAGCTGATACCACCAGAAGAACGCCACGCCGACGGCGCAGTAGTAGAAATGAGTAAAGTAGGAATGCGGCACATCCCAGGTTGCCACGCGGTCCAGGATTCCTGAAATGCCACTCCATGGAGGGACAGTGGCCACCGCCGAAGGTTTGCTACTCGGCTCCTTCGATGCTGGCAGAGTCCGGGCACCGTATGAAATGAACCTGTCACGAAGGAACTTGAGACTGTTGACAGCCATGACCTACAAATCAGTCAGTGATTTTACACTCTCGCCCATCATCGACGCCATCTCGGTCTCTTCTTGGTTAAATCTTTGTTACTCCGTATGAGTGTCGGGCTCTCGTACACTGGCAGCTAGCACCACATATCCGCCTCTTATCCAGTCGACAAGGTCCATGCCAGCGAGCCCATCCATGCTGGATCGCTGTCTTCTGCAGTAGATACGCCTAGCCCGCCGTCAGATTAGAATATCTATTTTTTAGTCCTCGATATCGACAGAACTACGGCGCCTCGATCGATCGTTGTTTGCTTGCTTTTCGTCCTTCGACTTCGCCGCGCTTGAAGCCCCCAAGCGCCCACGTGACCAGTAACTACTTTTAGTCAGCCCACCACGCAAATGGCGAGGCAGCAGAGCGAGATGACGCCGCGGCTGCCCAGCGCTTTCGTCTCATCTCGTCTTTCGTCTGACCTCGTCTTCTCGTCGGGGACTGTCGACATAACTCACGCCAAAATAAATAGACTGTTAATTAAATGCCAGCTTAGCCGCCCGTCCACGCCCTGCATGTCGCATCTGCCTGGCTGCTCGATGGCGGCCTGTCGCTGAGTAAGCACCCTAAAGCAGCTAGCCCATTCCCCGAAGGAGCCTAGCACCCTCTCTTTTTTTCTCGTCGCAGCAAAAGTTCGTCCGCGAAGGCCAAAACCAACTTCTTCCTCTTCTTCCTCCTTCGCTCCTCGCTCGCTCTCTCGCTGCCCCCCAGAGAAGAAGACGACGACCTCGACGTCCATCCACCACGACACGCTGCCACGACTGGCCTGCAGACCCGATATATCAGTTGATCACTGCACTGCTGCTGCTATTGAGTCGTTTTGGCTGCCTCGCACCGCGTTTTTGCTGGCCAAAAGCAGCTCCCAACTGCCCCTTCTAGCGTGCCCCGTCACCAAAGGCAACATCGCCCTCTCGCCCTTTACTGACCTTGCCATCGGTTCCTCGAGCCCTCCTCTGCTGAGGATGCCACACGGCGGCTCGATATCTCCAGTTCAACCGCTATGAGTGATGTTGAAACGGCCTCTTCGCTACCGGAAACCTTGAACTCCCCCCATCAGAGAGCCAATCTTCACCTCGCCCCCAAACCCGCTCTGGACGTGCCTAGGAGCGCCACTTCTGCCAACGGAGATGATGGACGGCCTGCGGCGGAGGACGCGGATGTAAACGATGACGCCGTCAGTGTCAAGGCTGATTCTGAGGCAGAAACTATCATCCAGTCCGGCAGAGAGGAGTTGTCGCCAGAGAAGAAGAAGACCTACATTCGACATGTCCCCGGCCAAAACGATAAGAATGGATTGGACCTGGCCTCACGGAAGACCCCCAAGTTCAGTCAGCCTGGTAACTGGCAACTCGGCAAGCGGAAACGACCCGACCACGAGAACGATGACTCCAGGTCGGCCCTTCGAAGTAACCAGAGTTCTCGAGCATCGAGTCCGGTTCCGGCCCTAAAACAGGAAAAGATAGACGAACCACAGGCGCTGTCCAGTATTCAAGGTCCCCCATCTCCCAGTGATGATGTCTCTACTGAACGGAAACCGGACGATAAGTCTAGGAAACCAGAAAGCGCAACTATTGACACTAGAGATGTTCCTGCCGGTGGGCGTAGGCTTAACCATCGGTCCAACTCCCATGGCCATGAATCTGCTGGGAAATCTGAGTTGTATGCTTCCCGCCGTCAGGACAGGTCTCATTCCCCTCCTATTCGCTCACACAAGAGGGTCACATCTGATTCTACACACTCCCCTCCGCTTTCCAACATCCAAAAGAGAAGAAAATTACCCCCACAACCATTGATGGACCAGTCGAACCATGCTTCGGAAGGCAGAGCTTCGCCATTTTCTGCCTCAAGCGCTGGTTCACCTCCTCCCAATCCACGTAATCGTCGACTAACCTCCTGTGACACTTTTCCTTTCTCGCCCGTGAAGCAGGCACAAAACAAAAAGCTACGCGACCAGAATGGCCGAACACGTCTTGCCAGAGCCTGTGCTGCACAGGAAATAGAAGCAGCCAAGTGTCGGCAGGCTGAACGACCAGAGGACCTTAATGTTCCCGACAATGCAGGAAACACGCCACTCCAGATTGCTGCCCTTGAAGGATGTGCTGAAATCGTGAAATTCCTAATCGAGGCCGGTTGCGATATCCACACCAAGAACATTGATCGTGATACACCCCTCATCGATGCGGTGGAAAATGGGCATTTAGATGTTGTTAAAATACTTTTAGATGCTGGTGCAAATCCCCGTGTTGGCAATGCAAAGGGTGACGAACCATACGACCTTGTTCCGTCTGACAATGAGAACCGGCATGAACTACGACGCGTTCTTGCAGAGGCGAAATGTCGTGGCAACAAACGACGGAAGTCGGATGATATCAGTGGGCAAGGGGCTTCCTCAACTAAGGATCCTCGTTCGAGAGGAGCATCAGCTGCAAGCTCGCCAGACTCCCCTCCCCACCATGCCCAGAGCCCTCCACCGCAATATAACCGACGGAAAACCGTTAGGAGTGAAGCTACTCGAAATGATCTGCTGTGGACAAAACCAACTTTCGAAAATCTTCGACTTTTTGCTGCAAAGGGCGACATGGCCGGAGTAGCTACCATCCTCAATATCCTCCAGAAGGCAGACACGGAATCCCTGATTGCAGCAGCAAAGGGTGGTCATGATGAAGTGCTCGGACTTTTGCTTGGAATGGGGAACCCTGACCCTGACCCAGAGCCCCTAACTAATGGCAACCACAGAGCCGGCCATGACACTCCCATGCTAGCAGCGATCGGACGAGGTAATATTGATGTCATTAAGCTTCTATTGGACCAACCGGGCTTCAACCCTACCCGTACGGACCACAAGAATCGTCGATTTTTTGAACTTGCAGAAGAACGCAGAGGTGATAACTGGGAACTGGAGCGGGACCTACTGAAAGAAGCATACGACGAATATATCAGTGCGCATCCTAAAGCCCAAAAAGGCGAGTCAAGGTCTCCACGACGGCCGCGAGATCCACTCAAAGTTGCCAAAAGGCCGGATCGTGACTCCCCATCTCCGGCCTCTGTCGTTCGCAAGAGCTCGAGTAAGAGTGTCACGTCCCATCGCCAAAACGAGGAAGGGTCTAAAGAACTGAAGCTACAAAAGGAAAGAAAGAGAGCGGATGGTGTAGCTTCCACGAAGGACAGACTGCCTACAAACAAGGTATCAAGCCGGGAAGACTCTCATGGCTTAATGGACGAAAGAGATCATGGGCAGTCTGACAGAAAGCAGAAAATGCCATCCGACTCCCGTAGCCCACGGGAAGCCACACCTCATAAACATGGCGAAGAACCTGTCAAACGTCGTCGTCTCATTGCTGGACGACCGCCACCAGATCATGCTAAACGAAGACCAAGTGTGATGTCTTCAGACTCATTTTCCGGCCGTGAAGATGTATCTAACAAGGCAGGCATCACCGAAGATTCAAATGATAATGGTTCAAGGTCAGAGAAACGCAACGCTATCTTGAAACGTTCCCGAAATAGCGTCTCACCAAAGCCTTCCAAACCTCGAAATACCGAGAATGAAGAGGTTCGCGAGAAACATGTCAAGAAACGACGGATACTTTCGAGTGAGCATTCAAGCCAACCCCAAACCACCGTTGAGGGGTCAAAATCGAAGGTCGAAAGCGATACTCAGACTTCTAAGCCGCGTTCGGTCCACCGTGATAGTCTTGGCTTGAAGACGGAGGGTTCTAAAGCAGCTGACCATTCGATAAGCCATAGCGACAAGCATCGTTCTACTTCTCGCGACCCTACAGCCACTAAAATCAAACGCAGAGCTTCCGACTCTGGTGTTAAAGCTGAGACGCCATCTGAAAGCAATGCCGCGGCTAAGGCTAAGCATGAAAGACATGCTGAGAAGGAGCATGCTCCTACGGAAGCGGAGCTTGAAAGAGCAGCGGAAAAGGCTCAAGCAAAAGCACGGAAAGAGGCAGAAGCTGCAAAGATAGCTGCTGAAAAGGCAGCTATTATTGAACGCGAGAAAGCCGAGCAAGAAGAAAGAAGGCTGGAAGAAGAGCGGAAGAAACAGGAAGAAGAGCGAAAACAAGAGGAGGAACGCAAGCGCAAGGAGATAGAACAGCGACGAGCTCGCCAGGCAGAAGAGGAGCACCAGCGAAGAGTGGAACAAGAACGTCTCCGCCAGGCGCGTATACGGAGAGAACAGGAGGAACAAGAGCAAAGACGGCGGGATGCCCTTCCTCATCGTCTCCGCACCGCTGCCAACCTAATCGGTGCCAATGACCCGCGAGCTAGGAGTCATGAATTCCTCAAAAGGGTCATGCCCATCCTGCAAGCGACACGGGATGACCTCGAGCCACTTTGCGACCCCGAGCTGAAGAATGAGAAGTGGATTCTGAACTTCTACGTTGCTCTATTACTTGCGACTAACGATCTTCAGTTGTCACAATGTAGGTTTCTCCATCATTGTTTTTCGAAAGCGTGAATTATTGTGCTAACCGAAACCTGTAGACCCCAGCTGGGAGAAGAGAGTTGCCACACCTACTCAAAGAAGCAATATCTGGGATTGTAGCGGGCCCATGCTATCGAATCCTCAACAACTCAATCCTATCAAGGCTGGCGGAAATGATTATTCTCGCATCTACCGGGAAACCAAACCATTGTATGAGAAGATGGAGCATGTTTTCTGGGTAAAGGTATGTCACTGTCCCTACTGCAAAGGAGAAGCAAAAGCATAGAAGCTAACTGCGCAATCAGTGCTCTGATTTTATGGATCTGGTCCCACATATTCCGCATCTTCACGGCCTTAATATCACTTTTGTTAGCATGCATATCGACCCGGAGCCTTCTGCCTCACTCCAGGATAAATCGCACATTGTCAATGGAGATCACTCTTCTCACCACCCCTTGATCAATGGCACTTCCGAGCCTAACGGTGTCAACCACAGCTCCTAGTCCGTAACCGTGCAATTCCCTGAGATGTCACCTCTGGCATCCCCCCGCACGGTTCCTTACTCTGTTGTTTATTCCTCTGTCCAGCGTTTCTTTTTCGTTTTCTGCCCATTTGCAACATACCTCCTGCTGCCTGTTTACTTGCCACCATATTGTTCGAGTTTTTTTTTATCCCGTAAAACGGCTGCGTTCATCATTTTGGCGACACGGAACGTTAGATTACTTCAACCGGTGATCATTGGGCTTTTGTATGTAGATGCATGTTTCAAGGCGCCTAGGGGGGTTTTCTGGAAAAGGTGGGATGGCCGGACATGCGCAGGGTTCTTCTGTCTGTGTCTTTCCTGCATCTATGCTTGTTCTTTTGTTGTCTCATGTGTGAGTGTTTGGATGCCCGGAATTTGGTTGGCCGGGTTGTTGGTCGTTGGCTGTTCCATTTTTTATACTATTATTTCTTCTTCTTCTTCTTTTTTTTTTTTTTTTTTACTTTGTTCGTGATCTCCTCCTATACGAGACTCAGCACGCTTCAGGTGCTCCCGCTTCATGTTGATTACCTTTCTCCTTCGGCCTTTGCAGCGTTATGTAGTCGGAATATAACGAGTCTACTTGCTCTCTCAAATTGTTCCGGCGGGCGGTGGGTGGCTATCTTACGTAAGCACGCTTTAGGGCACACCCACAAAAAAAAATAATTTCCGACCAGCGACTCCGCGAAATATCTTTTTTTTCAACCTCGATTTCTCTTTCTCCCTCTTAAACAACCACATATACATAACTCTTTGAGGATCATCCGACATTTAGGAAGCGTCCTTGAAATCAATCAAAATGGTACGTTTAACTCGAGCTAGGCCAATGTTCCATCGACCGCAGTCTTCGGCACCCGCTTATCGCAATACTCTATGATACACACCAAATGGGAGAGGGAAAGCAGGACAATTGCAGCTAACAGATCGCTCAATTCCAGTCGGACGGAGAAGAGACCACCTCGAACGCCGGCGTCGTTGCCGCTGATGAAGTTGAAGTTTCCGCCAATGCCACCGCAGGCAGCTCCATGTCTGTCCTGGACGCATTGAAGGGTGTCTTGAAGATCGCTCTTATCCACGATGGTCTTGCCCGTGGTCTCCGTGAGGCTGCTAAGGCTCTTGACCGTCGCCAGGCCCATATGTGCGTCCTGAACGAGGGATGCGAGGAGGAGGCTTACAAGAAGCTCGTCATCGCCCTTTGCTCCGAGCACAAGATTCCTCTCATCAAGGTCCCTGACGGCAAGATGTTGGGTGAATGGGTTGGACTGTGTAAGTCGCCTTGACGTGTCTAGTTAATGGTCGGTAGTTTTTGGCTGGAAAATAGGTGGCTAACCGATTTGATTAGGCGTTCTTGACCGTGAGGGTAACCCACGCAAGGTCGTCAACTGCTCTTGCGTTGTCCTTAAGGACTGGGGTGAGGAGTCCCAGGAGCGTTCCATCCTTCTCAACTACTTCCAGACCGAGCAGTAAATGCTCTTCAACGTTAGTTACTGTCTTTTAAATGGCGCTCGTTCAACTACGACCTCGGCTCTCGCGCAAACACTTCGATGGGGTCGTGCTTTGCTGTTGACGTGAGCTGGTCTATGGATCCGGGAAGCTCAGGGCATGCTGATATCTTTGCGGATGTCCTGTAACTGGAATGAGACCAGGGTCAACTTGGTTTCCTTCGTTACTTTGATATCTCTTTCGATATATGCCCTTCTGGGAGGGATTCATGTACTTAGAAGACATGTTGATGTTGAAAAATAAAGATAAAAAAAGGATGAACAAACAACACTTTTTAAAGCATTGCCTGCCTACGTATAGAAGACACCAGAGTCGGTGGGTATATCAATAGTTCACTACAGGTAGAACGGTAACAGCTATACAAGTAACAAAGGGAACAAAAAAGTAGCGCTCTAACGCCGAACAGAGAGCAAAAAGAGAAAAAGGAGAAGAGTATGTACAAGATGTCTGCAGGTTAAATAGACAACTCGAGTCGAGTAAGAAGATAAGAAACAGCACCGAGATCCTGCGGCCCGCTTATCTAAATTTATAGGCAGGGAAAACCATCTTGTCTTTCAAAATTGGGTCAAGAGAAAGCTGCTGGTAGGGAGAACTTCCAGGATCATAATACATCCCTTCGATGCGACCAGTTTCACGGTGGACGGAGATGTAATAGAAACCAGATATAGTCAGCCCCTGGCGAGAATGAGATGGAGAAACAAAGCATCGTTCTGAAGAAATTCACGTTAGTATCATATGAATTGTAAAGAAAAGTAGAGTATAGTCGGGGCTCACCTTTCCATCTCATCAGTATCCATCCTTTGGATAACTTCTCTGAGACCCATTTCTTGCTGACGAGATTCTTGACAATCTCATCATATGTCAGGTTTTTGAATGGTTCCAACTCCCTCCAGTAACAGCTATCAACTTCTGGGCCGGCGTTGAAATTCTTAGTTTCCAGGGTATGAGTGTTGAAATCGATAATTTCGCCTTCTAGGTAGGTGATTATGTGCGCTCCTTGGTTGTTGGCCGACTTGTCAGGGATGTTGTATGCTTCCATGGTACCAGACAAGGTCATGGTCTGATAGTCAACATTATGAATGGTCACTTTAACAGGCCAGCTTTCTGTCTTTGCAGGCTCTGGGTCTTGACTGCTACTGCTGCTGTTATTGTTGCCACTGTTACTGCTGTTGTTGCCCATGATATTGCTTGCCCAATAACTTCGGCCGCTGCTGGTGTAGACGCTTATCCGGCTTCCAACACCCGAGGCAGCGTTAGACTCTGTCGAGGGGCGAGTAGTTCCCAGCAGTCTGTGTGGCAGCATTGCAGTCGATGCAGTCGCTTGCTGTTGGCCAGAGAAAACAGTGCCAGGGCTCAGCCAGGAGCAGTAGCCTGGGCCTGCAATCGAGCCTGTGTCGAGGATGAAGTCATCTTCGTTGCGAAGGAAATACTCAAACTGAACAAAGCCTCCGGCTGCAGCGGTGGAAAGGCTTTCTTCATAAGAGTTTGAGAAACGGACTCGGTCCAGGTACTGGATGGCCTCCCTGAGGCGGTCAATAGAGGGGTCTTTGAGGTACATGCGGCGAATATCGGAGTTTCTCGATGTATCGATGCGAGCAGGTGGTGGTAACCGAGGACTCGAGCGTCTCCCTTGGGGAGAAAAGGAGAAAGGGGTGGCAAAATCGTTGTTGTTGTTGTTGTTGTTGTTGCTGTTGCTGGTGTTATTGTAGCTGCTGTAGCCGTTGGTGCTTGCGTTAACGGTCCTGTCCCGGCCGTCGTCTGGTCGGCTGGCTCTCTCACCGTCCTGCATCTGGTTCTGCGGCGTTCGCACTCTCGGTGAGTATCTGTGGTTTCTTCTGACAGACTGTAAGATGGCTGCGGTGACCAAGGCCGGGTTGTCTCGTGCCAGGGGTATGTTTGGCGCTCCCACAGCACGTCCGCCTTCCTGCTCTTCGGGCGGTGACTCCGACGCCAACTGGGCCGTCCCTCTGAGCTCTCTGGGCAGATGACTCCAAAGCGAGCCGTCCTCGTCTCTGGAAGAAGAAGACGCTGACCGGTCGAACCATATCTCGTCTCGAGGATGCAATGGGTCGGTGCGGACATAGAGACCGCCTTCTTCGTCCTGCGTCGGGGCCCAGCTGTATATCCTGTTCGACTGCTGAGGAGGACCTTCGTAGGCCGGGCCGTGGCTGATGTTCATGGCTCCCCGGCGGCGAATGATTGGTATCCTCTGTCCATGGCCGGAGGTATACTGTTGATGCGACCTAGGCATGTACTGATCACCGCCCAGGTCGACGGAATCATGAGGCGAATCGGCCATTCCTGCACCAGCACCCACCCCTACGCCTCCTCCTCCTCCGCCGCCGCCTCCACCGAGCTGGCGTCTGCGGGTACGGGCACGCGAGGGCGAGAGCTCCGTCGACGACCGTCTTCTGCTTCGAAGAAAGTGGACGTTTTCGCTGTGTATCTCATCTTCTGGGTTGCTCATCAGGGTGGCGGCCAGGTCTGGAACCGGGCTGGCAAAGGACTCGAGCTGCTGCAGGTAGTAGCTTAACGACGGCGGCGTGACGGATGTCGCTGGCGTCTCCGGCCGTTCAACAGGCGGATGCTATATCGTTCACACGCAAAGAAGCAGCCGTCTCGTCAGCAAAGGAGCAAGAAATACGCAGGGGGGAGTTGACGGGGAGGGAAGAAGATGGTGAAGAAGAAGAAGAAAAAAAAAATAGGTAGACGGCGGATGGAGAAAGATACGCCAAGATCGGGGGAACGATGTTGATTAAGGATGGACCGAGAGAGAGAGTAACTAAGGGCAAGGAGGCGGTCTCACTGGGGGGTTGTCATGGCCATTACGGCTGCTGCTGGCGCTGCTGTCACTGCGAGTCGGCGGCATGGCGATGCGCTGGCTTCCAGGTGGGATCGCCAGCTGAAGACATGAAGCCGTTGGTCGGATGTTGCGATGTCGCTGTCGCTGTCGCTGTCGTCGCCGCGGAGGCAAAAGTACGACAGGTTGCGCCAGGAATTCCGCCCTGGCCGGGTCAAATGACGTCCTTGTTTGCTTTTCTTCTCGACGGCCGCGAAGGCCAGCGGCAGTCGGCAGAGTCAGTTGATACGGACGAGACGCAGACGACGGCGATGCTCAAGGAGTCGAAGTGACGGGCCAGAGACACAAGAGGGGACGGGGAGGAGGAGAAGAAGAAGACGAAGAAGAGCGAGACGAAGGGAGCTGCCCGCTTCTCCAGCGCTGAGGTTGGACAGAACCAGGACTGCTGAACCGGAAAAACTGCCTATGGCTGCTGTCAAGATGGCAGACTTGCAGGCCCGTCAGTCCTGGTGGAGAGGATGCTCGCTGTCTGGCTGTCTTGATACCCTGCCCGGGAGAGCCTCGTTGCGGCGTGGGAAGGACGTGGACAGGATGCTGATATCCCGGCTCGATCTCGGCCACGACACAGCTCGACTCGATCCTCTGGCTGAATGCCGTCGATTATACCGGCTACGCATGCAGCAGACTGGATCAACTGTTTCATGGCCGTCATCCCCGGTGCAGGCTTTGTCGACAACCCCCCCCCGTGGCTACGAGTGAAGCCCCCCCCTTGGTTGCCTGTTTATAAAAGGCGTCTTCCAGCTGGGAAAAAGGGAGTCCAGAACCGCCTCTTCTCTGTGATATAAGCATATATCAGCAGGTTGAAGGCATAGAGGGCAGGATTTCCTCCCTGTGGCCCGGTGGTACAAGGCCAATATCTCGGGTATGGTTCATGACAGTGTCAGTTACGCCAGCAAATATAGCCCGGGGTGTTACTCCGAACAAAGACATATACAGATTCAAGTGTACTACGTGTTTGCCCTGTCCAAATCTTCAAGGCCAGGTGCCAGTGATCGGGAGCATTGATGGATAGTAGAGCATCGATGGTTGACTGCCAATAGAGTCGATAGTACATGAAGGGCCATCGCCAGACATGGACAGAAGACTATTCATATTCCCAGGCCTACTGCTATTCTCCGTGTTACTGTTCAGCCTGCAATGATACTGTAGTTCACAGTAGAGTAAAAAGTACAGCAGGAGTAAGTATCCTGTGCTATCTATGCCATGCCCGAGGTAAACAAGATCCACCACCCCTCGAGTATAAAAAAGTGCGGATGCAGATGTCATCTTCTCTCTCTCTCTCTCTCTCTAAACATTCCCGGCCCAGGTTGAAACTACCATGGCGAAAATCAAGACCATAGAACACTTTCGAGTACTCCCCAGATGGCTCTTTGTCAAGATAACGGACGAACAGGGAGGCTACGGATGGGGTGAAAGCACTCTCGAGGGTCACTCAGAGTCCGTCGAAGGGGCGTTGAATGCCTTTAGCAGACAGATTCAGGGTTACGAAGCGGAGTAATTCTACCTATCCTCACAGATGAAGTGCAAGTGAAAAGCTAACCGTCCAATGCCAGTGATATTGAACATATATGGCAGACAGCATGGAGACAAGGCTTCTATCGTGGCGGCGCAGTCTTCATGTCCGCCCTGTCTGGTATCGACATTGCACTCTGGGATCTCAAGGCCAGACGGCTCGGGATCCCCATCTACCAGCTACTGGGTGGTAAAGTGCGGAATAAGATATCCGTTTACGCCTGGATTGGAGGCGACAGACCGGCTGACGTAGAGGCAGCTGGTCAATCAAGGCTCGCCCAGGGATTCAAGGCCATCAAAATGAATGCTACAGAAGACGTCAACTGGCTAGACTCTCCACGTACCCTCGAAGCCAGCGTCGAAAGACTGAAAACAGTCAAGGACCTAGGCCTCGATGCTGCCCTAGACTTCCATGGCCGGCTTCACAAACCCATGGCCAGACAACTGGCCAAGATGGTCGAGCCATATCAGCCCCTATTCATTGAGGAGCCACTGCTCTCCGAACACCCAGAGGGCATCAAGCAGCTCTCCAGCCAAACAACTACACCCATAGCACTGGGCGAGCGTCTGTATAGTCGCTGGGATGTCAAACGCTTCCTCCAAGACGCGAGTGTCGATATCCTACAACCAGATATCAGCCACTGCGGCGGTATTTCCGAGATTCGGCGCATCGCCGCCATGGCTGAAACGTACGATGTTGCTATTGCTCCGCATTGCCCATTGGGTCCTATTGCTTTGGCAGCTTCTATGCAGGTCGACTTGTCGATCCCGAACTTCGTGATACAAGAGATGAGTTTGGGGATCCATTACAATACTACGGAGTCCGGAGAGGAGTATGATATTACCAACTATATAAAGGACACTAGTGTATTTGATGTCAAAGATGGATATGTGAAAGCTTTGGATGGCCCAGGGCTTGGGATAGAAGTGGACGAGGAGGAGGTGAGGAGGGTTTCTAAAGGTACAAAGCCCTGGGTCACTACTGGCTTCTTTGGACCGGATGGTAGTATTCGTGAGTGGTAGTTAGTAGTAGATATATTATCATAAGTCTACCGGGATAAAACACAATTGAAGATCTAATCTAATTGACATATATCCTATTCTAGACTCTATCCAGTGCGAGTGACCTTACCTAACCAAGAAAGAAGCATTTCAGATATAAACAAAATCTATAACCAGTATGGTGGAAAAGATATCAATGAAATCCAAACAGAAGGGGGGAAAGGGGAAAATAATATAAATAGGATAGTCATCAGGTCGTTCGAGTCCGTTCCAGGTTCCATTGATCAGCGCGATCCAAGCAATCATAAATCGTTTCCCAAAACTTATCAACGTCGACGCTCTGCGGAATGGTGACTCCCTTTGCTCCCGCAGGACACGGTTTGACATATGTACGGCCAATTTCACCTTGCAAGTCGGCGCCTTCAACACAGTGATGAAGTCCATCTGTGTGGATAGAAACGTCATATCTTGTGCCATTTGTGTCGTTAAATATCAGTTGTTCCTTCAGGTTAGTTGCCGTCTTAGCTTGGTCGTTGAGGTTGGACAGCAAAATGGCGACTGCGAGAGGGTCATGGAGAGGCGGGCCAGCGCTTATTCCAAAAACAGTATCATAAGTCCCAGCGAAGAACATTAGCAATGCATGAAGGATTTGTCGAAGGACTGTCGGATTTTGTTTCTCTCCCGCTTCGCCCTTGACGCCCAGAATGCGTGACTGCACAGTTTTCGTAGCCAGTACTTGATGCGTCAAATCGACTGTTACCAGTGTGGTCTTTGGTGCCAGGACTGGGGACGAGAAAATCGACTCTGCCGATTCCGGGTCACACTAGAACTTTGTCAGATTATCTACGGACAACAGGAGGTTTCAATAAACTCACGTATATATTGAACTCCGCCCAGGGGGTTATATTTCCAACTCTTGACTCATCTCCTTGTTTCTGGCTGATGGGGACACTTGAAAAGCCTCCACCAACGGCACCACCCATGATACTAACACCACGGACATGTTCTGCAACTTCAGGAAAGGTAGCGAACAGAATGGCTAAATTGGTAAGGGTTCCGGTAGCTACAACCCATGCAGTATCCTTGGGCTGTGATAACAGAGCATCCCTCATGGCGATATATGCAGAGACATTGGTCACCGCTGGTTTAGTCGGAGCAGGGAGAAGGTCTGTCCCGTCAATGCCAGATGTTCCTAGAAGGCAACATCTGTTAGCAATATAGTATTGTATATGGTCTTAATGGATCATGCAATACCATGTATATCCTCTGCGTGAACGGCTTTGCGACAGAATGGCTTCTTTGCGCCGGGATACACAGGGATATCGGAACGCCCGACGGCTTCGAGAATGCTCCCAGCATTGACTGTTGTATTTTCCAAAGACCCATTGCCATGCACCGTACTTATGCCAAGCAACCTCAGTGCTGGGTGATGGGCAGCAAGCAGAATCGCAAACGCATCCTATCTTTGTTAGATATTGCTCTGCCTCGTCCCTCGTCTTTGCCGGGGGTACTCACATCATGCCCTGGTTATGACGTATCAATTAGCAAGAACGTTCACAACAAAAGCAAGAGGTGAACTCACCTGGATCGCAATCAAGCCAGAGAGGGATACGAGTATCATCTGACGCTGAAATCGAGCCCATGGTTGCTAGTATATCGACGTCTCGACTTCACGAACGTCCCTTGCGTCCTTTGACTTGCCGAAGAGAAGATGAGAAGTCGCAACCCTCCGGCGCAAATCCGACGGTTGCGCTCCGGTGGCCCGTGCATTCCCATCTTATTGCCGTTATCGATAAGCTCAACTTAGTCAGCATACGGCTTGGCTCTTCCCGGCTTGGCGTTCTTTCTTCAACTTTCGATGCAGGAAAACGTCAGACGTCGAAGTCAACACATTGACAACATTCTCTCGAGACTCTGGCAAACGGACGTCCGCCTCATGGGTGGTAGCAAACAGCTCGACTGCTTCTGCCGGTGTCCATGAATGATCCAGCTCTGGGCCGACATATGCCTTGGCATTCTGTGATTGGAGATGCCTGGACTCTCAGGACATCTGCGGCCGCCTGCTTCGAAATCGAAAGCAAAAATACCAACTGTCTCAATTCCTTCCCATGGTTCCCCTCCCACATCCCGGCCTTCATCCCGCGTCCACCAGCGCAGTAAACATGCCCCAGACCGGCTTCAGTTGAATGCAACCAGTGACAAAGCCACAACAGCCTTGATTCGCCGAGTCTTATGCCCGAACGCCAGTGGCCATGGTGGCCTGGATCGTGGCAGCCCTCGTCCGATTGAGGAGCTGCTCCCCCCACTAACTAGCATGAATGAGGTTGATCTCCAGCTCTATGCTTTGATGGCTGTTGTTATGAAAGAGTTCGTCCATTCTTGGTACTCGAAGATCACCCCTGATACCCTCTTCACGGAGGAAGTCGTCCAGCTTATTGCGCATTGCACTAGAGCATTGGAGCAGAGACTACGACGGGTTGACGTGGAGACGCTACTGTTTGATGAGATCCCTTCATTGTTAGAAGCTCATATCATTGGTAAGCCACCATGCTTTGTTGTTTTTTTGCTTTACTCCAGGAATTTATATATACATTCATGTATATATCGATTCAGGAGGTCCACAGGGGTTGTCATGAATGAGCTTGTCTTAATGACGAATGACGGCAGCGTACCGAACCGCCCGCGAAAGCTCGGCAAGAGCAGAAGATTCAAGCCGGCGATTGCGTGTGGTCTATCATACGTTGCACCCACATCCAGCACTATCACCGGCCCCTGGTCCTAGTGACGAGGATGGTGCGAAACAACGAGAGGCCGAGAGAATATACCGTCAGCTTCTGGCCCACGGAGCTATGGCTGTGCTTCTTCCCACAGAAGATTTGCAGAATGTTTGCTTACGAACATTGGTTGGAGATATATTGGCCGATCTACTCTTGGGAGGGGTTGTCAGTGGGAAAGTTTCTGAGGGGTGGTTTATCTGGGATGCCATCTCGAAAATTCTCGCGAGCTTGAACCAAAAACCTCAAGGTGATGGTGTGGAACACGACCACAGTGGCAATCTAGAAAAGGGCGATCCCGAACCTGATCAGGAACGATCATCTAACTTTGGCAGTTATTCGACTCAGAGAGGCCAATCGGTCCTCCTATCAACCCTTTTCAGCTTGATGCAATACTGCTATATAGCCTATGTTGCATCTCGGTTCGTGGCTTTGGGGTTGTTTCGTGTCTCATCTTCACCATCGTCAACAGCAACAACCTCATCCCCAGCATATGCTAGCAATAGCATCAACTCTAAAGAGGCAACCCCTTCCCGATCCAAGGGTAACATCGTGCGATTGCCCGTTTTGGAGTATCGAATCCTTAGCGTGATTTCGCAGCTTCTTGACATATCAAGCCGAATGCCATGGCTTGGAGGGATTCTGGCCCTTGTCCACCACCTTTTGATGACAGGTCCGGGCAAGATTGGAACGGCAGATGGAATGATTGACAGGTGAGTTTGCGAGTTTGTTTTGACGGTCGAGCCCACTTCTTGCTTTGCTTTGCTTTGCCCATGCCATTTCCCGTTTCCTTTTCGCCATGACCGTTGGGTAATTCGAGGTCCCCATATAAACTTCTTGTGTTTTGTTATCGAAGAGCCCGCTCGTTTCTTCGCCTCTCCCCACCTACGCCCTTGATAGGATGGATGAAGGGCTGTCTTCATTCACCCGTGCTCCATCCAAACATCGATCTTGAACGAACGCCTCAAGCAATCAGATCGCATGGCAGGGATCTCATTTTGAGTTTCGAGTTTTCATGCATAGCACTTCAGTCACTTGATTTTATGGAGGGTAGGGCTGCGCCCAATCAGGATCTCTATGCTCCAAGCGACTCAACAGGACCACAAAAGAGCAAAAAAGAGATGCAAAAGCAAAAAATAAAAAAAGAATGAGACCCCGTATCGTCACCATGCGTACGCGGTATTAGTGTATTGATACCCTGGTATTCGTATTACCAGCCTCTGGTTTCCTTACCGGGCTCCGTTACAATACGACTACGGCTTCCCCTTGCGCGGCCGCGCACTCTTACTCGAGTACGGAGTGCATGCGCCTTTCTCTCTGATATCCAATGCGCATCGAGGAATCAATCCATCCTCCTCCGCGCTGATCTGTGGGACGGGCCTTCCTCCCTTCCGCAAGCCTCCAACCTTTTGCATTCTTCAGGATTCAGCATCACTGGGCGCCGATTGGCATGGCGATTCATCCATCCACTGCCAACCAACCAGTGTCCTTTTCCCTTTTGTATTTCCATTTCTGTCCACGAATGTGTCCTTTGTTACCCTTGCAGTCTCGTTTAACCAGCTTCTACTATTTTTTGGGACGAGTTTCTGCATTAATTTTTCCCCTCCGCTATCTATTCTTCCTTCAGGGTCCTTCTTTACTGCTCTAGTGCTCCTAAGGGTGATGGCATTACTAACGATTTAATAATAGATTTCTTCGTGATTGTATTCGCAAGTATCTCCTGACTGCCACAATTTTGCCGTCTCTGCTGCTTGCGATCCGAACCACGGTCTTCCCAATTAATGGTAGGGCCAGCCTAACGCGGGTTTCCGGGATTTCTGCGGCCACACAACAGCAGCAGCCTTCCACCCCTAGTTCAGACGCCGAGATCGGCACCTTCGCCAGCAGCGGTTCAAATACTGATGGTCAAAATCGCATCCAGACTAGCAGCAGCAGCAGCAATGCCTTACAAGAGACGCAGGCATCGCTTAATGCAGCCTCGCCTCGAGCCAGCGTGGTAGACGCTTCCTCGTCTGGATCTGAACAACCATCTGCAGCAGAGGTAAAAACGATTAAGCGGGCATGTGCTGCGAGTATACTCGCATTGATTCCTCGCAAGATCGCCTTGACTCTTTTCGCAACTCATCAAACAGACGGGAATTCATCCCCAGTGGCAGCCAGTATCACGGCCAAGGACAAGCCGGACCCGTTCGTTCAATCCAGCATTCCCGAGTCTTCGGTTAATAGTAGAATCGACTCGCCTCTACCAGGCGCTGGATCTGAACCGGGACTGGCAAACAATTCAAATCCAAGCCGTCAAGATGGTCGCCATGGTGGGCCAGGCACTCGTCGACAAACCCTCCCAGCTCAGGGCAGTCATGATCGCAATGCTAGAGACGGGAAGGCCACCGATGACGGCCCTGATCTGCCAAAGCCCCATTCAGGTAAGGTATCGAAGGATTACAAGGACGACGAAGATGATGCCTTACTATCCGCCATCGAACATGACCTCCTCGACCTGTTTTCAGATTCTTATTGTAACAAGCATCTCATTTACTCGATTGTCGAGCTCGTTCTCGTTAAGCTGATTCCTGAAATGGGCGAGCATAGCGTGACCGAGCTGATGAACGAACGAGGAGTTTTATGGTCGACTGCATCAACTACAACAACCAATGGATGATTTTCCTCACTCACCTTTCCTCCCTTCCTCTCTCACTTTCCTTATTTCTGGTTTGTCCTTTAAACTTGGTGACGTATCTATTTAATGCTCCATTACCCCCTTGTATATATGTTTAATATTATTGACTTTTTTTGGCCCTTTCTTTATGCGCTCACACACACACACACTCTCTCTCTCTCTCTCTCTCTCTCGCCCGATCCCGTCGGGACGGCATTGACTTGATAGAATACTCCTTTGGGACTGCTCAAAGTGGCAACAGATCCTAACACACGCATGACCAGTACCAGGGGTCTATCGTTACACTCATGCACCGAGAGCTGCTTGACTTGAGAACGGGCCTTTTTGCTCTTGCGACCGGTCCATATCTTGTATCTTGCCTGGCACGGCAGAGTATACAGAAAGTACCTTGCTGTCACTTCTCTCATGCCGCCATCCACCTCTCCCTTGCTCCCTCTCGCTGGCCTCATTTCTCTCCTTTTTACCACCATCTCTATCCCGCCTGCACACAGATCCATGTTGCCCGACAGCCTTCAGCACTGTCATGCCTCCCGCGGAAACCAAGTATAACTTCCGATATCGTTCATGCAACCTACCTGACCGCTCATCCCCATTGATTTTTCTCCGCATAAGCGCCCTGTCGGTCCAAACTATATTGCACGGTTATATACATTGTTACATCATAACTACTTATTTGCATGCCGTGAGAAGTGGCCGTGGTATCGACCTTCTTCCTCGCTCTCCACTGTATCCCTACCCCTACCTAGTTACATGCACACTGACATCCTACACACACCCTCTATATCTTCCATTGACCCGATGCAACGGTAAATAGACAAAATAAATATAGTAGACTGGGACAACCGATGGAACGACAAGACTTCTCGTACTCTATTTTCTTTTGCTTTTTATTTTTTTTACCTTTCGCTTCGCTCTCTTTTTGCCATGCGTTCGTTAGCTAGAGGCGGTTGGTCTTGGGTGGCCGCGTTGGCAGCACGCAGAGCCTGCCCGACTTGCTACAGGACGGGTCACGGAGGCAAAGCGGGATGACGGTGGTAACGAGACAGGGAACGCCGTACCCGCCAGGAAGGGTCACCGAGCGTCTTCTCGACGCCCTGGCCAGGTCGAAGTTCGGGACTCGAAAGCCAGCCGTTCAGGCTGCCAGAGAGCTGTTGTGAGACAGTACATGGAAAAGCAACGAATAAGGATATGCGATTTTGCGCAAATCTGTACGCAGGGTGTTACTGCTATTCGCATAAGAACGGACGAAGTAGATGACAAGCTCAGAAATTGTTATTCGGCAGCTAGCTAGCTAATATGATGTCTGTCTTTTCTGCATCTTCCCGCTACGGATTCCAAATTGCCTTGTAAATTCCAATGTTGTTGTCCACCTCTGCCTGGCACGATTCAAAACTGCATAAGAAAAAGGAAATGAATGAGTAGATAGAGAGGTAACTAGTTATTTAGGGGGTATGTAGTAAAGGTAGCAAAGAGATAAAGAGTAAAAATAAAAAAAAAAAGGAAGAATAACTAGTTAATTGAAGAAATGAACCAAGTCCCAGTTGCCTGTCCTATCCCCATTTCCCAGCCCGCGCGAGCGGTAGACGTTGTAAATACTCTCCGAGCCCCTAGAATGAATAACATAGCATAAAGACAAAAAGAAAAGGCAAAACAGGATGACGAGGAATGAATATGGTAAGGTGAGTTGGTGTGGGTGAAAGGTAGTTCCCCCTTAATATCAGAAGAAAATGCAGCACATGAATGATATAATGGGAAAAGGGGGGAGCGTGACATTGCGAATAATGGAAAAATGAAACAAGGGTGTATATGATAAGAGGAAAAAGGGAAACGCAGGGAGTAATGAATGGGTGACATTAAGTATAGCAGTGCAGATTAACTCGACATGGCCTGCTTTGAAGCCGTCCAAAATGTACCATGGATGATTGCCCAAACGAAGTAAAGGGTAAGCTAGGTAAGTAAGAGATGTAAAAAGAAAAAAGGGAGGGGGAATGATGGTGCATTTTGCGTAATGGGGAATAATAGTCGTGAACGTTGAAAGTAATGAATCGGGAATAAAACACATGGGATCGTATTAAATGGATGGGGATGCCGTGCAGGATATAACAAACGAGAAACAAAAAGAGAAAATGACGTAGACGCTGCTATGATTGGGAATGGATCAGGTTATAGCGTGTGGATGCTTCTTTTCTTGCTAACCCGTGGTCTATCGGTATGAATTTTCGATCGAGACATAGTGGATTTCATGGGCTGGATGTATGGCTGGCCATGTGCTAGCTTTAGCTTCTCCATGAGTTTACCTATGATCTGGTAGTCAGATACTGCCAGCTCCATTGATTGGTTTTTGAAATAATTAAGGACAAGCTCTAGTGCCTGGCGAGCTTCATCCTGCGTCGGGGTGGTGGTAGGAGAAATTGCTGGAGAGGATATGCTCTTTGATTTTGGAAGTGGTGGTGGCTGCATAGGAGCTACGTTGGAGATGATTTCCGGATTGCTGCGATTTCTCTTCATTGCAGGCGCGTCTATGGCTTCAGAAGGATCTTCTTCTTCTTCGATGACTCCGGGCTGTGTGAATATGTTGGTTGGCGAGAGGCTTTCTGGCGATTCGTCCTTGACCACGGAGGATCCAGATGTCATCACTGGTAGGGTCTGGCTTCGTCTTCGCTTTGATTCTAGCCCCAGGCCCGTATTTTCGGATGGTGCAAAGGGGTTCTGCGAGGAGAAGATTATTGTTGACTCGCTTGTTGCTCTGGTAAGAGTAGGAGTTGCAATAGGGGTTCCCTCCTGAGGCAAAGAAACACCAAAGACATCGTCACCGCATTCATTGACAAGGTCCCCTTCCTGTACTGACCCGGACTGCGTAGGGGATGTAGGAGAAGGTGTAGTGGTTGAGCTAGGAGAAATGGGAGACAGTTGCGTGGGTGTCCGGATGGTGGATCTCTTCCTTGGACTAGTTATGTCAAGTGAGGATTTCCTGCCAGGGGAATTCACGATGTAGTTTTTCTGCTTGAACTTCTCCAGCCAGCTTGATGTCAGAATCTTCTCGTGGCCTTCAGGGCTGCCCACGGTGCTTGCAAAAAACATGGCCTTCTCTCTAATCAGGGCATCGTTGATCTCTCCGCCCTGACGCTGGTGGTTCTTGACCCAGTTTGACAGGGCCTTTTCAATGTCTGGGAATTTCCCCTTCGCCTTCTTAACGGGTGATCGACGGCCATCATCAGGAAAGAGATACTTTTCCTTTTGGCGGAGTACTTTGGAAACGGTACTGTAGAAGGAAAGAT